ATTGTGGTTTTTATCCAACGCAATCATAGGCTTGAACGTTGTTTTCAATTTAGACTTGTTTATATAATATATATTATATATGTTTTTAATGTTTCTATTTCGACTTAGTACATCGTAACTGTTAAGACTATTCTCGTACCATCCTAAGACAACCCTGGGGCCGTGTCATCGAAAGTGTCATAAGATTTGTCTTAAGATATATCTTAGGACAAATTATAGGACTGTCTTATGATATATCTCAGACTGCATATCGAAGGTTTCATAAGATAATCTTAACGAAGATGTCATATCGTAGTCCTAAGTGCTGTTTAGATTTTTTAGTTCAAAGGGGAATCTCGTGTAATCTTGGTATAAAAACTCAGGACATAAATTATTTATTTTGTATTGCTGTACCGTAACCCTACAGAATGAGTAAGAAAAGAAGTCCGAATTTAACAGACACAGACACATCACAGTGCATGATGGCGACAGCCATGTTTGTTTATATGCTAGGACATCATAAAATTATCCTGAAAGTTAAAATTGTCATGGATCTACAATCTGTCGATACCTGTATCTTGGCATTGATCATGGTCATGTTTTTCTCTGACTGTTTATGACGTCTTTACACTAAATCCATTGGATGTGTACTGATTGATAATTTAGTCTTAGATGCATGATTTTTTTATTAGTTGTTAGTAGCTGCGAGTACTCTCAGATCAGTCTTTACTGTCTTTTTGTTGTTGGGATATACAAGTACCCTGCCACGTCCACTCTGTGTTTTTAAAAGAAGTTGTGGTATGATTGCCAATGAGACAACTCTCCACAAGAGACCAAATGACACAGAAATTAACAACTATAGGTCATCGTACGGCCTTCAACAATGAGCAAAGCCCATACCACATAGTCAGCTATAAAAGGCCCCGAAATGACAAATGTAAAACAATTCAAACGAGAAAACTAACGGCCTAATTTATGTACAAAAAAATGAACGAAAAACAAATATGTAACACATCACCAAACAATAACCACTGATTACAGGCTCCTGACTTTGGTCAAGCACATACATACAGAATGTGACGGGGTAAAACATGTTAGCGGGATCCAAACCCTCCCCCTAACCTGGGACAGTGGTGTAACAGTACAACATAAGAACGCACTATAAAAATAAGTTGAAAAAGGCTTAACTTATCAGATGGATACAAACAGAAATACTATCCTAAGACAGCTTGTTAATGTAGTAGTCCTTAAGTTGGGATCAAAATTAGAACATATCCTAAGATAAGATCTTCGAAAGAGCAAAATTCTCCTAAGATTATCTTAGGACATATCTTAGTCATAAGACACCTTCGATGACACGGTCCCTGTCTATATATCCTAACTTTAGGACCAAGTTTATGATCTTATTTACGGAGACTTCTGTTAATCTGACTTAGGACTAAGACGTGTCCTAAGACCACCCTAAGACACGGTCTACTCCAGGGACAAATTCATTGACACGGTCCCAGGTAAATATATAGTATCAAAATAGTTTTATCTAAAAGAGACTTTAGATAGTAACTTTAACAGTTTTTTGATTGCATAATAAAACATATTCCTCCTAAATCAGTCATCGTAACATCAGTCAAAGCACTATACACAGATACTTTCTTAATAATAAGAGACTTTTCACTCTAACTTTAAAACTCAGTGATAGAGATCATAAAACCTAAAAGAAAGCACTGTAGTCTATACACTAGAGTAAAACCAAAACTACCGTTGTTCTGAATTAAGGCTTGTAAGCAATGGCTATGGATGTACTCATGCACACTGGATGACTTATATATGTGTGGTCATTAAAAATTACGGACTTATCTCATTTATATAAAAATAAGAGGATGTGGTATGATTGCAAATGAGACAACTATATATCCACCCGCAAAGTTCAAATGAGGGGATTTACATGTGAGCACTACGTAGTTTCAAACCTACGTACGTGACCTACAGTTTTATATGAGTATGAAATTAATTAGTTACCTAGGGAAATACTCTTACAACAAAAATCTTATTCACGATGAAGCAATGAAATATCTAAATTTTTTCATATATGTTACCTGTAAAATGGTGCAAATGTGGTTTTTATTTTTTGGCGCAAATGAAATATAAACTAGTGGCGCGAAAGAAAGTTTGAATTTTGTAAAAATTGGCGCAAATGCAGTGCGCCCGATTCAATACGACTTTAATCTTGCTCGTGATAATATATTGAAATAAACTGCTTCGCTGAGCGCAGCTGGATACGCCCGCAGAGGTCCAACCCTGAACAGTTTGGGCAAAAATGGACACAATATTCAAGCTTGATACAGGTCTGAATTTGGATTGTAATTAAATATTTGATATATTATAGGTTTCTGAATAAATGTAGTCAGAGAACTTGAAATTGGTTACATGAAAGATTTCTTGCTGTTGTGCAATACACATTGCTGTAGCGTAATACGTTGTAAATCTGTTGTCAGACTATAAACAAATAAAATCTTATAACTCGGAAGCATAAAATAGAAAATTTATAAAAATCAAAAGGAAGCTTACAAAAATAGATATAAACAATTTACCAAAGTTTCATTAAAAATGCTGAAAGCATTTTTGAGTTATTGTCCGAAAACTGGAACATCCCCCTTTTTGTAATGAATAAAACCCCATAAATTGGAAACGTATAGTCTGAAATTTATAAAAATCAAAAGGGAGCTCATGTCGATAGAAATAAACAATTCACAAAAGTTTCTTGCAAATTGGTGAATTTTTTTTTGAGTTATTGTCCAAAAACTGGAAAATCCCCCCCTTTTAATGAATAAAACCCCAAAACTCGGAAACGATAAATTTGAAATTTATAAAAAAAACGAAAGGGAGCTCACGTCAATAGGTATGAACAATTCACAAAAGTTTTATGCAAATTAGTGAAATTGTTTTTGAGTTATTGTCCGAAAACTGGAAAATCCTCCCTTTTTTAATGAATAAAACCCCAAAACTCGGAAATGATAAATGTGAAATTTATAGAAAACGAAAGGGAGCTCACGTCGACAGATATAAACAATTCACCAAAGTTTCATGTATATTGGTTAAAGCGTTTTTGAATTAATGTCCGACATGTTAACGACGGACGGACGGACAGACGGACAGACGGTCAACGGTACACCAAAATACGTCCCGTAAACGGGCGTATAAAAAGTGAACTATAAATTGTTTTACTGCCTGTTTATTATTTTACAGATTTGAGTAGTTTGACGTTAGGATATTCGCTATTCATTTTTAAAGTAACAGGCTTTTTCGAAGACTGTTATATATTGATAGTATAAAAATAAAGAAATTAAAAAAAGCAGAAAATAATGAAGGGTCCGTGTGCTTGTTTTTGAGATTTTACTGCCTGTTTATTATTTTACAGATTTGAGTAGTTCAAAATGACGTTAGGATATTCGCTATTCATTTTTAAAGTAACAGGCTTTTTCGAAGACTGTTATATATTGATAGTATAAAAATAAAGAAATTAAAAAAAGCAGAAAATAATGAAGGGTCCGTGTGCTTGTTTTTTGAGATATAAACCATTGAAAATTTGGCGGGAAATAATTTTCTGTAGATTTTTCTTAAATTTAACCGGTACCTTTTTTCTTTCAAAAACAATGAAATATAGAAAGGAGTTTAAAAGATTTTCAAATATGACAATCTAAATTATATGTAATCAAAATTGTGGAAGGAAAGGTAGGGGTGAGTGGGTAATTTTTTTAATAGCACTGCATGAATAAAACCTAAGGATTCCGAATGCTTGGCGCGACGTCAAGCGTTCGAATTTCATCAAAACGTCACTTTCTGCGGGACGTCATGCGTATTATTTTCTGTAATAAGAACGATATTTTCTATAATTTACAATTTGATTTTATGAATTAATGTGGCTTAAATTACGCAAAAGGCAGTTAATGTATAATAGCACTATGAGAAAAATAACAATATAAGAACCTCTCGATTTCCACATAAAAGTAAAATAAAAAAATATCCCACTTTGAGCAACTTATCCGTAATTTTAAGCATGGCTTGAAATATTAACTAGTCATTCTCGTGGGGATTTATTTTCCCCTTATTTGAACTAATCACAGCATCAGATTGAATCCAATCAATTTATGACGAAGAATATATCTACATACATGTCAAAAAATTGAAATTAATTAAAGTTGTATCTGAGACAATATATTTTCGCTGGAAGATTTATTTCAACAGAATATTCGTTTTATGCGGTTTTGTCACGATTTCAGTTCTTACTATGTTCGATTGTGATTTCAACCGAACACCCACGATAACAAGCAAGTCCGACTTGATTTATTTTCAATAGACTTTCTGCCAAGTAAAGTTTTAAAACTGCATTTCAGTCTGAAGATGAAATTAAATCTCTCCAAAAAAAAGTTGAGAATATTACGCTGCATAAAACTTTGCAGTTTAACAGTGAAAAGAAGTTATTTGATAATATGAATGTACGGTAACATTTGATTTAAATATAATATACTTTCAACAAATATGATATTTCGAGAATAATGACCACCATATGACAATAATGATAGAACCAAGAGGGTTATATCCAGTGGGCAATAAACATGTTTCTTATCATCTGATTATAAGTACTATCATGGGGATGCTAATCTTAATGAAACAGTGTGTGTTATATCCTTCTGACTGACCCAAGACACAGTAATAACATGGAAGTATTATATTGAATACTTCTATGGTTATTCTTACACTACCTATAACCGAGTACGCGGGCAGAAAGTGATTTTCCCCCGATTTTGTACTGATTTTTCATGATAAATTTTACACTATAGTTCTGTTATTTAATTTAAGTAGCTTGATCTAATCAATTGGTTAAAGATCATTTATTCTGTCTGGTCAGCAGTCATTAGTAAGTGATATCCTGAGGCGGGATTGCTTTGAAGTTACATCATGACCTTCCTTGTTCTTTGTTTTGATGCTGTTGCAGCAGATTTGAGTCAAACAAAATCTGTTTTAGTCTGCTTTTAGAAAACTGGGAGTATAAATTAGATTTTTTTTCATGAAATTTTTTTCAAATATAATAATCTGAAAAATGCAAGTAGAAATTTGGACAAAATATGCATTTAAATGTCTTACGTCTTTAAAGTTGTAGAACTTCCGCGATACACTAATAATCGAGGATTATGCTGTGGCCAGTGGGGGATTTTGTCATATCCATATAGGCGCGTGTTTTGTTATCACAACCAGTAAACGAGGTCATTCTGTTGCGTACTTTGGTCAAAGAAAGAGAAAGATGGAGTCCCCAAGAAATGAAAATAAGCTGAATGGAATTTCGTTTTCAAGGAAGAAGAGTCCGAAGCTTACTTATGCCGGAGAGTTCTGGTAAGATATACTTTTTAATCCATAGAAAATATGAAGAGAAAAATATTCATTGATATTTAAAATATGATTTCTGAATATGAATATGAAAAACCGAGGTTTGCCCAGAGACATATATACACATGTGTATATATGTCTCTGGTTTGCCCAAGTTCATTTAGAATACAAAAATGTTTGTCATATTTTTATGTTATGGTATATGTTAATGAATTAGAAATGGAGGTATACAGTTAATTCGGGATTGTTTTGTCTTGAGTAGCCAAACATTCCCATTTTTTTTTAACATTTCTTTATTCATCTATGTGATCACTTCGGATTTTGAGATGTTGCAGAATTCTAAGTTACACACATATCATAATACTCATCAAGTTGTCAATACTGGCAAATATTATTCGATTGAAATTTTCGTAGTTCTATTGACGAGATTTACTTTTAGTAGAGACCAAGTGTCGAGTTAAAAAAGTGAGTATTGAGTAAAACAGTGAGTATCGAGTAAAAAAAGTGAGTAATAACTCGATACCCACTTTTTGATGGGGAAATTTATTCTAACTTTATTCCTTTGGCATGATTCATTTTATCAAGGATGTATATTAGTATTTTAGTTATATATCCTTGGTTATATTGACCATCAACATGAATAATGACTAACTTAGTTCTTAGGGATAGTAATATGAAACTGATAGGACCACTTGAAAAGTAAACATCTTAAACAAAACAGTAGTCAGAATAGTTCGCAAGAAACACCCAATTTAACACTTGGGAACTATATTCCACGAACAAGGGGAATTAATTGTGGTCTGAAGCCTATTAGACACCAAAATGTTGGTATTTCTAATGAAACTTTACATTTACTTAGCATGATATCTTAGTAGCATAAGTGCCAAATTTTATTACTTTCTGACCGTTATTAAAACAGTTTGGAATGTTTTATATAATTGCATATGTCTGCGGAGAATGCTATTTGCAAAGTTTTAAGACCCCAGTCAATAGATATAAGAAGATGTGGTATGAGTGCCAATGAGACAACTCTCCATCCAAGTCACAATTTGTAAAAGTAAACCATTATCTAATTTAAACTAAATGAAAGTTATGGCTGCTGGCTGTTATAAAGGAAATTGGGCAACATTTATATTTGTTAGGTTATTTATTTGCCTTGATCCAGTAGCCATAACTTTTATTTAGTTTAATTGTTAAAGCTTACTGCCACTTGTGTGCCAGTTTTGTGCATCAGAAGTGGTCAATATGATAAGTGTACAGATATAATAAGCATTATTGTGGGTAAATTAATACTGAAAAGTTTCTTTATTTCCACTGCCTATCCTTATTGGTTATGTATACATGTACTTCAAAACAACTTAAAAGTAAATTAAGACTTGACACTTTTCAATTTTAAGATATTTTGCGCTTCATATTTTTATACGTGGTTGTACGTTATAATCTCCCAGGGTCAACTCGTTTTTGGAAAACTTATTGAAAATGCACCATAAGGTACTCTCATTCACTCTGATAATGACCTATATACCCTTATTTTTGTATGCACTGTTCTAACTAATTTTTAAGCACTGTTTAAAACTGTGTATAATTTGTATTAAAACAGATGAATCACCAAAGAAAAGAAAAACTCAAAGTTCTAATAGTGGCCTGGGTGCAGTGTATTCGAATTATCAACAGTTCTCCTCAAATAAAGAAAATAAAAGAAAAAGGTGAGGTTATAAATTTGTCAAATTTCCTTTTTATAACATCAATTTATCACCGTTAACAGTCAGGGGAATTACTTAAATGAGTGATATCTTAAACACTGGTTCAGTAACATTTGAATGTTATGTAACTTTAGATATATACTAATGATCCAGGGACTAATCACGTTTGCTAAAATTATCAGAACCAACATCTGTGTTTAAAGGATGACCGGTCATGTCAGGTGATGACCTTGTACTGAATCTGGGATAATGACATGAAAATCACTTGTATAAATATATATCATAATTCTATTTTATTTCAAAGAATCATTTTAAAGAGGTTTCTTTTTTTCAATTTTACTCATAATAAGATATAATATAAACCTGTATGTTTAAAATTTTAGTAAAAACTACAAAATACAAAATACAAAATTATTTTTTTATCAAGGCTTCAGACCCCAATTAAGTTGATATTTTTTGCTATTTATAAGTGATTATTTCAAAAATTCCCCTGACTGTTTAAACTTACTATTAAAAAAAAGCCCAGAAGATACAGTTTGAATATAGATATGTAAGACAATTATCCAACAGAGACCAACTGAGGTTGATGTTAGAATCTTTATGTGTGTGTGAAGAACTTTCATATTCTTTTTAATAGGTTTCTGGTTTTTATATAACTATTTTGAAAAAAAAATCAAGCCTGTAGTTCAGTAGTTGTCGTTGGTTCACAGCTGTCATATTTGTTTTTCGTAAATTGTTTTGTTATAAATTAGGCCGTTAGTTATGTCAATTGAAAAGCTTTATATTTTCATGTCGGTCCTTTAATAGCCGACTATTACGGTACTATATAGCCATACAGTATGAGTTTTTCTCATTGTTGAAGGCCGTACAGTTACCTATAATTGCCTACATCCACTTCATTTGAACTTTGGTAGATAGTTGTCATATTTGCAATCATACCACATCTCCTTATTTTTTAAACAATCATAGACACACAAAAAGTAAAGAAATGCATGTTATGTTCTTCTTGTATATTTTATGATGGTATGATACTAAATTCCTAATCTTGATTTTCATATAATTGAGGTCTGGAACAGTCATGTCAGTAACTGCTAGTAGTCCTTTGTTAATTGCTGTATCATTGTCCTTTTGTTTAGTTTCTTCTGTTACCTATTCTAACATCGGACCTAGACTTCTTAAAAACTGAGTTTTTCTAAACTTTATCATCAAATATGTATCAAGGGTTTCCAGCATTTAAATTAGATTTAAAAATACCTTTCCAGAGCTTCTGGTAAAGCGATCCTTATCGATATACTAGTTTGTGGTAAATCATTTCAAGTAGTACAGTTAGAAATTTATTGTGATCCAACAATTAATATACACTTACATCGACTATATTTTCCCCCGGTGCAATGCGTTGCGGGGGACATAGAAATATTGGCGTCCGTCCTTCCGTCCCATCTACTAAGCGCTGTCACGTGTACAATTCTTGCCAGATTTTTATGAGACTTATTTCATAGTTTTAAATTAGCAATTTCTTGAACGAATTTAAAAAGCCGTGCCTTTCATCTATTTTTAAAGAGTTATGCCCCTTAGAAATATTAATTATGGTGAAAATTGCCAAATGAATGCTCTAATGTGAACAATTCTTGCCAGAGTTTTGAAAATTTATACTATAGGTAAATATTAGCAATGTTTTGGACGAGTTCGAAAATCAGTGCCAATCAATTGCCCTTGGAAATATTAATCATATGGAAAATTGCATTGTTAGCGCTCTCATTTGTTCAATTCTTGCCAGAATTTTATGAAACTTATATCAAAAGGTTTATACCAGCAATATGTTTAAGATATCAAGTATGAATATTACATGTATTAGGTCAATATTCTTTAAAAATAAACGTCTTTTGAAATGGCACATGTGACCTCTTGAAAGAAGTAGGATCAAGAAGTCCTATATTTGGTCCTTATGTCAAATTTTTCAATATTCAATCAATTTGAAAGACTTATATTCATATCTTAAAAAGGCAAATTTGAAAAGACTACATATTTTTTTTCTCGAAATTTTAGTTTAAAAAAATGAATATTTAATACATGCATTGTAGCCAGATTGCTTGTATTTATGCATTTATAGGCCTTTTTATCTGAATAATATTGGTCACATACTAAGAGTAATAAAAACTTATCAAATTATATATATGTTTCAAATTCACACTATTACAAAACATATGGTTGTCCATTCATGCTGCCAATACCTTTGTAAACACCCTGTTGAAATTAGTAAAAAATTGTTTATTCAAAATTAAGGTTTTTCTTCATAAGAGTGTATAACTTTGATGGATTGTGATGACACTGACCGAAAAATAGTAGTTTTTAATTTGGCATTTCCTCAATTTAAAAGGAAAATTAAGAATTAAAGTAAAATATTCTGCCAAAATATAAGTCCCTTATCTTGTACCATGTCCTTCGTCTGATGCTATTCAACAAATCCGGCTAACTGTTGAACATATAGCAATAGTTAAAATCATCAACTGTTTCTGGTATTTGATGTAATTAAACTAAACTTTAAAATTAAAAAAAATATATGCTTTTATGAAATAAGGTGTTTTTACAAGTAACGTAATTCAAAAAAAATGAAGCAACATGTACCGTTACTCTGAATAGAAATGCATTTACAAAGAATGGTATTATCCTCACTATCATCTTTTTTTTCGGAAATAGATCATTAGAATAATTTGTTTTCTTTTTTAGATTTTACTTTCTATGAGTACCCACAGCATCTTCAAGCAGAACAATGGATATTGATCAGACCAGACAGTCTGGAGAATTTACCATGGATAGAAGTAACAATAGTAACAGCAACACACTCGATTGGTTTAATGGATATTTTGGACAGGAGTAGCAGACTGGTACATTGATTCAAAAATCTTGAACAAACAACAACTGAACACATTCTTGTCTCTTTTAAGTGGGATAATGTTAATCTTTACAAAATGCCAGCACAATTGAAATTAATATGGGATAGTTGAAAGAAGAAATTTCAAAATGATACATATTATCACAATGTTGCATTTAGACAATCTCTATTTTTGTGAAACAGTTTTTTTTTAAACTTTAAATACTGTGATGATCTACAAAACATTATTAAAAGATGAACATGTAAGTCTCAAGTGTGATCCAGTTTTTAACCGCTTTTCGCTTGAAAAAAAATCAAGCTTTTTTAAATTTATGAAGTGACAACAATTGTTTTTACTGGATTTACATTGAATAAATAATATTATCCAGACATTAAAATAAAAATGTTGAAATTGATTTCACTTCATTTTATTTTCATTTTTTCGCAATGTTTTTATCAATTTTTTTTAACCTTTCTAAGTGAGAAAGTCAGACTTTTTGATGCTTCTAGTTGTTACACAACTACATTTAAAACATTGTCACATTTCATATGGTATATTCTGGCTTTCATTGTATTTTGTGTTTTTTGTATTTTGGTGAAATTGCAAATTGTGTTCTTACCAATGAAACTTAACAGTTAATTGTGCTTGATTTTTTTTCTCTTAAACAATGAAAAACCCTTTTAATTAAAAATTAATATGTTAAGGTGAAGTTCATCCCAAAGGTTGCTTTTATTCATTTTCATAAAATTATAAATAATTAAAAAAAAATTTGGAAAGTTTGGAACTATTTGATTTGATTACCATTGAGAAAGCTTTCCACGAAAGTTCAAATGATGTAACCGTAGGCATACGACCTTCAACGACATGAGAAAAAGCCATACTGTATGGTCATCTATAAAAGACCCCGACATTAAACACAAACTCAATTGAGAAGAATAACGGCCTAATTCATTACAATTTACGAAAAACAATATGACAGACATGAACCAACAACAACCACTGAACAACGGGCTCCTGACTTGGGACAGTCACATAACGGAGGTGGCAGGGTGAAACATGTTTGTGATCGCTCAACCCTCTCCTAGCTGGGACAGTGTGTGTAACAGCACACCATAAGAATAAGCATTTATTTAGTACAGTATCATTTTAAAACAACAGCTTTCAAAAATTCACTTAATTTTGATGACAAGTATTAGTAACCAATCAATATATACAGAGATATGAATCACCTGTGTGCAATTTTGATAGATATATATAATGCAAATGTTGAAATTTAAATTACAATACTTAAATGACTACTTACCCATTTTTCATCAGTATTCTGATATATTAAAGTATAGAAATTGACCCTATGTAAAAGTTTCAAAGTCAACGAATCATGACTGGGGGAGGGAAAATAATCATTATGGAGATGAGATGTGCAAAATCTAGTACAACTGCACATCTAATGTAATAACCGTTAATGTTCAGCCTTAAACTGACCAAATCACAAACATAAACCTGTAAACTAACTTTGCATTTTCGAAATCAATAGACAGTGATTGGGGGAGGGATAATCGCCATGGAAATAATTTCCAGTGTCTTTTTATAAATGGTTACTAGAGTGACATCCCTAAATTATTCCCCTTCTGACTGAACTAAACAGCAATACACATTGCTATGAGTTGATGCTCTAGTGAATATAAATGTGTAAACCTAATTTTGTGACTGAATTCAGTCATTATATTTTTATTACTGCTGCAGAATTGGTCTTTTCAACAAATATTCCCTGAATTTGTATTGACTGAATTCAGTCATCTGTATTATAGATGTGTATACTATGTAATCACACTTGGTGTAATTTAAGTCTTAGAAAACACTCTAATTTAGTACAATTTCTTGTAGCTTCTATCAAATGCTGTGTGACTGAATTCAGTCAACATTTTGTGAAAATAATGAACAGGATAAAGAGTTAATTTCATTTAGCTGTTATCCTGTTATATGTTGCTTGTATTAATCTATAATCCGAATTCTGTTTCATCTGAATTAACAGTAATAGGTTTTAGTTAAGAAGCAACAAGTACAAATGTATTTGATTGATATTTTACGAATAAAATGGTAATGTTACTTTCTATTGTTCTTATTGAATTATGTGATATAAAGATGCAATCAGGTGACTGAATTCAGTCACTCAAAAAATTATCACCGTACAATGCTATTTTATTTTTTGTAAGTTGATCATATTAATGGGGTCATTAATATGAATATATTCTGTGTTGACGTTTTCATCCATTTTAAATAAAATGCGCATTGCATACAATGTTGAATGTTAAATAGTATTCTATAATGAATAATATATCTACTCAGTTCAACCCTTGAATTTTGACAAGTCAGAAAATTGACAAGTTGAACCAGACGGTGTTACAATCGGATTCCAGTTTATAAGTTTCTTCATGCAAAGTGTCAACAAAGGGACGTAACTCATTAATTACTATCGGCACCGCTTCGTCAGAAATATCGACAGATTGAAGTGACACATTTGCGTATTACAGCGTATTGAGTGGCACAAACTTGACACGGGCCAGTTTATGTTAAGCCTCTTCACATATTTTAAATTCAGCATAGGTTCCCCAGAAGTTAAGAAAGAAATTTCAACTGATGTGTTGAAAAAACTTGACGCGACGAGTGACGATCTTTTGTTTGAATGCTTCGTATTCTAATTCAGTACGTTTAATCAAAGCAATTTTTATGTGAGAATTCCTAAAAAGTATACAAAATTGGCATTTGTAATGTACAGCATGCTTTGATTTCATTTGATAAGACTTTTTGGAGGAAACAGAGTCGTTTCAGTTAAAGAAAAAAAACCCCAAAAATGCCCAAATATGGCTGTTACATGACTTCCATTGTTGCTTTAAGAAATGGGGTCAAACCGGGGTCAGCTTTCCGGATTCCTTTATATAGCACAACAGTAGATAAAAAATCTTTATTGGGGTCTAAAATAGTATTAGGTTTAGAGTTTGAGTCAATAGGGAATAAGTGAACCTCGTCATATAAAATTCTAAATCCTTTTTTTTATTTTATTATGCTATGTGTTTAAAAAATTTCATCGTAGCTTGATTTTTTTATTGATTTTATGACAGACCCTTTATGTTATTATTCATAACGCACTAACCCATGGTAACATCAATATAATTAAAGCCCTGATGAAATTTTTTAATCACATAGCATTATAAAAAAAGGATGTCATAGTATTTTTTATAACATTTGATGACCAAACATTTTTAGAACACCAGATAATACTGGTTTACCGGACTGATATAAAGATTACAGGGTACATTATCACAATTAAAGACGTTCCGTGTGTCACCCAAAGCAACATAGATAAGCTAGACCATAATAATCAGACATTTAATTTTTCTGTTATCTGCACTAAAAACTATTTACTATAATTAGAAATATATCAAATACATACCTCCAATGTCTACAACCATGTACCGTGTTCCATCTTCAGTCATACAGTAACCTTTTTCGGCGCCTTGTAGCCTTTCTATCGGAAGATCTTGACAGTATAAAGAAGCGGCCTCTGGTTCCAGTGCAATTAGAAGCTGATTATTTGGAAATCCAGTCTATAATTGAAAGAATGCCCGTTGTTTATGTAAATAAGATAATGCAATGCAGAAAGAATTTAAATGAATACTTATACATGTTAACTCTATTTAACCTGTGGATTTTATTCTAGCAGTTGTATTTTACTCTTTAACTAAATGTTCTAGTGTTATGTCAAAGATCGTCTCGTCCTTTTACAGAAAAAAGTTCATTGGAAGATACCAGGGCCTTGTTGATAAATATTGCGTTTTAACTTCACAAATAATACTGATAGTTTTGAAGTATAGATTCTGGGTACCTGCGTTGTTTATCATCTTAATTATGTGTTATAGTGTTCTTTTTATTTTTATTTTTATATTTATAAGCGTTACTGTCGAGTCTATTTTTTTTTAACTTTTGGCGTAGCTTGGTATTAATAAATCCCGACATTGTTTGCTTATGTACTTTGTCTATAGAGTGTCTATATGTTATTTTGATTTTCTTTAATGAAATATATGATTTCAGCTTCCAATGGTGAACTTTCTATGTAGCAATATTCCAGCAGCACCTGATTATGTAGTATATATCTACCATTTGATATTATTTTCCAGATCTTGCATATTCCCTATCATAATTTACTTGATATAGGGTTGCTGCTCACAGGAAAACTTTTAACCCAAGTGATGACGTTGAAATCGTCCCTGATAAAAATGTCACGAGTTGATCTGTTTCCCGGATGACGACAAATATGTTCTTTTTGTAGTGAACACAGTCGAATTAGACATATCCCTGCGTTTGAATTTACACGAGCATCACGATAGTTGCCAAATGTGACGCAAGATCTTGTTACCCTTCTGGAGAACCTGAGATCACTCCCGATATTTTCTGGGGTTCGTGTCGCTTAATCTGTCGTTTTCTATGTTGCATGTGTATTGTATACTAAGCTGTGTTTTATTTTGAGTTTTTTGTCATGGGGCTGTCGGTATGTTTTCGACTAATGAGCCATTGGTATCTTTCTCCTTTTTGTTGAGTTAAGTAATACATCTCCCTCATGCAAACCCCAGATCCTTGTCACGTTTGGCTTCACAGTTTGGACATTTTTAGTAATAGAAGGTTTTGAATTTCAAATATTTTGGCCTTAAAAATTATCAAAAGCCACACAATTCTTGAAGTGCTTATCTTGTGCAGTTAATTGGTCCCGTGAATTTCAGTTCTACAATGATAGGTGAAATATATCAATGAGATTTTCAAAATCATAATTCGAAATTAAGGAATGTGTCTCCAGTATTTCAAGCTTTATTTTTTGTGTAGGTTTGGATATACTTTTAGTCCTTATTTTCACATTGAATTTTTTTTCTCTTGTCATGCATTAAGAATTACGCGTTCTAAATGAAGACCCGCTCTTCAGAATATTTTCTGCGTTCCAGAGAAGAACAATATGTGTTCTAATCTTATTTTAAACAAAAATATAAATAATGAGCAACAGATATACAATTTTGAAGTTTTGAAGTCGAATAAATCATTTTTTATCTTTCCATTTGCAAAACCTCTTTCATAAAGCTTTCATTTGTTCATTTATTAATGTTTTGTGGTGCCATCGATCTATTGTGAAGATACATATATCAATTTGTTTAAAGCATAATTATTCAATTCCTAAGACTTTTTTCAAATTCCTTTCAAATGACTGTTACAAATCAACCCGAAAATACATATCGAATCTATTTAAGATGGAAAAATAAGATGAAAATTAAGACAATCATAAGTGGACATAAAATGATGTAAATGAGACATATTTTCATCGATATCCATAAAAAATAAAGTCACTTCGGACTAGGTTAGATAAAAATTCAAGATTTGCTGCTAATGTTGGAATTTTTGGAGCATTATGTCACTAAGGCAAACTCAATGACGTATGTAGTATTTCATTTGAAAGAAACGAACAGACCATACATATATGTCGAACTAAATTGTTGATTAACAAACTTGCTAATCTTTTTACGTAGACAGGTAAAACAAAATAACGGGGACATTTACAATTGGTCTTTTTTGTGTAAGCTATACAGCTAACTTAAATTCATTTGGATGCCAGTTTTCTGTTTTTAATATTTGTCATGGAATGTTTAAAGCTCATTTAAAATTTTAAGATTCTATCTTCAATAGTTTTTGAACACCAGTGAGATAAGTGGTCCAAAAATGGTAATTTTCAGACGTTATGTGGTTGCGCTTAAAATTTTACATTATTTTGACCTTTAAAATCTTTTTAACAGTAAGTGAAATGTTCATGTCAAATATTTTAATAAAAAGATTATTAAATGGCAATTAAAATGATTCCAACATAACAAAAATCTGAGCTAGTTTAAAATTAACATGCAGAATTGTAAAAGTGGTGCTTCGTTTATTTTTTTTTCAATTTATTAAGTGTTGATAATTAATGGCCCTGGAAATAAAACTAATTGCAGGATTATTCATTAAATATGTGTCAACATACTTGCATATAATAATACTAAAATAAAATACAGTAATATAAATATTAATATGTATATAGAATATGTTTGAAATTTTCAAAGTGGAAAAAAAGTAATTAAAAAAAGTGTAGTGTCCATAACCAGCTTATTATTCTCCTAGAAAGAATAGTTACAGTAAACAATAAGCTACTTTTCTTTATAGATTTGACACTTAACACCAATATAATAACAAAATTTAGCACCATCTTATTATAATTTAGTCAGAATAAATGAAAATATGGTTACGGACACTACAGAAAAGATGTAGTGTCCGTAACCATTAGTTTATAAATATATTTTTTTCATCAAAATAGGCTTCATTTCTGGGTTCTATGATGTCTACTTTGCTGCATCATCATTGTCTTTTGATTAAAAATTAAAAAAATTATGAAAACAGACAACTGTTCGAAAATATTTCAGCTGATAGTAATCCTCGACATATTAATTTGAAACCAGATCATCTTGTTGTAATACCCCCATTTTCATTGATTTTGGTATCAGTTTGTCATAAACTCTAAAGATTAGTTATTTTGTAATGTAAGATTATGATATTCATTTTCATGATTATTTTATGATTTTTATATCTTCAGATCAATCATGGGTCGTTCTGTTGTTAAGAATTGTAAACAATAAAAAGAAGATAAACAAATTTAATAGTTACCCATGAAAGTTATTCATATTGAGTAAATTATAAACATAAGATTAATGTAGTGTCCGTAACTCAAATAATTTATTGAGTTTATTTTAGATACCATTTATGTGAGGAATACTGTGCTGTGATTTATATTCCTATGAATAGAAGGTCAACTTTTAATGATTTTGATGGGCTACATGTATATAGTCTTTTAATTTAAAAGAGGTTCTATTCTCACAATAATCATTTTTTACTTATTAAGAAAGAGGGTATAATTTTGCAGCATGCTAAAGTTCAACATAATTTCTGTGATTTTTTTTTTTGGTTGGTAGTTTATTAATAAATTTCATTTGAATAATAATTATGCGAAGAGACTTGGGATAGTTCTTAAAGACATAAATTTCTGGAGGTTAATTTTACAAGTAGTGTCCGTAACCACCACCTACCTTACCCCAAACAAAATAGAAAATAAAACACTTCTCATTGTTTTTTCCACTAACCTAATGAGTTTCACAAATTTCAAGCAATACTTATGCAAGATCACAATTTGTATTGTGTTGACCTTTATTTTTGACCTCAAGTGCAACCTTACTGTTTGTTCCCTTTACTGTGTTTTACCCGAGAATATATTTTTGTAAATCTACTATAATTTTAATTTAATTTTAAATCTGAAAACAAATAAGCTGTATGTCATTTTCAAATCTTTACCTTTAATCATAGTATCCCAGATCCAGGTGTGTACTTTAATTATATGGGTTATTTCTAAACTAATGATATAACTACAAAAATAAAATGGAGACGGCCAAAACCTGCAAATTGTAGTATTTGGTAAGCACCACAAATGTACAAGATTTCAATCCTGTACCGAAACCGTTGAAATGTGTATTTTTATTTTCCTGTGTTTAACTGAAATTCATAAATCTAAAGAAGGACAATTATTTCTGCTAATATCAGGTTCATTTAAAGTCATGTTTATTTATCAAGCTTCCACATTATAGATAGAAAATTCTTTTTTATTCTAAGAAAAAATATCTTTAGGCAACGGTTAGCATTATAAGTAGTATGAAAGACGGATCTTTACTGAGTTAGGCCATGCAATGCTATTCATAATAATACAAAAACAAATTTGCCATGTCAGATGCGAGTTGGTGTCCCTTAGAATTATGATATTTTATTTTAAGGATTTTTGTCACGCTTTAATTATTATGTCTATTTCATTAACAGAGGAAATACGGCATTATGTCACCTAAAACCCAGTTTGGCCACATTTCATTCATTATATTGTTTTAACAGCACCACAAAGGTTTCCTTTTAGAAAGGAAAAGAAACTGTTTCTTGATTGTAGTGTTCAGAACAATGTCGACTCAAAATACTGCACTTACTAATTCTGCACTTTTCCAAATGAATTGTTTTGCGGCATCCGACCAAATTGCAGGAACTGTCAAAACCCATCGAATATCAGTCTTTTTTATTTCTTTTCCTCTTTGATCAAAAATATCAAACAAATGCTGCATAAGAGCTTCGATAGATTTTGCAAAAACCTTCATAGCCGTTAGTGGTTTTCCAGTGACATCTTCTATTATCATTTCCCCTTTGATATCCTGGAGGTACAAAATATGTACATAATGATTAAGAATAAATCTCCAACTCTAAAAACAACTTTAAATATTAGCGAAAAATATCGGTACAGCAATTAAGAGGATACCGAATACTATTCAATTATCAAGTTTACAGGATTATGTAATTCAGTATTAACTTTGTTCTTTCTATACGTCATTTTCCTGATTTTCGTCGAAATTATAATGATTTTCATTGATGTTTGTCTTGACAAATTAGTGATCACATGAATTATTAAATTAAACAGTTTTTCCGACGTCAGTCTATTGTTCTTAATTGTATTGCATGTATCAATTGAAACTAACTTTGGATTCATTATTATTCGTTGGGTACCAATTCTCATGAAATTCGTTGGTTTAGGTAAACCACGAATTCAAATGTTTAACGAACTGCACATTTTCTTAGGTTTTTCTGAATATTTTGGGAAAACCATGATATGAAATATCCACGAGATAGCAGGTTTTCGTCAATCCACGAAAATTAGAACCCGCACGAAAATTAAGGAATCCACAGGATCTTTAATTAACTAAGATGTATCAAAATAAAAATTGATGTTACAAGATTTGTAGATGCTACATATTAAATTTCGATCATTTCCAACCATTAAAGAATAAATTAGACAATAGTTCGTTCTGATGTTGTACTGTTACACCACTGTCCAAGGTTAGGGGGAGTGTTGGGATCCTGCTAAGTTAAACCTTTTTAAACTCCGCCACATTCTGTATGTATGTGCCTGTCCTAAGTCAGGAGCCTGTAAAGCAGTGGTTGTCGTTTGTTGATGTGATACATATTTGTTTTTCGTTCATTTTTTGGTACATAAACTAGGCCGTTAGTTTTCTTGTTTGAATTGTTTCACAATTGTCATTTCGGGGCCTTTTATAACTGAACATGAGGTATGGCCTATAGCTGTTAATTTCTGTGTCATTTGGTCTCTTGTGGAGAGTTGTGTCATTGGCAATCATCCCACATCTTCTTTTTTATATGACATCCTCTTGATGGAATTATCTTGTTTTATTGTCAGAAAGTAAAAATAGACAGAGGTTTTACCAGAATTGGGTTTAGCTACAGAATTTTTAAAAAGTACAGGATCAGAAACGATAACCAACCTGCGAATAACGTCGCACGTTGATAATTGTTAACGAATAAAATCATTATATATACCAGGCAACAACTACTTCTTACCCACCTCTCTAAAACTAATTACGTCCCCGAGGGTATCACCAGCCCAGTAGTCAGCACCTCGTTGTTGACATGAATATCAATTATATGGCCATTTTTATAAATTTCCTGTTTACAAAATTATGAATTTTTCGAATTACTAAGGACTTTCTTATCCCAGGCATAGATTACTTTAGACGTATTTGGCATAACATTTGGAATTTTGGGTCCTCAATGCTCTTCAACTTTGTACTTCCTTGGCTTTATAACTATTTTGATTTGAGCGTTACTGATGAGTCTTATGAAGACGAAACGCGCGTCTGGTGTATTAAGTTATAAGCCTGGTACCTTTGATAACTATTTACACCACTGGGTCGATGCCACTGCTGGTGGACGTTTCGTCCCCGAGGGTATCACCATCCCAGTAGTCAGCAATTCAGTGTTGACATGAATATCAATTACATGGTCATTTTTATAAATTTCCTGTTTACAAAATTATGAATTTTTCGAATTACTAAGGATTGTTTTATCCCAGGCATAGATTACCTTAGCCGTATTTGGCATAACTTTTTGGAATTTTGGGTCCTCAATGCTCTTCAACTATGTACTTCTTTGACTTTATGACTATTTTTATCTGAGCGTCACTGATGAGTCTGGCGTATTAAATTATAAGCCTGGTACCTTTGATAACTATTTGCTATATGGTTTTCTAGCTATGATAAGCATGTGACATTTACCATACAAGTTTCTTTGATGCACCCACCTGATATAGTGTAGACTGAGGAATGGAATTAATAAATGAATTGTTTACTCTACAAATACTTCTTAGCTAGTAGATATACTATTAGGAAGATGGGGTATGAGTGCCAATGAGACAGCTCTCCATCCAAATCACAATTTATAAAACTAAACCATTATAGGTCAAGGTACGGTCTTCAACATGGAGCCTTGGCTCACACCGACCAGCAAGCTATAAAGGGCCCCAAAAATGTATTTGTGTAAAACAATTCAAACGGGAAAATCAACGGTCTAATCTGTATAACAAATCGAGAAACGAGAAACACTTATGAACCACATCAACAAACGACAACTACTGTACATCAGATTCATGACTTAGGACAGGTGCAAACAATTGCAGCGGGTGTAAACGTTTCAATGGTACCAAACCTTCACCCTTATCTGAAACAATAGTGTAACCGGCATCACAACATAAAAAGACACACTTTAAAATATCAATTGGAATGGCTTTACTCAATCAAAAGACGTAGTAACACAAATGAACATACACTGAACAAATAAATTTGATCTATGATACAATGTAAATACAAAGTTAATAAAAATAAGTGATTATTAGCGATATTTTAAAGATATAGAGTATATCTAAACTATTAGTATCAAAGAAAGAAAAAACAAATTAAGGATCAATATGCAACTTTAGTATACAAAGGAGACACAATACATCAGGTGGATTGCTTAGATATTCAATTCACAATAAATGATCAACAGTTCTTAGAAGCATAATTGACCGAATTTGAACAAAATTAAATGGAAAATAATTTGGTAACAGCAATTGAAAAATTTGAAGAAAATATACAAACTACAAAAACTCTGGAAAGATCTTACGCAAACAAATTCTGATTTACAAACTATTGAATACAAAAATGCATGGTTAGTACGTGCATTTAAAAGTGCTATGGGTAGAAAAAGGAGAATGATACTTGGAACATTTCCTCAATTTAGAAACTAAGAACTTTATAAATAAAAACAATTCAAAGACTAGTGAATAAGAAAGTTATTTACGGAAGACAAAAAACTCTAAATATAGATCTCAATAAGAAAATTTCATTTTAGAGGTTCAATAGTTAACCAACACGGAGGCTTGGCTCACGCCGAACAGCAAGATATAAATTAAAGGGCCCTATAAAATGACTAGTGTAAAACCATTCAAACGGGAAAACCAACAGTCTTATCTATGTAAAAAAAAAACGAGAAACGAGAAACACTTATGAACCACATCAACATTCAAATGTTATACTTTGAGATACTTGGTATACTTATACAAAATAATGACCAAATTAAAGGATGACTCAAAATATCACAATATGCAGATGATTCTTAATTCATTTATACATGATGGATCAACAGAGGCTCGGGATGAATACGCTTTACAAATATGCAGGTTTATCAGGCCTTAATATAAATTGTAGACAAGACCAAGTTTGTTTTGATTTAGAAGAAAAAGTTACGCCAAGAAATTATGTGTTATGTGGTGATCGGCGTTGGGTTCCAGCAGATTGACACTTCTTTGGAAACATTTCTACGTAGATTTTAAACAAGTTGAAAATTTAAACTATGATCCCAAGATGAAAGAAATTGGAAATTATATAAAGGTTAACTTGAACAATCCAAATACTCTCCACAATTGGAGAAATAGCCGTTATAAAAACACTTATGATATAAAAATTAAACCATGTATTCCTATCTATACCTAGTGCAAATAATACAAAGCCGAAACTTTACTGTCATAGCATGTTAACTAATAACTCTTGTATTTCTTCAATCTGTAATCTAGGCGCATGTTAGTTGAATACATTTTTAAAGTCACAAATTAAGAGACTTTTTGAAAAATGTCACTCACCTAAGAAAAAATAGTCACGCAGTTTAATTTTGCTATGATGCGGTACATTAAATATGTTACGATGGAAAGAGAGGGGGTATTCAAATTCATCAGTATAAAAATAGCTGACAACGCCATGGCTAAAAAAAGAAAAGACTAACAGACAAACAATAGTCCACACAACGTAGAAATCTAAAAACTGAGCAACTCGAATCAACACTAAAAACTGGGGGTAATCTCAGGTGCTCCGGAAGGATAACATATTATATGTTTTACAGATAACATAGGTCATAATCCTAAATTAGAATTAAATATGTGCATCCTTTTACTACATATTATTTATGTTGCTTTAAAGTTATAATTAAGAATATAGTGAAATCTAGAGTCAGCAGAAAATGGAAACAACTGTAATACTGATTTTTGTACGACTTTGCCCCCAGCAGAGCTTTAGAAAAACATTACACTAACGGGTGGGTGTTACACGGACACTTTTAAGATGATACACGGAAACTATTTTAGTTTTTACACGGACAGGTTTTATCACTCGTGCATTGTCAGTGAGTTCATGTGCACTTTAAATTTCAATTAGATTTGAACTTTTTGTTTTACAGACATATCTCTTGTCTTTTTAATTTAAAATAGTATCGTTAGCCTCAAAAACTTTATTTTTTTCAAACAATTCCAGCAAATTACTATTCATTTCAGTACACTAAGGGATCATTGACCATTTAACTTCAAAATGGGTGTTATGGTTTTTTCTTTAAAAAATATTTTGATCTTCAATTTTATGAGAAAATATATATTGTTGTCAGGCATATAACAAAATAATGTTCTAATTCCTGATTTTCTGAATACCGTATGTAAAAGTGCTAATTTCGAAAAAAAAAATATAAGCTAAAGATAATATCTATCAACAAGACAAATCCTTTTTTTTTAAATTAACATTTCATTCACTAAATAAATGAAAAAGGAAATTCATTCTTTTGATACATTTATAATGTAATTGAATACATATACTATAGTATATTGAATTCATAAATTTGGCTGCAAACGTACGATTTTTCCATTTTTTTAGAGGGAATGGGGGGATGGAATTACACATCCTAAAATTAAAATTGAGAATGGAAATGGGGAATGTGTCAAAGAGACAACAACCCGACCATAGAGCAGACAACAGCCGAAGGCCACCAATGGGTCTCCAATGCAGCGAGAAACTCCCACACCCGGAGGAGTCCTTCAGCTGGCCCCTAAACAAATATGTACGTTACTAGTTCAGTGATAATGGACGTCATACTGAACTCCGGATTATACACAAGAAACTAAAATTAAAAATCATACAAGACTAACAAAGGCCAGAGGCTCCTGACTTGGGACATGCGCAAAAATGCGGCTGGGTTAAACATGTTTTCTGAGATCTAAACCCTCCCCTATACCTCTGGCAATGTAGAAAAAACAAACGCATAACAATATGCATTTTTTCAGCAAAAAAAAAAACTGTTTATTTTTAATTTATTTTTACCACCCCTCCCCTTTCCGTTTTTCCACGATAAAACATGAAAGTCAAGTGATAGCTTGCTTACCTCTGAAATCTCTAGTATACATGAGTGGATTTTAAAAGTCTCAAATGTCACGGTGTACAACATTCATCTTTTACTTGTCATGGGTCTTTTTTATAAAGTCATTAGATTCTTGATTTTTTTAGAGAGAAAAAAACTATCGGATGAAGGGAAGTGATAAAAAATGTTTTGAAAATGTAACTTACATTAACTGATATATAAAATTGAGAATGGAAATGGGGCATTTAAGTTTCTAATATGTTTAGTTGTTACCGGCCTGTTTCTTTGTTGCCTTTGTATTGTATCTAATACGTTAGCCTTACCTTGTTCTTGTATAGTTGCATCTTAAAGCGTTGGAAAAAGAAATATTCATTTTGCTGTCCGTCAAGGACTATGTCGGCGTACTTATTTTCTGCCTCATATCCAAATGATACAAGCTCTTCGTTGTTATCCAAGAGTAAACACGTTGGTGTCTTAAGGGATAAGTGTCGTTGACTTCCAGCATTCCAAGCTTGGTTGGCAACAATTTTTAGAGGGTCCCTTTTAAAATCGTCTCTGGAGGAGAAAGCATATCCAGAATACGTAGTGTCAAAATCTATGGCCACAACAAACAAGTAATCATCTGATAATTTTGACATCACTCCTTATAAGGAAACTCGTCTCCTTAAAAAATCATTCAAATATGACTCAAAGCAGTGTTATATATTACGATTTCTGTGATACTCCCATAATAACAAATTTGGGGGAAATAATAATATTCTTTGTCAGCTACGTAGCGACTTATTCAATTGAACCATTTTTGAATTTGTTTGTCCTTGTAAATATTTACTTATAAATTATACAGGTTTCAATTGACTGGAGATTAATGTATGAACCTTTATTTCTCTAAATACATTTTAATAAAAAGTAATTATTGCATCACATTTTTCAAATTTCCGAAATGTTATTTCGCATAATGATATTCATTTCGTCATGGTTACATTATATACAGGATCTGACCGTTAGTACACTGCCTTATTAAAGGAACGTATTTTTTTTCAAACGGCAGTTGCTTGTATATGCCTTTCTGTTGTCTAATGTAATTTGATTATTGGATTGATTCAGAGGCTTAATAGTCAGTGGCAAGCATTCCATACATTTTCAGGACGAGAAAAAATATCATTTATTACAATAGGTATACATGTATCTTGTTTTATGGGGTCAAACGAGATGAATGTCGAGAAAATTGGAATGACAATAGAAAATGAGGGTAAATTGCAAAGGGACAGCAATCTATATGTTTGCAACAGGCCACCTCAGGCCCCTCCAAGAGTTGTTGCAACGGTTCTTTACGTGCTTAGAGCGTGACACCTCTCTACAAAAGGCACCTGATTTAACATTCTCAATCTAAACGAAGGGATCTGCAAATTTATACATCTAGCATATGCAACTGGATATCCAACTTTAGCAAGTGTTCTACCGCCGGTAGAAAAAATTATGGGTGCATGGCCACAGTTCCACGGGGTGTTAATTCATGTTATAGGACTAATTGTATATAGACAAACACATGATGAGACCGTTTTTGATAAAGATGTAAAAACAGTTTTGTATTTTATTTCCTTTATTATGGTTAGTATTGATGTCGTATGGTTGCCTTCTCCTTAGAGTACACCACATCTGTCTCATGTAAATTTTCAAACAGATATTTTTACATAATTTCGGATTGATTTTTTAATTGTTACTTGATGTACAGCGAGACGCCAGTAAATTATTTATTGTAAATCATAATTATATGGACTTATTCAAACTAAATGAGATATCATTTGAAAATAAATCCATTATCCATGCGTGCAACAAAGCAGTCAAAAAGATTTACACAATATTTGATTCTAATTGTTGGAACTTTTATACTGATATTTTCATTTTTAATTATTTTTTAAGGTGGCACATTGGTAGTAAAATAAAAAAGAAATTAAGAAATATATAGCAAAATAAGTAAAAAGAAAACATCAGAAATAAATAGAAATAGTAAATACTGCCCCGAGGTCATATGCTATAGGACTAACATGTTACAAGTTGCATCTCTGCATGATATGCAGACGTTCACTTCAGCCGTCGTGGAATGAAAAAAGAGACTATTTGCTGTGTTTTCATCAAATATAGATATTAGTATCTCTAAAAGAGTGACTGTAGAGAACTTTTATTACAGTAAACATGTAGTCTAATTAAATCTAGGCATGTTTGAAGTAAAGCCCTGAAATTTTTCTTCTTTTTTCTTTTTGTTTTCTTTTAACAAAAATTCCATAATTTTTTTTATAGACCTGTACGTTAACATGGAACCAAGTTGATGATTAAAAAGTTTTAATTGTATTTTAGTCTTGTTTATATACCTCCAAATAATAAAGAATGTATAAAATGGTGTACTAGCTGTCAAATTCATGTTCATCGATTTGACTCAAATTTTCATATTCAACTTAAGGTCAGGTTACAGTGAATGGGCTATGTCACAGATTTCAGTAAAATTTTGGATACAACTTTGGCTCGTAGTCAAATTTTAGAAGATTTTTCGCCGATTTTATGTGCTATCTATACAAATATTCACTCATTTTGAAAGAAATCAATCTGTAATATTTCAGATAATAAAAGAGATGAATGCATTTTTTTTTTCGATTTTCATTTGTAGTTCAAAGAGTCAAGGTTGTATGCCAAATTTTAGAAAAATCTGCAACATAGCCCATTTACTGTTCCTTGACCTTAATAAAATACTTAAACGTATATCCAAATAAAAAGTCTGAAATAAATTTACGATGCATAAACACGAAATTATGTATCATCATTTCGTGTGTAATCTAGTCTAGACGCCATCTAATTAACCTTCGAGGTGATCTCGTTGTAAACATAGAAATAATAAGATAGCGAACTCGTGCAAGTGGATTTTTCTATGTCTGTTTGATTTCATATTATAGGTTAAAACAATATGTTAATAATCGTTTTTATCTGCATAAGAATAAGTTTATGAAAATCGAATCAGTCATTCAAATGGTTTACCCTTGTTTCACTTCCATTGTTGACATTCTTTTCCTTTCACTAGCTGATCACCCCTAGTTCATGCTTAACCCATCTCTAGCTAAGAAGTTCAATTGAAGTTCACATGAATTTAATTTACAGAATGAAATGTAAAAAAAAAACAATTGAAAGCGTTGAACACCAGAACAGTTTTATTTATGATAATTACTGAAATAAAAAAGAGATTAAATAATTAAGAATAAATTTTACTGAATTATTCCAAATTAACACAAGCACAGAACTCTACAATTATTTATAATTTCTCAAAATGTTTGGATGACAGAACTGATCACAATATTTGTCCTGATTTTTTGCAAATACATTGATTGACTCAAAAATCTGGTTTTAGTACTTCGACAACATTTGGAGAAACTTGGATTCACACCAATTAAGCACTACCATTACCATTTCTGATAAAAAAAACCACTTCAAACAACATTAGGTTTCGCAATGAGCACACACGTCACATGTGCATATCTTCTTATCCATATGTTCCCAGAAGATTCAAAGTACATTATCATGGTTAGATTGACTTGTATCTTTTGGCTAATAGCTTTTAACAGACTGAACTCAGTGAATCAGATCTGCCCATAATTTTGAGTAATTGTAGGAAAACTGGAAAATTCCCCATTTTTGTAATGAATAAAACCAAAGAACTAGGAAACGTAAAATCTAAAATTTATAATAACTCTTCAATAAAATAAAGAATCATCACGAAAAAGTATACAGATCTTCAGATTAATATAACTAACAAGTGTGTGAAGTTTTATAAAATAATCATAAACAGTTTCTGAGATATGACGAGACATTTGAAAACCCTCTTTTTTAACAAAAAACTCAATAACACTAAAATAAAATTTTGAATCGTCATCAAAAAGTATACAGATCTTTAGATTAATATAACTAAGAAGTGTTTAAAGTTATAAGCAATAATAATTATTCGTTTTTGAGATACGGTGCGACATGTGAAAAAACACCCATGTTTTAGTTACAAAGTCCCGTAACTCTAAAAGTTTCAATCTTATTTTCAACAAAAAGTATTCAGATCGTTTGACCATCATAAGAAACAACTATATTCAATTTCATGAAATTTGGATAAGTTGTTCTCAAGTTACGGTGTGACATTTTTACGACGGACATACGGACGCCGGACATTTGTATACCATAATACGTCCCGTCAAAATTTTGACGGACGTATAAAAATGGCTTATAAAACTTTATGTTTTCAAATAATAAAAGATAAGAAGGGGTTAGCAGGCAAAATTTTAATGACACTACATGGATAAAAAAAGAGGATTCTCGATATCTGACTAAAAGTCAAGAACATTAGCAGTTATATATATATATATATCATCCTTCAGATTTTGTATAGTAATAAAAGAACAGAGTTCCACTGTCCCCTGCATTGCACATAATTAATATTTCTAAGGGGCATAACTCTTTTAAAAAAAGTTGATCAGCCACCATTATAGAGCTTGTACGAGATATTGCTGATATTAACCTATGGTATAAGTGTTATAAAAATTGGGCAAGAATTGTACCTATGAGAGCGATAAGAATGCCATTTTCCATAAATTTAATATTTCTAAACAGGCATAACTCTTTTTAAAAAAGTCAATCAGCCACCAATACAGAACTTGTCTAAAATATTGCTGATATTATTCTACAGTCTCTTGACGTATTTTTAAACTACTGTTAGTAACTAATAGATTTATAACAAATTTAAACTGCTAATCTCCTCCAATCAATGAACTTCATAGGGTTAACATCTGAATATGTTATATCAAACTAGAGGGGCTTCATAATAGTAAATTTATATATTATTTTGAAAGCAGCTCATTGGTATTGATTTCTATAAAATGATAAAATGAGAAGAAGTGTTATGATTGCAGTTACAACTATCCACCAGAACAAATTACATATATATATTAGCAACTATAAGTCACTGTAAAGCTTAGTCTTGATGAATTTTTATGCTTATCTCTCAAAATTTTCCTTAATCTACAATAATTGAAGTTTCTTGCAATCTTAAGACCTTCAAAACCATCTGATTACATCATACTCAAATTACACACATGAGTCTATCAGACTGTAAACTGTTTAAAATTGGTCCTGTTGTGTAATAAATTCAGAGGAAATCAGTGCTATCTCTTTCTTATAATAAATACTATTGACGTAACATTGTCTTTTGAAATCAAAGCCATTAAAAAGAAAACATCTCTTCCTTGAAATGACACTGCAAGTTAAAAATATTCTTATTCCGCAATAAAATTTATGTGTCTATCAAAATTATGATTTTAGAAACAACAAGAATCAATGTCAATAGGACACCATGGCCCACTCACATTATACTTTTATGTTCTGTAAACCATGAAGTTGGCTTCTAAACTCTTAATAATTATCATGTTATTGAAAAAGATCACATAATAATAAACAAGTGTAAATGTAAATATATATATATATATTTATTGAGAAACTACCCCTTTACATCAGGGAGCAAACACAAGCGGGTTATTAGTGTTTGCGTTCAAGATAATGTGATCAATACCTTGACCAAAATCCAAATCAGGACAGACAAACGGACAGACACACAGACCTGAAAACATAATAATTCCCCTCAATCATTTCATCATAGGCAAAGAAAAAAAAACCCACGAAGGACATAAACAACATTTATTTGTAATATATTTACATAACTGACTTGCAGTTGGGTAAACAATTTAAATCTATATATCTCCATGTACATTTCTAAATGGAGCTGACAATTTGTAAACAGAAACTATTAGATCAAAACATCTTGAATTCTTTTACAGTGAAATTGAGTGATAAAAATATTTCCTGATTTCTGAGATCCAAGATGATTTCTGCAAAAACAGATCTGTAGGACTGACAAAGTGTAATGATGTCAAAGACAAACTGACTTATTAAATGATCATATCTTCAATGTTTTATTCACACATAACTTTTATACATTTATAAAACTTTTAATGTCAGCTAGATCTTGATCCAAAAAATATTCAAATATTAAAAAAAAACTTTTGCAATTTCCCTAATATCTTTAATATCTAAACATTTCAATAGTGTTTGATAATCCATGATCTGTTTTTTTCCAATGTTACCAAGTTGCACCATCTTTTGTTTTATAGGGTTAATGCCCAGTAATTGAACACTGTTTATTTGTAGTCTATATATTATAATCTCTGAATATATCTCTTTAGTTATGATCAACTAGATGTCTTTTCTGTTAAAGATTCCAAGACTTTCTCAATGGCTTCTACTACCCTTGTTTCTTCTGTCATTTCTTTTGGCTGGTCAGTCTGAAAAAAGAAACAAAGAGTGCATGACTGACAAGACAATTTTTGGTTTTTTGAAATTGTTTCAATTAATTGTACATACAAGATGTCGTCCTCATTTTAAAGATATGGAAAAGTCAATATTTTGTGAACTTGCATGTAAAAAAACTGTTTATACCACATTTACATAAAATTCAGAATGGAAATGGGGAATGTATCAAAGAGACAACAACCTGACAAAAGAGCTGAAAACAACCCAAGGCCACCAATGAGTCTTCAACACAGCCAAAAAATCACCTGGAGGCAGGCTTTAGCTGGCCCCTAAACAGAAATGTGTACTAGTTCAGGGAAAATGGATGTCACAGTAAACTCCAAAACATATATAATTGAACAAAAATTAAAAATTATACAAGACTAACAAAGGCAAGAGGTTTCTGACAGGGATAGAAAAAAAAATGTGGCAGGGTTAAATATGTTTTGTGATATTTGTCACTGAATGGTAAATCCAAACATCTTTAACAATGAACAAAGAATATTATAATAAGATAGCTGGCTATAAGAGGTCACCAGTAAATATGGTAAATAGAAAAGTTTTCAAGTGTTTTAGTCTACCTTTGAAAATACAGTTGACGTGTAAGTCTTTCTGATATCAATCAAATGAATTAGAATATAGAAAATAATAATATTATACTCCTTGCTTCTGGAATGCCATGTTAACATACCTGATATCGCTCATTCAGCTGTTGTGCTGCCCATGCAGCATTTTTGATATTGTTTTGTTTCTCTTTGCCTCCTCCTCCTTTGGATGCTGTAACAGCTAGATTACTAGAGGACTACAAAATACAAATACATTCATTTGACAAAAGCGGTCTGGTTTATTAAAACAAATTTTGGATCTAAATTATTAAAGAAAAATAGACTTGGAAATAAATTCAAAAATTATTGCATGCATTTATTATTGCGATTTTGTCACTTAAGACCAAAATGCAATTTTAATTTTTGTGATATTGAGAAAAATCCTATTAAATTCATATAAAAAATTTCAAAATGTGAGTTTAAATTATTGCGATAATAACCATGTTCCTATTTTTGCAATAATAAAAACATCGCCATAAGTTCTGAATTTACAGCAATTTAACAATTTTTGAAATGATTAATTTTGTTAAAATCAAATGTAATGATAAATATACCATGTTGAAGAAAACTGGTGCTATTATAGTGTTGATCTACTTTACTTAGTACATGTAGTACCTATTATTCTAATTATTTGAGAAAAAGATAGTTTCTGTCATATAGAAATGTATGATTTACATGTGAGGACGATGTGGCAACACTTTTTTATCAAAGAATCTCAAAATGTTTGTTTTATTCAACACTTCAATCAGTGATTTGGCACTATAATGAAAATACTACAAAGTTTAAGCATTTCTGAATGTAACCCCAGTTTAAAACATCACACAATGATATTGGAAATATTGTAAAGAACCTACCTACGTTTAGTCAAACAATGAAAATAATCGTTTAAGGGGTAGTTTGTGAAAATAGAAAAAATAGAAAGTGGATTGATGTTTGGACACTGAGAAATAATATCAATTCCATAAATTCATCAAGCACATGTGTGGAGCACAACCTGCTAACCCTTAAAAGGCACCAGAGATCAACACTGGTTTTGTAGGGTTCATGTTGCTCTGTCTTTAATTTTACGTTGTGTTTTGTAGAATATTCTTTGTCTCAGAGTCGGTATTTTTTGTATTTTGCCATGGTATTGTCTGTTTGTCTCCGAGTCAGTATTTTTCGTATTTTGCCATGGTATTGTCAGTTTGTCTCAGAGTCGGTATTTTTTGTATTTTGCCATGGAATTGTCAGTTTGTCTCCGAGTCAGTATTTTTTGTATTTTGCCATGGTATTGTCAGTTTGTCTCAGAGTCGGTATTTTTTGTATTTTGCCATGGTATTGTCAGTTTGTCTCAGAGTCGGTATTTTTCATATTTTGCCATGGAATTGTCAGTTTGTCTCCAAGTCGGTATTTTTCGTTTTTTGCCATGGTATTGTCAGTTTGTCTCAGAGTCGGTATTTTTCGTATTTTGCCATGGTATTGTCAGTTTGTCTCAGAGTCGGTATTTTTCGTATTTTGACATGAAATTGTCAGTTTGTCTCAGAGTCGGTATTTTTTGTATTTTGCCATGGAATTGTCAGTTTGTCTCCGAGTCAGTATTTTTTGTATTTTGCCATGGTATTGTCAGTTTGTCTCCGAGTCGGTATTTTTAGTATTTTGCCATGGAATTGTCAGTTTGTCTCCGAGTCGGTATTTTTCGTATTTTGCCATGGTATTGTCAGTTTGTCTCCGAGTCGGTATTTTTCGTATTTTGCCATGGTATTGTCAGTTTGTCTCTGATTTATAAGTATGAAAATCACTTTGGTATCTTCTGCCTCTGTTCTATAAACTTACAAGAAATAATCCGTACAAAGCTCTAACATTTTTAGGATTCAGCTTTATGGCCTGGGCATAATACGATCTTGCCATGGCCATACTTTCTGGATCTCCCATGGTATATTTTATCTGTAAACAAATAACAACTATGATAATTACATGCATAGGGTGAAAATATAAGGTCAGTCCTGAGACCCAAAACGCACACTTTTTTTGGCGAAACAACTTCTCTAATGTAAATAATGTTGTGCAGTCTAGACATGCTCAGAAATGAAATACCAAAAAACGTAATGACATTCCAAAGATACAATTCTATTTTAAGTTGGCGTTGCTGTTTTGCTATGTCTTTGGCAGAGGTTGAAGCAATCGTAGACTTGTTAGTTTTTTCATAGTTTTCTATTTGGCAATGTGATTGACAGTTTTTCTTTACTTTAAAGTTAATGATTTCTGCTTTATATCTTCTCCTTCTGTTTTTTTATTTGCCAACGGCACAACAGGATCTGAATTTTTTGCCGAAATTCAAAGTTCTTGTAAATTGTTCTTGAAAAGTTACAGGGCTCATATTTATATAAAGCAGAAGTTACATTTTAAAAGATTTACAAGACAAATCTATTCTCAACCTAACCCGAATAATTCAGTCGTTATATTCCACTGCTCTGCGATGGCTACATTAACGCCTGAAGGCTTAGTCAATGAAAAATCGTCAAAAATCATTCGGAATTAGCTCGGGATTTACCTATCTCGATAACATTTAGTTATTAGCTGATTGGCTCTCTCACAGAGAGCTACAATCAGAATCCTGGATTCGTGACACGTTTTTATCGTATAAAGAGTTCAGGCCCTTGCGAGTGGGAGAGTCGATCACGGGGAGGGACTGAATTATTCGGGTTATTCTCAACCTACCTCAGCAAATTTCTGATAAAACAAATGGTTGTGTGGATTTGACATAATTAATTCTTCCATACAATAACAAGCTTTGGAGTAGTCCAACTGTGATAAATACAAATCACATAACTCCAACCAACCTTCAAAATCTGTCATAAATCTGAAGAAAAAAAACACAGAAAATATCCAATAGTTTAGAACCTGTTAGTACAAAATTTAAATTAACATAGCAAAGGTTATTCCATTCAAAAAAAAAAAACTCACTACGGACATATGACTGAGGACCAAAAATAAAACTGGTTAAACTTTAAAGTTGCATTTTTAAGGCGGTCATGCATAGAAGAAATTTCATTTTACTATTCTAAGAAGTGGGAAGGGTGTGCTTGAATAAAACTATGCTCAATTTACTTACTGTTCTAGATATTTATTTAACAGGTCAATAGCTTTAGTTACTTCATTCTGTTCCTTAGCTATGGTTACCAGTCTTTTCCTTACAAACTGAAAGTAAAAATTCAAACTCTCAAGCTTCTAAGAAAAATATTTACATTAAAGTTTCTCAGGCAAGAAAACTACAATTAGTTTCAACAAGTCTATATCATTTTATTTAATACAGAAATAAAGCTTAGAATTGATGCAATATTTTTTGATGTCTTCTATTCTTTTTTTCCATATTCTTGTTTTTTATTAAAACGCTAGATAAAATTCAAAATTGTTTGTGTGTCTGTTTTATTGATACGTACTGCACGTTATGTATTCATATATAAACTTACAATCCTCAAGATAAAAAAATTTGGGATGAGGGTCTGGATGGGGTTTACAGAATAGAGTAAGTAAGTGAGTAAGTAAATAGTTTATTATAGTGTCACGATCCAATATACATCATCATATACAATATACAATTAAAAAGTTCTTCTCTTATATATAAAGGGGGAAATTGGATCAATACTACAGAAAAGTGGGCCAAAAGTATAAAGAATACAGAAAAATAGGCCAAAAGTATAAAGAATACAGAAAAATAGGCCAAAAGAAATAAAGAATAGTGAATAACAGGGTGTTAAAATATAAGGAGGCCTAAAAAATAGAAAGAACAGAGAAAATGGACTATAAATTTAATGAATACAAAAACTGGGGATTCCAATCCAGACCCCCATTCAGACCCTCATGCATCATGTGTATGTATAACAGTAAGTAAAAATCCACAGAATCTGCCGTGCTTTCTAAATAAATTTATGTCTTACCATGTTAGATTCATCTTTGTCGATAATTGCCTGGTATACTTCTTCAGCTTTCACAAATCTGAAAAATAAGTTCAGTGATGGGATAAAATCATGACTAAGGTTAAAGGACATTGAAGGATAACAACTCTTTTTATTGCAGGGTTTACAAAACAAAGTTGTAATAATACATATACAATATATGTACATTGTCGGAAAAAATAAAATTTATTTGTATGAGCTTTAGAAACAGGACGAAAAGCGAGGCTTGCCAAGCTTTTCTCCTGTTTTGCAGCGAGTACAAATTTTTTTTATATTTTCCGACAAATGTACATATATTGTTTTTATCCTGAAATTTACACACCAACACTTGAAACTTTAGTTGTTTAAATATAAGTCATTGTCTCTAATTTTTCAAAGAAATCGACATAGTTTAAACGTGGACCCCGAAGAGGACCCCAAATTGAACTGGTACGCAAAAAGAAATATCCACATTACCGCTTGCTCAACATGGAAGAGGGATAACAGGAGACTTTATTTGTATAAATACAAATAAAGTAAAAATTTATTTGTGTACCTGTTATTTGTACAATAGTTGGCTGATTGCAGGATAAATCAGGTGTTGCATGATACAGTATTAAATGGGGGAAAACATAAACTGATGCAGTGTGAAGTCATCCTTGCCTGAATTTCTTGGAACTTCATTCTCAGATTTTTTAAATCTACAAAAATTCTCTAGTGACACTTTGTTAAAATATTTGTTCCTAATTACATGTAAACCTTTGACCTAATCTTTAAAGTATACCATTTATTTTAAAATCATTGTAAATACAGGGATATTTATAGGGGGATGAGAATATTCTGAGAGTTAACATGTCACAATAATATATTATATATCTATTGTATCTAAGATTGGCTTTTGTATGTGATGCTGTGTTAGCACTAGAGATAAATGTATTATCTATTAAACATTATGGTTGAGTCTCAATTACTATAGTTGAGGACTCTAGTCAGAGTTTTGATTCAGGGAGTCAACATGCCAAAATCCAATTTTTATGATGTTACTCTCCATTGTAGAGTAGAAAATTTTGCAAATTATGCCAGATTCCAAATGAAACTGAGGGATTCATACCTCATCAAGGCAATTACAGAGATATATATATAAAAAAAAAACATCTTTATAATTTCTTACTTTTTCTCTGCTTCATATCTCATTCCTAATAATCTTTTAACTCTGACTGAATCTGGGAATTTGTTGTGTAGTAATTCTAAACAGATCTACAAATATAAATAATAATTATCAAAGGTTTTATTTTGTAAATACTCAATAAAATATGTTAAGTAAACAGTATACATTTTTCCTTTGTACATCACAACTGTTGAAAATCCATACAGGATGAAAATCCATACAAGATGAAAATCCATACAGGATGAAAATCCATACAGGATGAAAATCCATACAGGATAAAAATCCATACAGGATGGAAATCCATACAGGATCCAGTATTGAATAATCATTTTCCGTCAAGCAGTTACTATGCATGTGTTGATCAGTTGTAAGCTGGAACTACTTTAATTAAATGTTAAGTTAAATCAAACATAAATTTCAAAGCCTTATATTTTTAAAGTTTCCATTAGTCCAAATAAGATAGTATGTGCGGTTCCAGTTACATCTGAAAATGAAGTTAGGGTAGTTAGGGTTTTTTTTGTTTTTTGTTCTTTTTTACATTGAATCTATGGGAGGAACATTCTGACATTAACAGTGCTTAATGCAAAATGACAAAAAAATTTCTTTAGGGTAGGCTTTTATTAAGACTAAAACGTTGGGTAGGTAGGGTAACTGGAACCACACATATATTTTTATTTGGCCTTCGTTAAAAAATGTTAAAGCAAGAATCTGACTCAGTACATTTGTACAAATCTAACCTAGTTAAAATTTTATTATCAGTTTAATTGGTATATCTGCTTCTTTTGCATGTTTAATAAAATTGGAATTGATTGTCCACTTTACACAAAACCGAAATGTAAAATACAAAGTACAAACAAATCAAACTATCAACTTTCGTTTTTGAAAATTCCATGGCATTATAGATACCATGATCAATTAGAAATATGCATAACACAATATAAACACTATCAGAATACAGTCCCATGTTTGGAATAATGAATGAATCAGAAAGTAGGGGATGTGTTTAAAAAATTTCCATATTTATGTGAAGAAATTATTCACTGTCACATAAAAAATAGCAGTCTTTGGCGGTATTCAAGTTGTTCAATCTTATTCAGTTTTCTGTGTCATGTTTTTTTTTTTAAACTGATATGTTTGATGGGGTTATACTATATACATCACTTCTTTATGTACATTTCTCTTGTTCTTACTCAATTTATCCCTTTCATGACCTGTTGTTTATTTTTTTATTTGAATTCAGTTCTTCATTGGTCAAAATACTATTATAAAGTCAAATTTTCTTGCTTTCCTTTGAAATTCCTATTGTGACGCCATGAAAAAAGGTGACCATGCCTGATGACGTCATGTAGAAAGAACACATCTTTTTGTAGGATGTCCGAAACCACACACATATGATGAACTCTATCTATTCTGACATATTGTGGCATTTTACAATGTTTTATGTACTCTATATATTTTATGGTCTACAAATAATTTATGCTTTTATTTGGTCTTACCTCAGATAAATCTAGTCTTTGACAATCCAGGGCAGCAATACAAACTTGTTCATATACAGTCCATACTGAAATAAAATTACATCAAACAATTATTTGAACTATTCAGATGCAGTGATTGTCATGCAGAGTTTTTATTTGTTTAGGGCTATTCCATTAAATGTATGTAGGTAGGAAGGGACTTTCAAAATATCCCTACAACCAAGAACCATTTTTTAGAAATTTTGCATAATGGTAATAGACGCATACTGAATAAAATGCTTCGCTGGGCGCAGCTTGATACGACCGCAGAGGTCGAACCCTGAACAGTTGGGGCAAGTATGGACACAACATTCAAGCTTGATACAGCTCTGAATTTGGATTGTGATTAAATATTTGACACAGCATAGGTTTCTGACACAGAAAGAATGTGGTCTAAGAACTTCAATTTTTTTAATTTACCTATTATGGTCCAATGTCCAAAATCAAAATACATGGTTAGATTCAGCATATCAAAGAACCCCATATATTCAATTTTTGTTGAAATCAAACAAAGTTTAATTTTGGACCCCAACTTGGACAAACTTGAAAACTGGTCCCATAATCAAAAATCTAAACACATGTTTAGATTCAGCATATCAAAGTACCCCAAGATTTCAATTTTTGTTAAAATCAAACTAAGTTTAATTTTGGACCCTTTGGACCTTAATGTAGACCAATTTAAAAAACGGGACCCAAAATTAAAAATCTAAAAACACGGTTAGATTTGGCATATCAAAGAACCCCAATAATTCAATTTTTGATGAAATCAAACAAAGTTTAATTTTGGACCCTTTTGACCTCAATATGAACCAATTTGATAGCGGGGCCTACAAATAAAAAAATCTAAATACATGGTTAGATACAGCATATCAAAGAACCTCATATATTCAATTTTTGTTGAAATCAAACAAAGTTTAATTTTGGACCCCAATTTGGACCAACTTGAAAACTGGGCCCATAATCAAAAATCTAAATACATGTTTAGATTCAGCATATCAAAGAACCCCATATATTCAATTTTTGTTGAAATCAAACAAAGTTTAAATACTGGACCCTATCTTGGACCAACTTGAAAACTGGGCCCATAATCAAAAATCTAAACACATGTTTAGATTCAGCAAATCAAAGAACCCCAAGAATTCAATTTTTGTTAAAATCAAACTAAGTTTAATTTTGGACCCTTTGGACCTCAATGTAGACCAATTTAAAAAACAGGACCCAAAATTAAAAACCTAAATACACGGTTAGATTTGGAATATCAAAGAACCCCAATAATTCAATTTTAGATGAAATCAAACAAAGTTTAATTTTGGACCCTTTTGACCTCAATATGAACCAATTAGATAACGGGGTCCACAAATAAAAAATCTAAATACATGGTTAGATTCAGCATATCAAAGAACCCCATATATTCAATTTTTGTTGAAATCAAACAAAGTTTAATTTTGGACCCCAATTTGGACCAACTTGAAAACTGGGCCAAAAATCAAAAATCTAAATACATGTTTAATTTAGATTCAGCATATCAAAGAACCTCATATATTCAATTTTTGCTAAAATCAAACAAAGTTTAATTTTGGACCCTTTGGACATTAATGTAGACCAATTTGAAAACTGGACCCAAAATTAAAAATCTAAATACACTGTTAGATTCGGCATAACAAATAAATAAATGTGATCAAAGATTTTACAAATCTAATGCGCCATACTGTGCAATTAAAGATTACTTCTTGAAATTTTTCAATATTTGAAATTTGAAAAAAAAATAATATTTGAAGAATAATTCTTTTTAATTTCTGAAATCTGAAATGAGAAAAAATTGGCCCCCCACAATTTCTTTTTATCCCCCCCCCCCCTTTTTCCCCCAAAAAAATTCTTTCCCTCAAGATATGGTCATAATCTCAATTCAAATTTCCAATGGAGTTGGCAACCATAATTACCCATTTAAATTTACCATAGTGCTAACTTAATCTATTTTATAATAGAATTAATAAAAATATAGTGTCAAATCTTTCATATGGATTTTTTTGTAAAAAAAAAAGATGAAAACATTTGCAGATATTTTTACTGGTCTTCCTTTATAAATATGCATTTCTTTAAACATAATTTAAAAGCAGTGTAAGGGAAGTAGCCAAAACATTGTATTTGGATTACCTCCCTTACACTGTTTTAGATTATCTTTATTGTTCATTAACCATTACTTTATACATAATTTAAAAGCAGTGTAAGGGAGATAATTTCAATGATGTATTTGATTTATCTCCCTTACACTGCTTTAAATTATGTTTTGTACTAAAGTATTTGTCCATTAACCAGGACAACCTTGTTTTTCCCCCTTTTTTGCCCCTAATTCCTAAACGGTTTGAGCCATAACCCCCCAAAGCAAATCCTAACCATCCCTTTGTGGTATGGAAACTTGTAGTATAATTTCAGAGAGATCCATACACCGTTCCACAGTTATTGTCTGGAAACTAGAAAATGCTCATTTTTGGCCCCTTTTTGGCCCCTAATTCCTTAACTGTTGGTACCATAACCCCCAAAATCAATCCCAACCTTCCTTTTGTGGTATTTAACCTTATGGTCAAATTTCAAAAAGATCCATTCACTTAAACTAAAGTTAGAGTGCGAAAACCAATATGTATTCGGACGACGACGACGACGACGACGCCAACGTCATACCAATATACGACCACAAAATTTTTTTGCGGTCGTATAAAAATGGGACCCAAAATTAAAAATCTAAATACACGGTTAGATTTGGCATATCAAAGAACCCCAATAATTAAATTTTTGATGAAATCAAACAAAGTTTAATTTTGGACCCTTTTGACCTCAATATGAACCAATTTGATAGCCGGCCCACAAATAAAAAATCTAAATACATGGTAAGATTCAGCATATCAAAGAACCCCATATATTCAATTTTTGTTGAAATCAAACAAAGTTTAATTTTGGACCCCAATTTGGACCAACTTGAAAACTGGGCCAAAAATCTAAAATCTAAATACATGTTTAGATTCAGCATATCAAAGAACCCCATATATTCAATTTTTGTTGAAATCAAACAAAGTTTAATTTTGGACCCCAACTTGGACCAACTTGAAAACTGGGCCCATAATCAAAAATCTAAACACATGTTTAGATTCAGCATATCAAAGAACCCCAAGAATTCAATTTTTGTTAAAATCAAACTAAGTTTAATTTTGGACCCTTTGGACCTTAATGTAGACCAATTTAAAAACGGGACCCAAAATTAAAAATCTAAATACACGGTTAGATTTGGCATATCAAAGAACCCCAAGAATTCAATTTTTGATGAAATCAAACAAAGTTTAATTTTGGACCCTTTTGACCTCAATGTGGACAAAGTTGATAACAGGGCCCAAAAATCAAAAATCTAAATACATGGTTAGATTCAGCATATCAAAGAACCCCATATATTCAATTTTTGTTGAAATCAAACAAAGTTTAATTTTGGACCCCGATTTGGACCAACTTGAAAACTTGGCCCATAATCAAAAATCGAAATACATGTTTAGATTCAGCATATCAAAGTTCCCTAAAAATTCAATTTTTGTTAAAATCAAACTAAGTTTAATTTTGGACCCTTTTGACCTTAATGTAGACCAATTTGAAAACGGAACCAAAAATTAAGAATCTAAATACACGGTTAGATTCGGCATATCAAAGAACCCCAATAATTCAATTTTTGATGAAATCAAACAAAGTTAAATTTTGGACCCTTTGGACCTCAATGTGGACCAATTTAAAAACGGGGCCCAAAATCCAAAAACTTAATACACGGTTAGATTCAGCATATTAAAGAACCCCAAGAATTCAAGAATAAAACCCCATTGAAATTGATCAAGAAATAAGCAATTTATACGAAGTATCTTCTTTTGCACAATACTGTGCAATTGAATATTTCTTGCTATTGTGCAATACTGTACAATTGACAATTTCTTGCTATTGTGCAATATTGTGCTATTGGATATTTCTTGCTATTGCGCAATACTGTGCAATTGAAGATTTCTTGCTATTGCGCAATACTGTGCAATTGAAGATTTCTTGCAATTGTGCAATACTGTGCAATTGAAAATTTCTTGCTATTGCACAATACTTATTATATAATAATTTACACATCCTGTTTGGTGTGTATCTCCTACCATATCATTATTATTTGCTTTTAAATATTAATCAGAAATAACCAACTTAAAATGGAAAATTTTAAAAGAAAAAAAAAAGGAAAAAAAGAAAAAAAAAGAAAAAAAAAAATCCCCCCCCCAAATTTTTTGAACCCCCTTATGATTCATCACCCCCAAACTCAATCCCAGCCTTCCCTTTGTGGTATGGTACCTTGCAGTACAATTTCAGAGAGATCCATACACTTGAACACAAGTTATTGTCTGGAAACTAGAAAAATGCTTATTTTTGGCCCCTTTTTGGCCCCCAATTCCTAAACGTTTCGGGCAATTACCCCCAAACTCAATTCCAGCTTTCCCTTTGTCATATGGAACCTTGTAGTACAATTTCAGAAATATCCAAACACTTACACACAAGTTATTGTCATGAAACTAGAAAAATGCTTGTTTTTTGCCCCTTTTTTGGCCCCTAATTCCTAAAATTTTGAGGCAATTACCCCCAAAATCAATTACAGCCTTCCCTTTGTGATATGGAACCTTGTGGTACAATGTCAGAGAGATCCATACACTTACACACAAGTTATTGTCTGGAAGTTACAAAAATGCTTATTTTTGGCCCCTTTTTGGCCCCTTATTCCTTAAGTGTTGGTACCATAACCCCCAAAATCAATCCCCACCTTCCTTTCGTTGTATTGAACCTTATGGTAAAATTTCATGGAGATCCATTCACTTAAACTAAAGTTAGAGTGCGAAAACCAATGTGTCTTCGGACGACGCCGTAAGACGCCAGACGACGACGACGACGCCAACGTCATACCAATATACGACCAAAAAATTTTCAATTTTTGCGGTCGTATAAAAACTAAATACACCGTTAGATTCAGCATATTAAAGAACCCCATGAAATCAAGAATAAAACCCCATTGAAATTGGTCAAGAAATAAGCAATTTATAGGAAGTATCTTCTTTTGCACAATCCTGTGCTATTGGATATTTCTTGCTATTGCGCAATACTGTGCAATTGAAGAATTCTTGCTATTGCGCAATACTGTGCAATTGAAGATTTCTTGCTATTGTGCAATACTGTGCAATTGAAAATTTCTTGCTATTGCACAATACTTATTATTTAATAATTTACACATCCTGTTTGGTGTGTATCTCCTACCATATCATTTTTATTTGATTTTAAATATAAATCAGAAATAACCAACTTAAAATGGAAAATTTTAAAAGAAACAAATAAAATGCTTCGCTGGGGCGCAGCTTGATACGACCGCAGAGGTCGAACCCTGAACAGTTGGGGCAAGTATGGACACAACATTCAAGCTTGATACAGCTCTGAATTTGGATTGTTATTAAATATTTGACACAGCATAGGTTTCTGACACAGAAAGAATGTGGTCTAAGAACTTGAATTTTTTTAATTTACCTATTATGGTCCAATGTCCAAAATCAAAATACATGGTTAGATTCAGCATATCAAAGAACCCCATATATTCAATTTTTGTTAAAATCAAACAAAGTTTAATTTTGGACCCCAACTTGGACAAACTTGAAAACTGGGCCCATAATCAAAAATCTAAACACATGTTTAGATTCAGCACATCAAAGAACCCCAAGAATTCAATTTTTGCTAAAATCAAACTAAGTTTAATTTTGGACCCTTTGGACCTTAATGTAGACCAATTTAAAAAACGGGACTTAAAATTAAAAATCTAAATACACGGTTAGATTTGGAATATCAAAGAACCCCAATAATTCAATTTTTTATGAAATCAAACAAAGTTTAATTTTGGACCCTTTTGACCTCAATATGAACCAATTTGATAGCGGGGCCCACAAATAAAAAATCTAAATTCATGGTTAGATTCAGCATATCAAAGAACCCCATATATTCAATTTTTGTTGAAATCAAAAAAAGTTTAATTTTGCACCCCAACTTGGACCAACTTGAAAACTGGGCCCATAATCAAAAATCTAAACACATGTTTAGATTCAGCATATCAAAGAACCCCAAGAATTCAATTTTTGTTAAAATCAAACTAAGTTTAATTTTGGACCCTTTGGACCTCAATGAAGACCAATTTAAAAAACGGGACCCAAATTAAAAATCTAAAAACACAGTTAGATTTGGCATATCAAAGAACCCCAATAATTCAATTTTCGATGAAATCAAACAAAGTTTAATTTTGGACCCTTTTGACCTCAATATGAACCAATTTGATAGCGGGGCCTACAAATAAAAAATCTAAATACATGGTTAGATTCAGCATATAAAAGAACCCCATATATTCAATTTTTGTTGAAATCAAACAAAGTTTAATTTTGGACCCCAATTTGGACCAACTTGAAAACTGGGCCCATAATCAAAAATCTAAATACATGTTTAGATTCAGCATATCAAAGAACCCCATATATTCAATTTTTGTTGAAATCAAACAAAGTTTAAATACTGGACCCTATCTTGGACCAACTTGAAAACTGGGCCCATAATCAAAAATCTAAACACATGTTTAGATTCAGCAAATCAAAGAACCCCAAGAATTCAATTTTTGTTAAAATCAAACTAAGTTTTATTTTGGACCCTTTGGACCTCAATGTAGACCAATTTAAAAAACAGGACCCAAAATTAAAAACCTTAATACACGGTTAGATTTGGAATATCAAAGAACCCCAATAATTCAATTTTAGATGAAATCAAACAAAGTTTAATTTTGGACCCTTTTGACCTCAATATGAACCAATTAGATAACGGGGTCCACAAATAAAAAATCTAAATACATGGTTAGATTCAGCATATCAAAGAACCCCATATATTCAATTTTTGTTGAAATCAAACAAAGTTTAATTTTGGACCCCAATTTGGACCAACTTGAAAACTGGGCCAAAAATCAAAAATCTAAATACATGTTTAGATTCAGCATATCAAAGAACCTCATATATTCAATTTTTGCTAAAATCAAACAAAGTTTAATTTTGGACCCTTTGGACATTTATGTAGACCAATTTGAAAACTGGACCCAAAATTAAAAATCTAAATACACTGTTAGATTCGGCATAACAAATAAATAAATGTGATCAAAGATTTTACAAATCTAATGCGCCATACTGTGCAATTAAAGATTACTTCTTGAAATTTTTCAATATTTGAAATTTGAAAAAAAAAAAATATTTGAAGAATAATTCTTTTTAATTTCTGAAATCTGAAATGAGAAAAAATTGGCCCCCCACAATTTCTTTTTATCCCCCCCCCCTTTTTCCCCCCAAAAAATTCTTTCCCTCAAGATATGGTCATAATCTCAATTCAAATTTTCAATGGAGTTGGCAACCATAATTACCCATTTAAATTTACCATAGTGCTAACTTAATCTATTTTATAATAGAATTAATAAAAATATAGTGTCAAATCTTCCATATGGATTTTTTTGTAAAAAAAAAAGATGAAAACATTTGCAGATATTTTTACTGGTCTTCCTTTATAAATATGCATTTCTTTAAACATAATTTAAAAGCAGTGTAAGGGAAGTAACCAAAACGTTGTATTTGGATTACCTCCCTTACACTGTTTTAGATTATCTTTATTGTTCATTAACCATTACTTTATACATAATTTAAAAGCAGTGTAAGGGAGATAATTTCAATGATGTATTTGATTTATCTCCCTTACACTGCTTTAAATTATGTTTTGTACTAAAGTATTTGTCCATTAACCAGGACAACCTTGTTTTTCCCCCTTTTTTGCCCCTAATTCCTAAACGGTTTGAGCCATAACCCCCCAAAGCAAATCCTAACCATCCCTTTGTGGTATGGAAACTTGTAGTATAATTTCAGAGAGATCCATACACCGTTCCACAGTTATTGTCTGGAAACTAGAAAATGCTAATTTTTGGCCCCTTTTTGGCCCCTAATTCCTTAACTGTTGGTACCATAACCCCCAAAATCAATCCCAACCTTCCTTTTGTGGTATTTAACCTTATGGTCAAATTTCAAAAAGATCCATTCACTTAAACTAAAGTTAGAGTGCGAAAACCAATATGTATTCGGACGACGACGCAAGACGACGACGACGCCGGACGACGACGACGACGACGACGACGACGACGACGCCAACGTCATACCAATATACGACCACAAAATTTTTTTGCGGTCGTATAAAAAGGAAAAAAAGAAAAAAAAGGAAAAAAAAATAAATCCCCCCCCAAAATTTTGTGAACCCCCATTATGATTCATCACCCCCAAACTCAATCCCAGCCTTCCCTTTGTGGTATGGTACCTTGCAGTACAATTTCAGAGAGATCCATACACTTGAACACAAGTTATTGTCTGGAAACTAGAAAAAAATGTGTTTTTTGGCCCCTTTTTGGCCCCAAATTCCTTAACGTTTAGGGCAATTACCCCCAAACTCAAACCCAGCTTTCCCTTTGTGATATGGAACCTTGTAGTACAATTTCAGAAAGATCCATACACTTACACACAAGTTATTGTCATGAAACTAGAAAAATGCTTGTTTTTTGCCCCTTTTTTTGCCCCTAATTCCTAAAATTTGGAGGCAATTACCCCCAAAATCAATCCCAGCATTCCTTTAGTGATATGGAACCTTGTGGTACAATGTCAGAGAGATCCATACACTAACACACAAGTTATGTCTGGAAGTTACAAAAATGCTTATTTTTGGCCCCTAATTCCTTTACTGTTATTACCATAACCCCCAAAATCAATCCCAACCTTCCTTTTGTGGTATTGAACCTTGTGGTAAAATTTCATAAAGATCCATTCACTTAAACTAAAGTTAGAGTGCGAAAACCAATGTGTCTTCAGACGACGCTGGACGACGCCGACGACGACGACGCCAACGTCATACCAATATACGACCACAAAAATTTTTTTGCGGTCGTATAAAAATGACTTTTTACCCTTTCTACCCTCCCACATACAGTTTAATGGAATAGCCCTTATATTAATCAAGACTCTAAGTCACTAAGCTAAAAAAAAATTATTGAAATTCCAACCAAAAATGTTTTTTTAAATTCTAGTGAATAAAGATTTCTTGGTTTGCTTTCATGCTTAATCATGTTAATAAAACAGATGAAATTCATTTTAGTTCAGAGATCTTTCTATATACATGATATACAACTATAAAGATGAAAAAAACAAAACTAATCAGTCTTTCACCTTTTTTATTACATTGTTTACTTTTTTAAATTCTAAAGTCCTATCACGACCATCATGACCATGTGATCCACACAGATTTTCTTACATCATTGATGTTAATATACTGTAAGATTGGACATTTGTTTTTTATCATAGATTTTTTATTTGTATATTTATCATGTTTATAGTATTACATTCATCTCCAAGCTTTTCTCTGTGATTCATCAAACATTCTTCCCAAAGACGTACTACCAGTTCACTGTCTCGAACATGATCTTCTCTTAATCGTCTCAGACAATCTCTGGAACCTAAAAACAAAAGTTAATTAGTTACAACAGTAAATCTTTTGTGAATTTGATGTATTAAAGAGTCCTAATGATAACAATTATTTCAAATAAACACAGAGAACTACTGTTAACAGGGTTAATGAAGACTAGGTCCTCATAATGGATGCTCCAATATAGATAAGACACTTTAATTGTTGATAAAATTATATTGATCAACTTTATTAAAAGAAGAGGGAATTAGGTATGCATTTTCTCTAATATTTGTGCCATTTTCACATTTCTTGATCGGTGTTAGAAAAATATTTCTCCTCATTAGTGAAAATTCTGCAAATAATTGGTCGGAATTTATTTATGAGGTCAAATTTTCTTGGTTTCTTCTGAATTTTCCTATTTTGGTGTCATGAAAAAAGGAAACCATGCCTGATGACGTCACGTAAAAAGAACACAACTTTCTGAAAATCTTTGAAAAAAAAGGATACAAATAATTAGAGAAACAGATTCCAACGCTTATAAATCATGTATTACAATATTTCTCCACTCTCAACAGTTAAATTTTAATTATTTAAAAAGCTTGGCAAGCCTCGCGCTTTAAATGTTAAAATTTAACTGTCTCGAGTGGAGAAATATCATCACACACTTGTTGCAGTGGTTGAATTCTCTATATCTTCCTCTCTTCCTGAATATGCACAAAGATAAGTGATGTTCAGGATTTACTACTATGCATACAATGAAGCTATGAATATGCAATACTAACTAACTAATAAACAAATACACCTTTTTCAATATTTGACTGCCATTACTAGACATCAGGTTCCCGTAAAATTTGGACTTCACAATAAAATTTCTGGAACAACAATAGAAAAGTTATTGTTGTATAATGTCAAGTCAAGTGTATGAAATTTTCTGGTCAAGTGTCAGAGATTCCCCAAATTATAGCGATATGGTCTATGGTTAGTATAATTTGGCATATATCCACCTACAGAATGTCATGCCTTCATGTAACGTGCAAGAGATTTATGGAAAACTTTGATCTCAACTTACTCAACATGCTCAAGATGCATTTGTTTGTGGTGTGTTGACTGTTGTTGTTTTGCGGAATCATTGACATAAAATGATATGTATAACTCACAGGCACTTGTTTCTATCCATGGGAAGGTCGACTATCCATTTATATAAAGCAGTTATGGATCATGGGATAGTCGACCTTCCCATGAAAATATAGAAGCAAGTGCCTGTGGACCGACAGCTAGGCAATATTCCCCGATCGGGAGACAGTCTCCAGATCTAGAGATGTCTCCAAATTGGGAGACATGGAATAATGTAATTTGTCTCCTGATTAGGAGATTTTCTCCCAATCAGGAGACACAATATGATTTATTATATATTATATAAACCTGTGCTGGCACAAAAAAGTAGACATCAGCAGCTTTTTTAAATAACATTTTCGGAGAGCTGACGAAAAAGATCGGTAATTTACCACTGTTCCAGAAAGGTGCTCCGTAGATTTTTTAAGTTATTGCTTCCCAAAGACATAAAAAGATACATGTAATTTAAACATTTTCTCTGGTATCTTGTTACTTCCATTCAATTATTTGTGTACATGTTACTAAGTTTCTGTGCCTCCCATTGATCGTCGGCCATATTGCTGTTGGGTGTGAGCCAAGGCTTGACCTATAATGGCTTACTTTTATAAATTAATTGTGACTTGAATGGAGAGTTGTCTCATTGGCACTTATACCACATCTTCCTATATCTATATACATTCCTAAGATCTCTATGATATGAAAAGGGTGGGGTAACAGAACCCCAGCAACACCCCCATATCAATTAAGTACTGAAGTCCTTTTTTTCATATATATTTCACTAAAATTCAAGCGACTGTGCTTTTATGTACAGTGTATATCTGGTATTAAAGGGTAGGTTTTTTCACTGCCGAACACCACCTCAAACCGCAACACACCCCAAAAGTGAATTTAAACTATGAAAAAAACAATAATGTGTGTCAATTAAAGCAGAAAACTGTTGAATTTGTTGATTTTTTATCACAATTTCAAAGAATAAAACGGAGAATACACAAATTAAAAAAAAAAAAAAATTTCTTGTGTTCGACAGTGTTCATATGGTTGGTTACTCTCCTATTCTTTACGATGTTAAAATTCTGTCTCATTTCATTTTATTTGTTAATCTTTTTACTTAATTACAACAAAAGTAAAAATAAATTAAAAAAAATTATAAAATAGTATAATTATGGGTGTTCGGTGGTGTTTTGCAGTGTTGATGACTCTTTTACTCTTTTGGGTGTTATTAATTGGTCTCGTTTCCTTTTTAGTTGTTAACCTTTCTATTAAAATACATGAAATGGATAAGATAGCATAATAAAATATTGTTTTTTTCGGGGTTGAAATTGAAAAGACCTACCGGGTATTAAAGGCTGTTATCCTGATTTTGACATTAACGTTGTCTCAAAATCGAGATACATCCGACTACATTCATGATCTTCAGTATGTTTTGTATCAATTTGTCTCCAGATCGGGAGATTGTCTCCAAAATTATATGAAAACTGTCTCCCGATCCGGAAAATTATATTGCCTAGCTGACCGGAGTGTGGTACACCATCTCGGTCCCGTTTTTTCATGTTTGAACGAAAACAAAAGCGGATTTGGAAAATCTTAGATTTACAACAGACAATTTGTTTAAATGGAGAGCTTTATCTAAGATACGAATGATGGACAGTTAACAGTAAAGTGTAAATAATACCTTCCCAGTTTAACCGGCGAGCCATCGATTCAGAAAATAAATTAAGTTATCTCCCTTCCGGAAATCTCGGAACTCGTCCGAGAGACCGAGATTTTACTTGACGCATGAGCAAACGTTTATCACCTTGGCGACAAGTAAACCGAAAAGATAGTCGAAAGTTTTTGTTTCATTTCAACGGTGTGGTAAACAAACAAAATGATTCCTCCAAATGCTTCACTTGTAAAATACGACAACCCTGTCCTGGTTAGTCGAAACACAGACAAGAAAACACCGAGGGTAAGTTATTTTTTAACAGAAAACAATTATTTTGGACAGACGACAACACTCAACATCCAAAAATACTGTTTCACTTTCAGTGTTTGGTCAAGAATATGAACTTTTGAAAAATGAAATATGTCAAGCAATATGAGGGTAGGTATGCCCTTTATTGTCAACTGGTCATGCTCAGCTATACTGTTAGAGTCAAATTGGTTAAAATTTTACAGTGATTCGTCAAAATATCCTCATTATGATTCGGAAGATGTCTCAAATATTAAATAATTGTTACCGTTATTTTTGATAAATATCCTCGTGTATTGTATTTTCGACCTACTAACATATTTCTCCGAATTTCCCTTTTATATGTTTGAACATAGACATGCCTAATATTTTGAGAGTCACTAGTATACTTGTGCATAAAATAATTGTATCTGAGAAATATTTCGATCTTAAATTTTTTTTTAATTTGAGTTCGTTAGATCAATGGCACCTTTGTTGACAAAATCTATCGTCTTGTGTTTTCGACCTATCTAAGAAACTGGTCCAAAGTCAGAAATGACATGTCGTACAAATCTGGAATTGGTTATAATTTGATGCCAATGTCTATATCAAATTATTTAAATTGTTAGGAGGCGATCAAACTTATGACTTAATGAATTCAATGGTTACATATACAACTTTAAGATAAAAAATATTATTTTGATATCTTTATTTGACTAGTTGTACACATTTCACATGAGGTACTTTGGAAGCAAGTTTGATCTTGTATACAGTCATTTTTTTTGTTCAATACTTTAGTGAAGGCATTGTGGAGTGAGTATTGTCTGTAATTTCCACTGACAGACTGGTGTTTCTGTAAATTAAAATTAATCAATATTTTTTTTCTTAGTAAAAAGCTGTAAGGATCATGCAGATTTCCGTATTAAAAATAACTTTAAGTATTACAACTAACCACCTGACAGTCATGTGACTTAATGACCAGGATGTAAACTTCACGTGCAAAAAGTCCCCCTGCCATATTTCTAGAATATTTGTTTATTTTTTATAGATTCTTTTTGAAGGTAAAAATAGTATTAGTAAAAAAAGGGTACAAAAATGTGATATCAAATAATAAAACGTAAATACTTAATTACATTAACCTTACTTGGAACATCTTAACCACCATGTGGTATTATTTGATATTGTTACTAACTATAGAAGCCGAATATGACGTTACGCGGACATGCACAGCATACGGGAAGTGAATGTAGAATTAGATCGAAAACATTAGATGGTCGAAAACACAATACGAGACGATATTTAAATTAATTCGTCAAAGTCAGTCGATTTTTTTATCGTCGAAAAGAAGTTCACATTTTATCGTCATGCACTAAAAATTTGTCATTTGGCAAGAATTTTTACTGTTATTCTTCATGAAGCATTGAAGGTATACACCTTATCGCTATTTGTCCACCATTACTGGACATCACACAGGTTCCCGTAAAATTTTGACATCACAATACAAAATATCAGACGCCACAATGGAAAAGTGATTATTGTATGACGTCAATAATTTAAGCGGGACAGATTCTCGTGTCAGCTGGGAATAGCGATAAGGTGTATATTATGTACCCCATTATGATCCTCCAATATCTGCTTACCCATTCAAGGCATCTGAGATGTACCTGGTTTTTGGCGTTGTTTGTGTAGATACGATGACCTAGTGATGTGTCTGCTACTCTACAAACAGGGACAGTGTTCTCCCCAGGCCCTTAAAGGACCGCGGGCCCGCGATGTATAATTTTCTACCTGGGTTATGATTTCCATACACCTATCTACATGTTTCTACATTTTGTACCTTCTACTTTGAAGTGACTGCTTTAACATTTTGAAGTTTATGTCTATTGTATGAGGCATGCATGCTAGTAACTCAGTCCCTTAGTAAGTGGAACTGTATTTACAGTTAAATTAATACATTCATTTCTAGTTAAGTTTTTTTATGGCCCAGGCTGAGTTACCTCAATTGAAAAAAAGGTATGGATGTTAATGACATCATTGAACAATTTGTGACTTTATAACATGAGCATTGTGACGAAAGAACTATACAGAAAAGTGCATGAACTAAGTTGACACAGCTACCTTTAAATTTTCGATTGAGTTGCTCATCACAATGCTCAATGCCAGTGGAAGGCTTTCTAGTTTTCAATTGTTTGTAGAAGAATAGATTGTTTGCATCTTTGTGTTTATCTACAGGATGGAATTTGGTATTAGAATGTGTGCATGTTTCACTCTCGTCGGTTTTTTATGAATTAGTTATACCGGTTAACCCCAGATCAATCAGTGTAGATGGTGTCATTATAACAAGTAAAATAAAGCAATGTGACATAGTAAATGTGCAGGAAAGAGCATGAATTTAAAAGTTGGTTATTGGTCGTGATATATACATGTACATGTAGGTCATTTATTGGTATCGATAATCATATAAAAATTCGTAAGGGTTCCACGGAACCGGCAGTGTCTCGCCTACTTTTGCTGTTAATCGCAGGCTCAACAAAAATGAGGAAAAAAATTAATAAAAATATTCCTCTCTATACTATCTTTCGATTTTAAGTAGCTTCTGTCCAAGTTTGGTAAAAATCCAGGATAGTTTATGAATCTAATAAATGTTTTGAAAACTTAAACTGCAGACTGTATGTAATGTTAACTGGAAGAAAAACTAAGTCCATTTATAAGTAAAATACTGAAAAAATGGAACAAAATTTGAACAAAATTTCCTTCTAGATACTAGCTTTTAATCATAAACAAACTTCTGTCCAAGTTTGGTACAAATCCAGGATAGTTAAAGAAAGTTGTTAAAATTTTAAAAACTTTAACCACAGAGTGAATGTAATGTTAACTGGCAGAAAAACTAAGTCCATTTATAAGTAAAATACTGAAAAAATGGAACAAAATTTTGACAAAAAATTTCCTTCTAGATACTAGCTTTTAATCATAAAAAAGCTTCTGTCCAATTTTCGTACAAATCCAGGATAGTTTAAGAAAGTTGTTAAAATTTTAAAAACTTAACCACAGAGTGAATGTAATGTTAACTGGCAGAAAAACTAAGTCCATTTATAAGTAAAATACTGAAAAAATTATTTTTTTTTTTTACAAAATTTACTTCTGGATACTATCTTATGATCATAAACAAGCTTCTTTCCAAGTTTGGTAGAAATCCAGGATAGTTTAAGAAAGTTATTAAAATTTCAAAAACTTTAACCACAGAGTGAATATTTGTGGACGCCGCCGACGACAACGACGACGCCGACGGAATGTAGGATCGCTATGTCTCGCTTTTTCGACAAAAGTCGAAGGCTCGACAAAAAGTAAAAAACCAACGAATGTATATATGCAATCTTAAGCTTCCAAGTAATACATTTCCCTGTGAAAAATTTTACATCACAACGAAAATATCTTCAAATCACAATGTCCTACAAAATGTTTTACCCCAAATGACCTAAGGTCAGCAAAGGCAGTTAATTATTAAACTGAAATAATGAAGTCCTCTATTACTCCTGCAACAAATTTTGTGTTTTTATCATTTATCATTTTAATTTTTTTACGCAACATTTCAAGTACATGTAACTTACATATTTCAGGCAAGAGCACTAAAAGTGACACCAGCTCCACCTGCAGGGTCTGGACCAGTACCTAGCCCTCCAGGCAAACAGAAGCTTGCTCCAGTTGATGCCAAGGCTGCACAGCAGACTGATGAAATTCTTAATTCTATTTTACCACCAAGGTTAGTCACAGACAAAAGCTTTGCTGTAGTAGCTATAGCATCCTCAAAAATTCTGTGTTGGTCAATCACATATGGTACAAATAGTTGAACTACACAAATAAAATGTACATAGCATGTTTAATGCTTGGATGGGCTGGTGGTTGAGTGATTCAAATGTTTAAATTTGAAAATTTTAAGAATTTGGTGTGATTATACTTATACCAATGATACAACTCTCAACCATAGACCAAATGACATAAATCTTAGCACCTTTTAGTCCCAGTGTAAGCCATTAAAAGACCTGAAATATAACAAAAGGTAAAACACTTCAAATGAGAAAACCAATGCCTGTTTTATGCCAGTATATGCATTCTCATGTTACTGAGTTCTCTTTCTAAAATTCTTAATATGGAAATAAAAGGGTTCAAGTAGTGATGATAACTAATCATCCATGTATATAATATTACTTTGATCCAGATTATTTCAAAAGATTGGAAATCATATGGCGCAAACCAACTATGTAACTTACAAAGAAACTAATTATTGATTAATGTGTAAGGTTCAGACAAAAAATGTTCCGAAAATTAAAGCCTCATCAAATTTTGTTTTGGTCTTTAATATAGTATACGTATTCACTATCGTGTTGTCAGATGGTTTCATTGACATACATGTATAAATCCTCATTTTCTTTATTTTTATAAAATCAAAGTTTCTTTTCAAATATATGAAATCTGTATAAAATGCTGTTGTGATTTCTGATTATTAAATGTTACTGTACCAATTAAATTTCAGGGAATGGACTGAAGGAGGACAGCTGTGGGTACAACAGGTCTCCAGTACACCAGCAACCAGACTAGATGTAGTCAACCTACAGGAAGAATTAGATAGACGGTTACAACAGAGACAGGCAAGAGAGACTGGAATCTGTCCTGTCAGAAGAGAACTTTACTCACAATGTTTTGGTAGGTCTTAAAAGGAATTTAACTCATTCATGATAAAAGCCATACCAAAAATAAATATAAACAGAGTATTTATTCATCTATATAACCATGACTTACAGTAATGTTTCAACATGTATATATTACATGTTAATTGATCATCTAGAGTTATCTCCCTTTTAAACTGCAATTTGACTCTTCTTTTTCAATAATTGTTTTTGTTAATATTGTTAGAAAACTGCATTCAACCCATGTCTAATTTTTTTCAACATACAGCATGTTTAAAATTCTCGTTTAGTGCAAGGGTAGATAATCCAAAATTAGAAATGGAAATTTTATTCTATATGATTTATTTAATCCTTTTAACATTTTTGCAGATGAATTAATTCGTCAAGTAACAATCAACTGTGCAGAGAGAGGTCTGTTATTACTCCGAGTTCGTGATGAAATTAGAATGACCATTGCAGCTTATCAAACATTATATGAAAGTAGTGTAGCATTTGGTATGAGAAAAGCTCTCCAGGCTGAACAAGGCAAAACAGATATGGAAAAGAAGGTGGGTCAACCATTCAAAGCAGCTGTACAGTAGAGTAAATTTCCATTTCAAAATGAGGCATTTGAAAGTTGGTCTTGAATATTGAAATGGAAATGAGCTTATGGTATTGGTAGATTTGTTTTAGTTATTGAGATTTTAAAAAAAAATCCTGTAATAATCTTTCTCTGTGAGATTTTTCAGTTCAAGCTACTGGATTGAATTGGTTTCTCACAAAATTTCAAAGCACGGTACATCTCATCTCAGGGCTATCAACTAAATGGCCTTTCAATTAGATTGTAGCCTAGAAACACACTTTCTGGTTTTCAATGCTTTATAAATCATCTTTAAATTAAAAATCTGATTTTTAAAAAATTGTCATAAACATGTAAGTTTGAGCCAAAAGGTTCTTATATTGCTACGTTATCATTTATCTCAAGAATATATTTATTGGGATGAATTTTCATAATAATCAGTTGATATGCTTGCTTAAATTAATTTGCCTGCTTTCTTACATTGTATCACTAAATTACAAAAAACTTCCTCAAATTTTGATTTCCAATTTTAATTTGGAAACTGTTTGTTTCAACTGTTTTAATATTTGTTTTGCTTAGTTGGTTTCTGACAAAGAAAAACTAAAGGTCAAGGTAACATAAAATGTGACAGTGTTGTCAGTGACACAAGTAGTAAGTTGTCAATCACATTGCATGATTGTTTTGGTACAACACAGAAGAGATTGATTACAGTTGATCTAAAATGATCAGCAAAACATTTTTAATGAACTTACAGTACTAATTTTGTATGTATACAGTTTGTATACATATCTACATGAATGTGACATAGGGCTTTTCCATTTAAATGTATGTGGGAGGGTAGGAAGGGAAGTTTAATTATTGAATGTGGGTCATGGGTCTTTTTTCAGTATGTGTCTATTACCATTATGCAAAATTATCTAAAAAATGGTTCTTGGTTGTAGGGATAAGTCCCTTCCTACCCTCCCATATACATTTTAATGGAATAGCCCATATGGAATTCAATGCTGTATGGGCCCTTTATGAAACACCTGCCAATTGTATTAATTTAAACTGATAGTCTGCTTGAAAAATTTATGCAAGTACTTTCCTAGAAAGTCTGTAAAATTTAAGAAAAATCACAGCCAAATCATTGTATGACTATATAACAGCTCACCATTCCCCAGTACTAATTACAGATACAAAATGTTTGATACATTTCTTAATGTAATGTATAAAATCTAATGTTTAGAATGGATTATGTAGTAACATGACAAATTCACACTTGGTATATCATTCAAATACCTGGAAGGAAATAGAAATATGCACTCATAGTAGTAAAATATGTGCAATATTATTTCAGATCACAGAATTAGAACAAGAAAAGAGAGATCTAGAAAAACAAGTGAATGAATGGAAAATGAAATGTGAACAGACAGAAAAGAGAGCAGCTGAACAGAGACAGGTGGAAGAAAAGAAACACACAGAAGAAATACAGTTTTTGAAACGAACAACACAACAACTGAAGGTACAATTGCAGCCTCACTAGTAATACTGTAAACACAGAAATTTTTTTTGGATTTTAACTTCGATTATTTCTAGGATGAATCTTATCCTCATTACTAAAACCCCTATGAAATTTTCAACTAACAAAGAATATAACATTCACATACCAGAAACCATGAAAATTAATATAACCAAATGTAGAGACAAACCACTCAAATTTAACCCCACAAAAAAATTTCTTCTGTATATAAAAATTGTTTTTAAGGGAACAGATGTAATTACAAAAACAGATCATTATATTAAATCTATTATATAAAATCTTAGTAACCATGACCTTTAACCCGTACACAGATAATTTAATTCAGTGGATACATACATTTTAAATTTTTTTATGACAGAACAGAAATTAAAATCTTACTGTGTAAATCAACAATCAAAATGTTAAAGAAGTCAAAGCTAAAAAAACACTCAGCTTTTTAACCATGCATAGGTTAAATTAGATTTTCATTTAGATTTTTCCAAATATATGTTTCATGGTGTGAATGAAAGGTCACTGTAGAGCCTTCAACAAAAACCTATACCTTACAGGTCCCACAAGACAAAATATGAAACAATTCAAATAAAAAAAAAAGTCTGATTTTATATATATATGACAAATTCAAAGAAGAAAGACAGACTGCAGCAAATGACAAACCCTGAATTACACGCTACTGACTTGGGACATATAGAATGGGGTAGGGTTAAACAAAATTGTTACCACTAACCTGGAACAGATGTGTAACAGCACATCATAAGAAGCATTGTTTTTACAGAAATAGTTATACACAGTTCAATAGAATAAATACATTTTGAATTTTAAAAGAGGAAAATAATAAGTTTCCTTCATTAAGGGAGATAACTCAGAAATAAACATGTTTTATCGTTTTCAGGGACAATTGGAAGGACTTATTACTCCAAAGAAAGCATAGTGAAATGTGATACAAACTTGTCAAAACGCATTTTGTTGAACCAGTTGACTTTTCATTCCATTTCGTTGAAGGACTTTATGGTGAACATAAAATTGAAGATGTTCAGGAAAATCTAAACCATTATTGTATTGTAAATTATAATGTTGACTATTTTATTTAAGAAAAATACTTGTATATATTTTTTTTGTTATATTTTAAATTACAAGTGTCTGAGCCAATCAGCCAGGATTTCATGGTAAACTAATTTCCTATATCTGTTGATTAAATTAACAGACTATAAATGAGATAGTGAGATACTAAGAAGTTTGGTGACCATTGATTGGACTTCAAATATTGTGGCATTTACAATTGTGGACTCTTAAAAAAAAGATGTATCTATATGACCTTTAAAACACTATGATAATACATAAAACAGGAATCACCACAAATAATGGACATCACAACAACAACCATTACCTAACACCTTCCTAAAACACACATACAAACATTAACAAAGACAAGCAACAACTAACAACACATATTCCAGACAGCTTGACTAGATACAAGCAATATTGTTTTATATGTACTCACAAACCTTTCCCTACCTAGACCATATGTCATGAATGAAACAGAATACAAAAGTTAAATTTGTACACCTCTCTTCAATATTATGAGCTTTTATGGTTGGTCCCCTCCGTGCAGGAGGAGTAGGGTACACACCTTGACCAGATTGAACCCGACTTGAAAAATTGATATATTGCTGTTCCTCCCCTTATCACTCGGCAAAGACTGGTCAGTTGGGAGTCAGAACAAAGTGGTCTTATAGCATGAATAGGATGAAATGTTTTCTTGAGAAATCTTAAATTGGGAACTAGCATGTTAAAAATCTGGCTTATCCTGTAGGCCTAGTACAACACATGGTCATAATCATATCACAAAATTACAAATTCTCATCTTGATATGCATGTGATATTTGTCACAGGCCATAGGCATTTACCAATTCATCCATCCTTTAATTTCTGTTCTTGGTTTTGACACTTACTATTGGATCTGGATGGATTCACTACTAGAGTAGACTGGATTTGACTTGGGATTCATGACTGGTGGTACATAGCAGAAGATGCTTACTATCAAAACACCTGGACTTGAGGTCATAAAAATTTTGAGAAAGTTTTTCATTTTCAGACTGTTTGTAATTTGTAATTGAGTATTTAGTAAAGTTTTATGACCAAGAGCCCTGGGCCTACTGTCATATAACCTTGCAGCCATAAAATTTTCAAGCACGGTTATTGTACACAGACTCAGAAATCAACCAATCAAAAAACTGGATTTTATGTTTCAAGCACATATTTTGTACTCTGAGTACTGAGTCAAGTTTTATGTTTGAGGGCCCAAATCCAGTATTTTGATTGGTTGAATTCTGAGTTGAACCATAATCATACTCCAAATGTTTATGACCGCAAGGCCTGGGCTTGCTCCATTGCATATATTATACAGATTGACTCACTTCCACTATTTGTCCAATTATAATCTTAAAACATCAGTCTTTAATTTCCCTTTTCCAGTCTTCAAAAAATCCCAAATCATGGATTTATACCATGATTTTGACCTTGCATTTATACTGTTACCCTAAACTTACCAGCATCACATTTAACCCAAAAATAAACAACATTTCTTCTGATCAGTTTGTAAAACAAAGAAAACATTTTTTTTTATTGTGAAAACCACACAAACACATTCCAATAAATTGATAATCTGATTATTATTGCATAAATTTTGCAAAATATCAGCGGATTGACACAATGCTTGAGCTTGTTTACTGCACTGATAAAAAACAAGAATGTGTCCATAGTACACGGATGCCCCACTCGCACTATCATTTTCTATGTTCAGTGGACTGTGTATAATTTGGCATTAAAATTAGAAAGATCATATCATAGGGAACATGAGTACTAAGTTTCAAGTTGATTGGACTTAAACTTCATCAAAAACTACCTAGACCAAAAACTTTAACCTAAAGCAGGACAGAGGGACGAATGGACGCACAGACCGTAAAACATAATGCCCCTAGGTGGGGCATAAAAATCCACAGAACTCTGTATAAGGAAACAGTCCACTCTACAAATTTGATTATCTCCCATTTCATATGTTGGACAGGGATAATCATCCTTTATGTATATCTTGGTTACTGTTCTACGTGTAATGTGTCATATATATAGATCAAGCCTGCTACCTGTGTTTACAACTCATAAGGATAGACAAGTTTATCCTATATACCGGTATCCCTGTTTGCAGAGGGCATAAAAAGCCTCATACTGCTTTTTGAGAAAGAACTTTTACAATGTAAACAAGATACACCAACTCTTAATTCAATGTATTGAACAATAGGAAGTAGGTGTCCAACAGATCCAATAAACAGCTGTGCCACGAACACATGATACGCCCGTCGTCTTGTGTGTGAGGTTTTATGCAATAATCATAAATCGTTTCTGTGATACGGCGCGACATGTGAAAACCCCCTTTTATTATAAAAAAAAATCAATAACTCTAAAAAAAATTTTGAATCATCACCAAAAAAAATACAGATCTTTAGATTAATATAATTAAGAAGTGTGTAAAGTTTTAAGCAATAATTTATAATCGTTTTTGAGATACGGCACAACACGTGAAAACCCCCCTTTTTTATAAAAAAAATCAATAACTCTAAAATAAAATTTTGAATCATCACCAGAAAGTATACAGATCTTTATATTAATATAATTAAGAAGTGTGTAAAGTTTTAAGCAATAACCATAAATTGTTTTTGCGATATGGTGCGACCTGTAAAAAAAACACCCCCCTGTTTTAGTTACAAAGTCCCGTAACTCAAAAAGTTTTAATCTTATTTTCACCAAAAAGTATACAGATCTTTTGACCATCATAAGAAACAACTATCTTAAATTTCATGAAATTTGGATAAGTCAATCTCAAGTTACGGTGCGACATGTGGACGCCGGACAGACGGATGCCGGACATTTGTATACCATAATACGTCCCGTCAAAAATTTGACGGGCGTATAAAAAGTGCTTACACCCTACAACTCATTGCCATCAAGCTGCTAACCAAATATGAAGTCCTTCTATCTAAGATATGTATGATTAAATTCTTTTAATTAATTCAACATATTGAAAACTTCAAAGTATTGTCAAATAGGAAGTAGTTGTCTGCTAGATCTGAAAAGTGGTCACACAATACAAATCACAGCTGAACAAATAAGTTTACTAGAACCTGAGAAAAGGACACAAGAATATTTGTTGGATGGACAAGGTGAATGAATTTGTCCCCAAATAGTTCTCACAGAGTAGGGTATAATACTGTAAATTCAGGAAATTATTGCAAGGTTTTCATCCATGAAGAATAAATAGCAACAGTATAAGGTATCGTAATAATAACTCGCATTCATAATTTCAGTAGTGATATTCCTTCACAAAATTTTTGCAATTGCATTAATTAGATCTTGCATTTTTACTCGTAATCTGATTTACAATAACTAGATATCATTGAGATGGGAGCAATCTCTGTGGACCCCGCTGTGAATAATGTGATAAAAATTTGTATCTTTATCATTGGACATGAGCTTGTCAACTGAAACCAAAGTTTTTGACCTCGACCTTTGACCTAGGAAATTGTACATTAATTATGACACACCCTCTGGTGTTGGTTTATATACATGTCAAGTATAAACTTTGAAATCATAACGGTTCTCATGATATAGCGGGGACACGATCTTTACCATAGGACATGGGGTTGTCAACTAAAACCAAAATTTTTGACCTTGACCTTTGACCTAGGAAGTTGTACATACATTATGACACACCCTCTGGTGTTGGTTAATATACATGTCAAGTATAAACTTTGAAATCATAAAGGTTCTCTAGATATAGAGCGGACACAATTTGTTATGGACGGACGGACAGACGAACGGACAGACTGAACACTATAGGGCGTCTGCCATTCAGCAGGGCCCTAATAAATACTCTAATTTATTTCTGATTTACCATATACAGATAACAGGTACATATTTTTGTCGTATTCTAACAGCTGTCTTTGTAATTTGTATGTAACACAGAGCTTGATTAGGATCAAGCAATATGGTCACCTGGACTTCTCTGGTCTTTTCTAGTAAAATACATGTTCAACAGTCTATGATGACCTATAGTTGTTAATTTCTGTGTCATTTGGTCTCTTGTGGAGAGTTGTCTCATTGGCAATCATACCACATCTTCTTTTTATATCAACAGTCTATTTGACTATGTGGGTTGCATAAATACTCAGCCCTCTCTATTCGGAATGGGGAGATAAATCTGCTTTATCTTGTAGGGAGAGTGCCATGTTCACAGTTTGATAAAGAACCACGGGAAGAACTCTATAACAGGGTCAATTGGTAGTCTAGTGATAAAACTACTGACTGTATCCAACACAGCCTTTTTCCAGTGGCAGTTCTAATTTCTCTCCCTTCATCCAAGTTGTTCCAATTTACAGAACCTACCGACCAGATGGACTGTTAAAACTTTTCTTTTTCTGAATACAAATTATTTTTAAGCTGTATGATAATGGTCTTTTCAGAAACTTCCATTAAGTTAGAAAGCTTGCAATTCATAGAGAAATGGCAAAGAAATATACAAATTTCAACATCACAACTGTTTTAATTAAATAGAATTATAACAAGAGCAAGTCTCCCAATGTATGACTATCTTAAGTAATACAATTCTGAGCAAAGACTATCAACCATAACACCAACGGTTCAAATTATAAGCAATAAATGCAGCTGTAGTATTGGGTAATAAATAAATTATGAATTTACACACAGTTCATTTGATATTGCAAAAAAGTTCACCACATGTTGATTCAAATTATCATAAAACTGTCAGTTATTTTCATCGTAAAATGGAACACCAAATTTAATAATTATTTCATATCTAAAACTCTGATCTTTAAAAATGCAATTTCTTTTTTCTCTCTGAATTAAATTTATCCTGACTTAATCTCACTTTTTTATAAGAAACATATGATCTCCTTTTATATAAAGCTGATAGCCTGAAACTGACAATTTTAATGACGAAACAAATTCAAACAATGATGGAATTTTTCACAGTATTTCTAAACCATGAATAACTGAATTGGTATAATGTATAGATAACAATAATATCAGAGGCTATTAAGTCCCATATCTAATCAATATAATAATGATATGAATTTATAAGATGAAAATAATCTTGACATAATGAAAAATTTGCATTTATTATTAATCTTTTCGGAACTTGAATATAAAAATTTGATTTTTGTCTGCATTAAACATTTAAGAAATTTGTTATTTATTTCATCTATTTAAGTAATGCATTAAAAAGGATAATAAGATTTAACAAACTATTGGACAGTAAAACCACCAGAAAACAACCACTTTAAGAAAATAGGGGCCATATATACATCCTTCAAAAATTTCTTTGATTCATCTTCTAGCCTGTGTTTCACAAAAGATCTTACAACTAAAATTGATTTTCAGTATCTTGAATTGTCATGACTTACTATCAATTTTAGTCATAAGATTTTTTGAGAAAGAAGTTTTGAAATGTAAATATTTGATATTTTATCACATTCCCCAGTCTCAAAAAAGTATTTGGAAAAGACAGAAGCATTTTTCTTCAATCTGAATTAGAAAAGATTTTTTTTCACTCCTAGTAAATTGAATTATTGCCTCCAATATTTTGAACTCAATTAATAACATTTAAGTATGTCCATTCCCATTTCTACAAGTAAGATTGGATGACAAATTTAGTCCATAAAAGAGAAAAGGTTAAATCTATAAGAATCTAAAACAGCAACATCCCTTCTACAAAAGTTCTTATACTTAACAGCTGATCTAAATAATATCTATTGAGGATATACTGCTGGTTGTCAAGAATTAAAAAATCTGTCAAACGAAGGGTACTAAGAGAACACCCATCATGCACAACTTCTCTATATTCATTTCTTTCCTCAAACTTTTTAACCTTCTTTCGAAAGTGTCTTTACGTAAAATATCAAACATCAAGATTACAGATTACAGTTTACATTTCTCGGTATAGTCTTTTAAAAGTAGTTTTGGCACTGAAATCAAAGTTTTATAAAGTAAATTAAACAAAAATGAAAAGTTGTGTGAGAAATTCTGAAAATTAAGTACCTGAATCTAAGACATGTAAGATAAAGCTATTTTATATTTGTTATAAAAAAAATTGCATAAATCTGTTGCAAAGATATTCTTATATTAAAATATCTTCACCCTGTGCTGACCAATATGTCTACATTCATTTTCAACTACTTTGCTGCATAATTCAGTAGATACAATATAACATATTAAATTAATTTCATATATAAACTACTGCTCAAAAGTACTGTGCTTTTTCCACCAATTCACAATGGGAGTACACAAATCTTGTCATTCTTGATCACCCTGTGAGAAAAAGGGATATGCTAGCTGTTACCTTTTTTATCAAAAGATTTGCAGAAATTAAAAGTTTGTTCCCCCACCTCCAAATATCCAAAGCCTTAATCTGTGAAACAGTTAATCCTACTTCATACCAAACTAAAGCGTTTTTAACAAATTAAATCCATTGATATTTGCAAATAAGCATTTTCGCTCACATTAAAATCCATGTTTTAGAATCTATAAGAATCATGGGCAATTTGCCTATTCTTAACCAAAAATGAAAAAAAAGGCACATCATTGGTTGAAGAACCATTTCTTCTAGGACATTTTAAAACAAATCACAACATTACTTTGGTGTATACTTTTGAAATCATTACCCAGAATGCATTAGATTTTGAAACGGCCAATTGGATATGTGTGAGCTGCCCATTGTGGATTGGATGTAAACACAAAATCCTCCTGAGGTGAAGTGTAATTAACTTGAATGTCAATCTCAAAAATACTAAACATAAAAACACTATACAAATCTTTGCTCAGATCAATGTTTATAAATTTACCTATGTATCTTGCCTCTCTGGCATTGAGTGATACAAAAATATACTATAATTATTTCACTCATACTTAATTTTCACAAATATCACACATAAAATAGTGGTCTATGTACAATATTACACGCAATCATTCCTCAAATTAAATATTTCTAATGTATTTTTCATTTAAAATAAAATGCCCAGTAACCATGGAAATTTTTTAAGTTTAACAATTCATTAATTTTCAATTGATTTCTGGAATTTTTTGCTTTATTAAATATCAAAGGCACTTCATCCTAAATCACAATTTTTGTGTATGTCGCTATTTACATTACAAAAGTGTGTTCCTATCCTTTAAATACCCAAAGCCCATATCTGGTAAGCAGCTATAACTATATTCTATACTGAACTAAAGAGATTTTTACAACAGAGGTCATTGATTGAATTATTAATAATTTGCAATGATTTTAAATTTCTGACTTTTTTCTGAAATAAAAATATAGCACAATTGACAACACTAAAAATTGACCTCTGAAAAGAATCTATTTTCTCTAATCTCTTTCATTTATTGGGGTTATTTTTAAAGAACAAAATCATTTAAAGTGTCCAATAATATCCAAAAGTAAATAACTATTAAAATAATTCAAAATTTGAAAAATTACAATGGCTGACTGCCTTAACCAAATTTTAACTAAAATAACAAGATATTCTCATCCATATTGAACAAATGATAGAAGAATTTGCTTCGGCACACATTTTATGAAGTTTGATTTGATGAACCAAATTTGATGAAATGGTAGTTTTAAAATTCATGAAATTATGAATCTAAGCAATGAAATGAAATTTACATACAAAATCAAGGTGAGACATATACAAATTCCTTACAACAGAACAGAAAATATACAAAGGACATACTTTACGTAAAATAAAACAATAGTATAGAGGAAAACAAATCGAAGAAGAAAAATTACTCCATTTTAACAATACTGCTTTGGCAGGTATTTTTAATACCAGTAATATCAATTTTCAATTATAAATCAGTTCAAATAAAAAATTTATTCAAATAATCTTTGATTTCTAAATTCATTTCAAAATTAATATAATAAATTGTTGAAAGCAGAATTTAAACACACAAATTCTTTGATTGATAAATAACAATATATTCTTTCGTTTTATAGTTGCAATTTAATAGTAACTTAAAAAAAAGACAATTCCTTTTTGTTTTTAATTCATATCATGCCAGAAATTGCACACAAATTAGAAACAAAAAACACATTGATGGAAAACTGGACAAACCTTCACCATATTCAAAATGGGTGAACAATTCTACAGGCAGTGTGCAGATGTTACAGAAATGAACAAAAACTTTGGCAATGAACAATTATTTCTTAAATAATACAAGCTATTAACAAATTATGCTTTACGGAAACAAGACTTGGGTATAATATTGAATAAAATTAAGACTTTTAAGTCAATATTTTAGCATATGCTCTGCTTAATTTCAGTCTGGCAACATAATGAAAAAAACACTTTAAACATAAAGTTAAGAATTGCTATTTAAATATTTGTCATTTTGTGATTAGCTTCATTATATATATCTAACTAATGGGTAACTGAAATTAAAATCAAATATTTGTAAGTGGGCAGGAGTAGTATTTAAATCAAATTGATACTAAATCCATTCTGTCCTTTTTAAATCTAAATGATATGTATGAAAATAAATATGTAAATTCATTATTTTAAATGTAACAGAGCTATCTCCCTTTGAACTGACAAGGGAGATAATATAGTATTCATAAGAACTTTTTACAATTCAACAATAATCAATATTGTAAAAGAATAAAATTCAATATTTCAAATATATCAATGAACAAATTTAATTAAACTTTAACATCAGTTCTTAAACAGTACACAAATCCTGTGTTTTCTACCCATACCAAACAAAAGTTCAAAGTTCAATCTGATATGCTACAACCCTTTATATAGCCAGATATGTGGTTTGAAACAATGCCAAATACTTCATTCACACAAAACATGACAAATAATTTGCTTCTTGACAGTTATCTTCTCAAGACATCTGTCTTTATTCCTAGGGGGTAATGCTTGCCTAGTTTTCTGGCTGATCTTCACAGGCAACTTGGGCTTGGCCATCTCCTTTGTCTTGCTCGTCAATGTATTGTTTGACCCGATTTGAGATCTCAATTTTCAGTTTCTTGCCGTTCATTTCAAAGTCATGTAGTGTGTCAAAAGCAGCCTCCATTTCATTCATCTTTGGAAACTGCAGTAGAGCATAGCATTTTGCCCCATTCCAAATAACTCTTAATGGATTCACATTTTTCTCACGGATTTTGGATTTCAGTTCACTTACACGGACAGACCTTTGAACACTACCAACAAAGATAGTAGGTATTGGTGTTCTTGGGGGTCCACGTCTACGTCTTGGAGAATAACTTTGACCTTGTTGGTCCTCATTCTCATCTCCCTCACTGCGTCTGTTGTTAGGTCTGAATCTCCTTCTTTGTGGGGGTGGTCTACGTCTCTGCCTAGGTTTCCCCTCGTCACCACTTTTGCCCTCATCATTATCAGCCCCATCTGACTCACCAACACTCCTACGATTTCTTCCTTCATCACCACTTCTAGGTTCTTCGTTTTCCTTATTTTCACTTGTATTTCTCCTCCTCCTCCTAAATCTACGTCTTCTTGGCTGTTGTTGACGCCTTGGGCGCTGATTTTCCTCATCGCCACTCTTAGCCTCCCTTTCACTCTCATCTCTTATGTCACCTTTCCCATCTGTATCATTTTCACTATTTCGATCTCTTCTAGGGCGTCTGTTGTATGGACGCCTTGGACCACCCCTAAACCTACGATAGAATGGACGTCTTTGATATTGCCTGTCAGATTCTTCTCCTTCATCTTCAGTTTTTATTTCAGGAGGTGAAGCACCTTCTTTCAGGGTAACATCTTTCCCTTCTGCTTCTTCACACTTAAGTAACTTCCTTAGAATTGGAACACGACGGAGTTTCTCAGGTGTAATTTTAGACCAGATAATACCAGCAGGGTTCTTTCTCGTCCTATTACATTTAATTATTTCTGTTGGTGTTATGATGTAATCAACTACTACATCATGATCTTCAATCAGACTCTCAGGGAAATCGACTACCTGACAGTCGTGGACTGTGGTTATGATGACTGTGTTCTCATCCACAGCTTCCATGCTTCTCATCATAGCATACTCCATGTCAGCGTATCCTTCTCCTTTCCCTATTCTCAAACCTGCAAATGTATAAAAGTTTTCTTTCTGATTAGAAGCTATTTGTAACATATACAAATTATTTATTCACTGAATAATATTTATTTGTGTAGAGGGACATATTCAGATTTATCAGTATAAGCTATTTCTGTATTACCCTTCCAGTCTTCAAGATACACTTTTGAATCTACAGGCCAGAAGCTGAATTTTATGAAAACTTAAGTTGATTTTATTTACCTGTAGAGATGATTTTTACAAGCCTGGGCTGGTGGGCCTGTGGTTGAGCACAAAGACTGCCTTTCTTTCCACGTCCAAAAATATCATATTATTCCTTTATAAAGTTGATTGTTTGTGAATAAGACGGTTTGACCTACCACCCTGAGATATAATGTCTGACCCAACATTGACATTTTTGACAAAAAAATTAAGTCTTCTTGAGTTAGCTTAAAAAATAAATTTAAGATGAAGAAAACTTCTACGTTGTTTGGCCTCTGGCGGAGAGTTGTCTCATTGGCCACATCTTTTAATTCTATAGCATGCAGAAATATGACCTCTCCGATCAAGGATGATTCTACAATTTAGTTTAGGGCTGCTTAGTTACCCTAAAATCGGCCAGCGACCCTAAAATAATTTATGTGAACATCAATTCCAAATTCAGGAAAATAGAAATAAAAATGGACATTTCTATCACTGATTTACTACTATAATTTTTCATAGTTTGTCATCAAAGCATTTTAAAATCTGGATAAGAATGCTGTCAATGTTTGGTCAATGATTTTAGCAGGGGAATCAGATTGGTAAGATAAGGTTAGTAATTACAATTTGTTATTATGTCTCCATTAAAGGTTATCAGAGTAGTCATCATGTATTATTTTTTCTCTCAATATCATTGGTCTCGTAAAAGCAGACCCGTTAAATACAATTGACAAAAATGCTATGGGAGTATTTGATCTTGTATAAGTCGATCGCCCAGCAGGTCAATCAAAAGGATGCATTTTGTCAAAATGGGTCTTGTAAAAGCAGACCTCGGCAGAGAGCAAAATTTAAATTTTGATATACAGTCAAACCTGAGTAAACGGGACCCCGAATAAACCGGTTTCCTGTCCATTCCGATCGAAAATTAAAGTCCCTTGTTTTTCCCTTCAAAGTCTTTGTTAAAAAAAACCCTTTGTAACCATACCCTGTGTATTCCAAATTCCGGTCTAATGATGCAGTCCCAATACTCTTAATTACATCAATTATTACCTGTCAAAACCGGTTTGTCTAATTAATTTAAAATGATACTAGTATTGATCAATATGCAATCAAAACATATTTGTTTATACAAGATGGCCTTTCAGGATAATCAATTAGTCAGGTGTTAAACCGTGAACTTACAATGGTATAGTAGTGAGCTGTTTTATTAAAACCAGAGTTGGAAATTATAGTCCGCCCGACCGCCCGAGACGGCCTATTTTACGATCGGGCGGTCAAAAATTAAATTTCAACAGTCCGGTGGACGGTCTATTTTTTGCAGGTGGTTGGGATTACCTTTTTCTATTTTTGGAATGAGTTCTCAGTATTACCCCATTCATAACAGCACGTAAGAATCATGACTGCCAATTAACCTTTTACTACCACATGTTTCCACGCGATTTGTGCAGGGAACATGGTGATACCTTTTGTTTGTAAGATCCGCACTCATTGGCTAGTTGGTATCGAATTGTCCAATCGCGATCGCCTTTATTAAACAAAATATAAATATTAGATCGAAATTTGTTTTGGTAAACTCATTTTTTACGACAGTACTTGGGCATTTCGTCGCCGAAAAAGCGAACTGCTGTTGACTCAACAGAAAAAAAAATAAATTGAACGATCAGTCTAAGAGGAAGCGGACAATTGTTCCTGGTTGGAAAACGGAGTTCGAGTGGTTGATTTGTGACGACTCGCATGGTAAAATATTTTTTTCAACCATGCCGTTCAGCGTATGGGCCTTTGGCAGTCAGAAAGGTACCTGAAAGATTTCGGCGATATGCAAAAGGCCCGTTTGTAGTTGGTTGTGCAAATTTAAGGCACGATGCCCTTACAACACATGCAAAATCCGATGGCCACAAATATTGTGAAAATTATGAGGAGCAATAAAATTATAAATGAAACCAAAATTTTATTTTTATTTGCTTAAAAGTAATTTTGTGGAACAAAGGTACAAAAAAGGCATGCTGAATTACACTGAAGACAAACTAACACCCCCCAGTGCCCAACCCAAATTCTAAAAATGAAATCACACCTTGCTTCTGAACAACTGGTCATTAGGCTTAGCAGTGTCTGCTTAAATGTGCACTTGTAAGTCTTGTTGCAGTGTGTATTTACAAAAGCAGTCATAAGTCATTTTCATCACAAAAAATCCTCAAGTTAATCTAATAATACTTATAGTCGTTAAAACATCTCAAAACACAAAAACATAATTTAGAATCTTGAAGGAAAATGGGTTGGATTTGTATTGCATTAATTTTCAGGGCTGGTAAATTTTGATCAAGACAGGTAATTTTTTTATGCAGCCAGCCCTTTGGTCTGGTAGACATTTCCAGTGAGTTTCCTACCCTGTTAAAACACTTAAAAAAAGGGTAAATCAAACTAAAAGACAAGTCGTATATATCTGGAATAGAACTTACGTTGTTACTTGGATATTTTTTTTTCAAATTGTGGAGTAAAGAAATTTACATCGTGTTTTCGAAATCCTGGGTTCCCTGTTGTGAACCCCTAAACCAATGACCCTGATAATAAACAACACCCGGATGACAACAATCAATGGGAATCGTACACTGTACGACAATGTTTTGATCGTAATGAAATTTCGTTTGATAAAATTCTTGCTTTTTAATTGGCTATACCAACGTCGGAAATAAACGATGAATGTAAAACGAAACTCTCGTGTAACAATTCAAACAACGCAAGGATTATGATGCAAATGAAAAAAATGAACACAAAGTGAAAATGAAACTGACAGGTCGGAGACTGATGCTACCAAGGTCTATTTGACATACTAGGATATGTAAAAATAAAATGCTCTGCAGGGCGCCGCATGATACGACCGCAGAGGTCAAACCCTGAACAGTTGGGGCAAGTATGGACACAACATTCAAGCTTGATACAGCTCTGAATTTGGATTTTGATTAAATATTTGACACAGCATAGGTTACTGACACAGAATGAATGTGGTCTAAGAACTTAAAAATTTTAAATTGGACATTCACCTATTAAGGTCCAATATCCAAAATCTAAATACATGGTTGGATTCAGCATATCAAAGAACCCCAAGAATTCAATTTTTGATGAAATCAAACAAAGTTTAATTTTGGACCCTTTTGACCTCAATGTGGACAAAGTTGATAACGGGGCCCAAAAATCAAAAATCTAAATACATGGTTAGATTCAGCATATCAAAGAACCCCATAAATTCAATTTTTGTTGAAATCAAACAAAGTTTGGACAAACTTGAAAACTGGGCCCATAACCAAAAATCTAAATACATGTTTAGATTCGGCATATCAAAGAACCCCAATAATTCAATTTTTGATGAAATCAAACAAAGTTTAATTTTGGACCCTTTGGACCTCAATGTGGACCAATTTAAAAACGGGGCCCAAAATCCAAAAACTTAATACACGGTTAGATTCTGCATATTAAAGAACCCCAAGAATTCAAGAATAAAACCCCATTGAAATTGGTCAAGAAATAAGCAATTTATACGAAGTATCTTCTTTTGCACAATACTGTGCAATTGAATATTTCTTGCTATTGCGCAATACTGTACAATTGACAATTTCTTGCTATTGCGCAATATTGTGCTATTGGATATTTCTTGCTATTGCGCAATACTGTGCAATTGAAGATTTCTTGCTATTGCGCAATACTGTGCAATTGAAGATTTCTTGCTTTTGTGTGCAATACTGTGCAATTGAAAATTTCTTGCTATTGCACAATACTTATTATATAATAGTTTACACATCCTGTTTGGTGTGTATCTCCTACCATATCATTATTATTTGCTTTTAAATATAAATCAGAAATAACCAACTTAAAATGGAAAATTTTAAAAGAAAAAAAAAAGGAAAAAAAGAAAAAAAAGAAAGAAAAAAAAATCCCCCCCCAAATTTTTTGAAACCCCTTATGATTCATCACCCCCAAAATCAATCCCAGCCTTCCCTTTGTGGTATGGTACCTTGCAGTACAATTTCAGAGAGATCCATACACTTGAACACAAGTAATTGTCTGCAAACTAGAAAAATGCTATTTTTGGCCCCTTATTCCAAAACGTTTTGGGCAATTACCCCCAAACTCAATTCCAGCTTTCCCTTTTTGATATGGAATCTTGTAGTTCAATTTCAGAAAGATCCATACACTTACACACAAGTTATTATCATGAAACTAGAAAAATGCTTGTTCTTTGCCCCTTTTTTGGCCCTTAATTCCTAAAATTTTGAGGCAATAACCCCCAAAATCAATCCCAGCATTCCCTTTGTGATATGGAACCTTGTGGTACAATGTCAGAGAGATCCATACACTAACACACAAGTTATGTCTGGAAGTTACAAAAATGCTTATTTTTGGCCCCTTTTTGGCCCCTAATTCCTTAACTGTTGGTACCATAACCCCCAAAATCAATCCCAACCTTCCTTTTGTGGTATTGAACCTTATGGTAAAATTTCATGGAGATCCATTAACTTAAACTAAAGTTAGAGTGCGAAAACCAATGTGTCTTTGGATGACGACGACGACGCCAACGTCATACCAATATACGACCAAAAAATTTTTAATTTTTGTGGTCGTATAAAAAATTAAAAAAAAATTTTTGAATTTGAGGAACAACCAATTTCTTAAATTTCTATAGCAAATGAATAAGAAGATTCAAAACAACGATCATGCTAAGTTATTACGTTATTACGTTTTATATTTTTCAATTTATAATTTACAATCAGACAGAAACTTTTACATGCAATATATCGGTCGTCACAAGTCATTAACTTCTGTCAAATTAGAAACCCTGAATAAACCGGCCCTTTTTCATAGTCCCGTAGCTGGCCGGTTTATACAGGTTTTACTGTAACATTGATGAAGTTAATGGGTGCAGATCTCATTATACATATTGCCCAGCACAGCCAGTTATATTATATGATGGAAACATGTTTTATAAAAAAACATATTTAACATTTGTCTGGCTCTATTTTATGCATGAATTTCCCTACCTGGATGAAAATTCCCAATTTGATGGTCAAGGGACCCATTTGAAAACACCTGGAATCATCCCTGCTGATACATTTTTTCCTGGAATAGTCTCTATCATGAAGATTGCAACAATGATCTACAAGATGAGGAACTTACCTGTTTTTGTGACTGCTACTGATCCAATTACAACCAAATCTACTTTGATCTTTGTATCCAGTCCAATAGGTTCACTGTGTTCTCTTACACCCTGAAAAAGAAATACAATCACTCAATTTATAATCAAAGTACTCAGAAGTACTCATGGAAAGATGTTTACAGTAATGTCATGTCAATATTTCTAATAACTCAACTTACAGTTTTTGTGAAAATTCTCTACACATACAACTCTTTTAATCAATAAATTTAATAATTCTATAGGGCAGGACATTTGTTTTTGTGTCTGTTTGGTTTTATTGCACTTATTACACATTCATATAATTTTAAAAATTCTAAAGGGCAGGACATTTGTTTTTGTGTTTGTTTGGTTTTATTGCACTTTTTACACATTCTATAATTTTACGACAGCATTCTTTATTGTCTGAGGAATGTCCAGGGATACTTTGGTACTTTATGATTAAATCTGAACATTCTTTAAGCAATCTATTGATGGTAATATTTACCTATGTTGTGATGCATACCTTTAGATTATACTTATTTAAACCTATTGAGGTAATATTTGCATTTACTATGGCACATATATTCAAAATATCCTTATAACAACCTTCTAGTGGTTCTAACTATTACAACCTTCTAGTGGATCTAACTACCTGTGTTGTGGCTCATTACCCCAGTGGTTCTAACTACCTGTGTTGTGGCTCACTAGTAACTACCCCATACTATCTGAATATCTAACTTTTATATGGTATTTTTTACCTGTGTTGTTGCACATATCCTCAGAATATCCTTATTACAACCCTCTGGTGGTACTATTTTGTTGAACAATCCAGTCCTCAATCTTGGTGTAGGCACTAACAATGTCTTATCAGCCTAAAAAAGTCTTACACATATGTATAAGTGATTCAGGAATCAAATGCAGATCACAGTCATTATATAGTAAATTTGCAAATTTAATAACAGCTGTTAAACAAAGTGCTTGTGGGTATTGAAGGGTAAAGATTGCTTTCATTATGCAATGTGAATCTAAAATTAAACGCAAAACTGTCATGACTGAATTCAGCAATATAACACATTTAGGCAATATTTTGAATTGGAGTTATCTTTCTTTGTTCAATTTGTTTGCACCTGTCCTAAGTCAGGAACCGATGTTCAGTGGTTGTCGTTTGTTGATGTGGTTCATAAGTATTTCTCGTTTCTCTTTTTTTATATAGATTAGACTGTTGGTTTTCCTGTTTGAATGGTATTACACTAGTAATTTTTGGAGCCCTTTATAGCTTGCTGTTTGGTGTGAGCCAAGGCTCTGTGTTGAAGGCTGTACTTTGACCTATAATGGTTTACTTTTACAAATTGTGACTTGGATGGAGAGTTGTCTCATTGGCACTCATACCACATCTTTTTATATCTATTGAATATAAATTTGTAGATTTATACACCATGCAGAACTTATATTTCTTGACAAGAAAGTAACTAGAAAATTTGAGTTTCTTTCATTAATAAATTGCCTGACATGGATACGACCTAAAGAATGCTCATCTCAGACCTTCACTGAACTAATAAGTATACTACAAGCAGTGATTTTGCTAGCGCTCGTCATTTTCGTCATTTACGAAACGGTTTTCAAAATGACGAAGGTATTCCAAATCAATTTTGTCACTTAAATTTGGAAAGAGTAAAAATATTTTCGCATGAAAATACTATAATTCTACCTGTCTTATTTTTTCTGACAAGTTTATGACCCTCAGTTAATTAACATTTACAACAGGTGTTATAAGTTGTGATTACAGATAATCCGCTTATCGCCATCGGATGGGTCAGTAATCCGTTAAATATTTATCAACCTCATAATTGATCATCATAATTATTTTCCCCAGTAAAATCAGTCAGTCGGCATTTCAATTTCAATATTTATCTAACGAGCACAATTTGCAGTTCGTTTGTGGTAGTTTCGTCATTTGAGTTTTCCCTCGGACAGTTCGCATTTTAATTTCAACATTTCTCAAAACGATCACAATTTGCAGTTCGCGTGTTGTAGTTTCGTCATATTTGATAAAACTTTTAATCAAAAACTTTCGATTAAAAAGATGTTCTGTTTTCACGAATCAAACAGGTGCTTCCTATACGATGAACTGCGCATGCGCGAAAGTATTCTTATGAATTTAAAGACACTAAAACGTAAAATACGAAATAATAAAGTATCAAACTAAACGAGAGAGACAAATATAGTTCTTATTTAGCAAATTTAAATTAAAAAATGATAATTTCCTGCCTTTTTTAAACACTAACCAATCCGTTTATGAATCTGGATTCATTCTGAATTTATTATCCACTTGTCACTTCCTGTTTTCATTTCATTTGGAAATCGAAAGTAAACGTGATCTATTCATTATAAATTTACAATTTAAAGTCATTAGAATTGTTCCAATAAGGATTTACAAATCCTTGGTTCCAACTTTATAGAATAAATTCTTAATATTGCTTTAAAACGTTTTTAAGGATAATGAGTATGAATAATGCAGTGAAATAGTCCTCTAATACAAGTTCATTTATGCTGTGATTCCTGGTTTAAAAAAAATGGATCCCAACTTTTGCTGATTAGGAATGTACCCTGAAACTAACTGAAGTGAAATTGTGAACTAGATTTCTAGATCTTATATCCTAATCTTCGTATTAAAGTGCCACATCAGTCAAATCATGCAGTTACTGCCTAGTATGCCTAAGTCCTTCAAAGTCTGACAAAGATGTATAGATAGTAATATACATCCTAGGTCCCTTGCTGCTACCCAAAATAAGGTTGACTTTCATCCCGCACAAAAGTGACTAAAGCCCTCAAAATCCTAGCTAAAACCCTGCTACAAGCCAATGAAAATAAGTTTTTTTATTGCATTTGAAGCTAATTTCTTAATGCTTGTAGCTATATATATAGATTAAGACTTTGGTTGGCTTGCTTGCTAAATGTGTGTATTAACATTTGCTCAAGCATTGTAATTAAGATTGACATCTGCAAACAATATAAAATAGGCAGAGTTAAACCTTTATACATTATACTTCAGAGTTCGCGAAAATGGTCGGTCCTGTCGGTCCTGTCGGTCAAAATGAGGCTCGGACCAGTATTTTGAAGGCTAGTGCCGGTCCGGATGACCGATGTAAAAACGGCCGTTATAGTGCATATTTCTGCACTTTTTTACATCGGTTATTAGATGTACCGCAACTGTTTCCAATAAGTGTTTACATCGGTTATCAGATGTACCCACTGCCAATTTCCGGTACTGGTTTACGGATTTATTATAAACAAACCAAAGCGGCGATCTACACGTGGCCTACTAAATTTGTTCATAGAGCCATCCCTGGCAAACAATTGGCGATTGAACCCTACAATGGAGCAAACAAATACTGTAACAGCCGAGAAAGTGATTCAGATGATGAAATGGATAGTGAAGATGACTTTAAATAAGAACAATCAGAAGACCTGAACTGGTCCTTCATTGTTAATTTGCCTGTGGGTGCGAAGAATAAAACTAATATTAATAAAGTTATTTTTCGATAAAATATGTTATTAATTTTATTTCTGGATAAAATTAACAGATTTTGTAGGACTGGCTAAAATTTTGTAGGACTGACAAATAATCATGCTTTGTCGGTCCCATGACCGACGGGTCAAAATAAGTTTTCGCGAACTCTGATACTTAAATTTGATTGGATGATATCCTGGAGGTAAGGAACAACCAATTGTACATGTAAACATTACAAGACAATGTTTATATTAAAGGTTTAACTCCGCCCAATCTATATTGTTTGCAAACAAAGCAAGCAAGTCATCCAAAGTCTTAATCTACTAGCATTAGGAAATTAGCTCTAATAATGCAATCTTTAACATAATATAGCTCCTCAAGTATTGAAGTATATTCTTGGCCTTCAAATTTTATGGATTGAGCATTCCTAATGAAGGTAAATCCTGAATAACACTTTCAGACACACCAAACGCATAAAGTGTGCTTTTTTCGTCATCTGTTTAACATGTTAAAGGAACAATCCCACAAAATGGACAGAAACAACCTGTTTACACAACCCCTTCTTTGGAGAAGGTTAAAAACAATTTCATAAATACACATACAATAAGAAATAAACATTTGTTTTAGTCAGGTCAACTTTGTAGTGTTACAAAATAGGATAGCATTAATTAAGTTTTCCATATACTCATTCTACCTAAACTAATGAAAGCTTATAAATTAAATGTCAATTTCAAACACGGATAGTCTAAACATGGCTTTGGAAATAATATCTATTTTAATACCACTTTATTCTATTATTAATCAAATATTTAATTCTAAATACAGTTTTCACAAGTACACATACTGATTAATATATTGTTAGTTCCATGAATATAGTGAATTTAGCATACCATGATCACATGACAAGATTGTGTAAATGTTAAAAAAACTTGTGATGATATCAAAACTTCTAGGAAACACCCATCAAAACTCTTTCTGAGCTTCCTCAAATGTATAACTTTCCCAAAGTTTAGGTATTGGATCAGTTTTTAGGAATCTCTGATTTGAAACATTCCTTTTTGAGTCTTTACAGTTTCAAATTGATTTTTCCTCTATAAATATGCTTACTTCAAGTGTTAGAAACCTAGCATTTTCCTGTGGTTTATCTGGGTTTATTTTCACAGTCTGTGCCTTCTTAAACTCATCCAAAGAAATCATCTTCTCTGCTGCAGTTGCTGCTCCCTAAGAAAATAAATAGAGAATATCATATGGCTTTTTCAATATCCAGAGACACCAATATTATCCAAAGAGCTCTGCTCGAGGGATTATATTGGTTGAGGGTTGATACTGTGAGAGATATTGAATAAACTGCTTTGCTGAGCGCAGCTGGATACGCCTGCAGAGGTCCAACCCTGAACAGTTGGGGCAAAATGGATACAATATTCAAGCATGATACAGGTCTGAATTTGGATTGTAATTAAATATTTGATATATTATAGGTTTCAGGATAAATGTAGTCAAAGAACTTGAAATTGGCTATATAAAAGATTTCTTGCTGTTGTGCAATACACTGTGATGTGCGCAATACTTAGTAAATCTGTTTTCAGACTATAAACAAATAAAATCTTATAACTCAGAAATGTAAAATCGAAAATTTATAAAAATTAAAAGGGAGCTTACAAAGATAGATATAAACAATTTACCAAAGTTTCATAAAGTTGAATTATTGTCCGAAAACTGGAAAATCCCCCTTTTCGTAATGAATAAATCCCCATAAATCGGAAACGTATAGTCTGAAATTTATTAAAATTCTTAAGGGTTCCGCGGAACCCAGTGTCTCGCCTACTTTTGCTGTTAATCGCAGGCTCAACAAAAATGAGGAAAAAAATCAATAAAAATATTCCTTTAGATACTATCTTTTGATTGTAAGAACCTTCTGTCAAAGTTTGGTATAAATCAAGGATAGTTTATGAATCTAATAAATGTTTTAAAAACTTTAACTGCAGACTGTATTTAATGTTAACTGGAAGAAAAACTAAGTCCATTTACAAGTAAAATATGGAAAAACAGGAATTTTATTTTTACAAAATTTACTTCTGGATACTATCTTATGATCATAAACAAGCTTCTGTTCAAGTTTGGTAGAAATCCAGGATAGTTTAAGAAAGTTATTAAAATTTCAAAAACTTTAACCACAGAGTGAATATTTGTAGACGCCGCCGCCGCCGCCGCCGACAACTACGGAATGTAGGATCGCTTTGTCTCGCTTTTTCGACTAAAGTCGAAGGCTCGACAAAAATCAAAAAAGACTGAGAAATGAATAATTAAGTTATGCTCAGTCTTTCAGTAAATTCAATTACAAACAAAAACATTCTGATGGTAATTTTCACAAAAGATTTCGACTTACAATCTTCCACAAAATTTCCCTAAATTTATATGGCTTTTGAGGATTCTTTTCAGAAAAATTTCATAGTCCAACAATACAATATTTTAACAACAGGCAGGTTGAACTTGTGGTTAATTATGAAGACTATCAGATGGAAAGAGTAAACTCCAGTATATTTCGTTTAAATGGAAAATTGTGCTTTAAGCTAAAGGCAACTTAACTGCACTTTCCGAAGATTTTTTCCTAATTTAAAAATACTAGTGACTCCCTTTTACATTGTCAGTTATCAAAAAAAAAAAAGACGGTTATGCTTATGTATAAGTTTGGGGAAAAATGCAAATAGACAACATCGATGAACGGCATTGATGAATTTGACAACAATTCAGAAACCAAATATCTGAGATTTACAAAAAATTCCAGCATTTTGGCTTTCAATGGTAAGTTTTTCCCACAACCTTTTAACATGATTTAGATAGAATTTTTACTAAAGCCAAATGCTAGGTGCGAGCTTGGTATTCTATGGAAACCTTATTGTGTGCAAACCTTGACATTTGGGATTCTACGATAGCATGGTCTTGGAAACTCCACAAGATCATTCTTCTCTATGTAGTCCCAAACAATCTGACGAATGGCTCCTTTATTGACTTCTGCAAATACAACAAATGTATCATAATGTAAATTTTTGTATATGTTTATGTACAAGTACAAAGTTTCACTGCCTTCTCACAGCTGTGTATTAACGTGTACTAGAAATTCAAAATTATTGTGAGGATTGTATTAATGTGAATAATGCGACTGAGTGAGTATCGCAGTAATAAAAACATGCATTCTGTATCGGATATAAATATATGTATGCCGATTTTTCTAAAATCACAATAACTAATCTCGCATTTCTGTCGATCATTATAATGTCCATTCTTCAAAAAAAACAAAAAAATAAATGCACAAAATAATTCTGCATTTACAGTACGTGTAGAATCTGAGAAAATCCACCCTTAGATTTGTTGATTTTTATTGTTTTAACGCCACTTTTAAGCACCGCTTTTGGGCTATTTCTTGGCGGCCAGTTTTTATTGGTGGAGGAAGCTGGAGTGCCCAGAGAAAACCACAGACCTTCCATAGGAAAACTGACAATCCTAGTCAATTAAGATTGGAGTCGAGTGCACCCGCACGAGCGGGGTTAACGTTCGAACTCACAACCTCAGTGTTGACTGGCTAGTAATTACAGTAGGAACTACTTAGACCACTCAGCCAACGAGGCCCCTCCACCCTTAGAAATCTATTGACAGGAGATTGATGTAAATAAAATAATAATTTCTTTTTTTGGTTTTCAAAGGAGATGTAGGTAGATGTAAATATTTTGGAATTTTCCAAAATCATGAAAATTGACCATGGTTTAGAATAGGGGGTTTGAAAGGCACTCAAATTAATTAATAGTAGGTAATCACATTTTCCTTATAATTTTGTTAGAATTACACAATTAAATTCAAATTTTATACAGGGGTTAAAAAATCCACTAGCCCGACGCCCGGGACTACAGCATTTAGGCCTAGGGCAACCAAAACTTGTAACGGTTAAACCCAATATGCCCTAAGGACTAGTAACAAAAAAATCTTGGCGTTTCCAAAATAAAAAGTGGTAATCCACACATCACTTTTCTATCTTAGCCAATCAGATTCAACTACATCATGCCGGATTCCAGAATTTGAACTTATTTTGTACAAGTTTTAAAATAGAACAAATAACTTGGGGTGGATCCCCTACTTTCAATATCGATTTGTTAGTACAGGGGGTATTGTACATTGCTTATGCAACCAGAGAAATATAATGTAACCTGACTGTACCTCCTTCTGAATAATTTATTGCAATATAAATATGAATCCCTTTTCACAGGAGAAAGTAGATATATTCAATTAATCGATAATTGTATATTCATAATAAGGCTTGTACCATCTCAGGTTTTGGTCAACTCATTATTACAGAATATTCAATGAATATACAATTATCGATTAATTGAATATATCTGCTAATGGGATATTTTTTTGCTGACATAAGTTTTGGGTATCCGATTTGTAAAAATCTACTGTACAACGGATAAAAATTGTTAAGTTTATAGAATTCATTGTATTAATGCAGCAAACTCTGAATTTGTAAGGCATACTCGGGCTAGCAGGTCAGTTTTGTTGGGCTAGTAGTTCTTCCAACAGGGCTAGTAAAATCCTGCTACCAATTAGCCCTGGGCTAGTGAGCTATAACAAAATTTCTTAACCCCTGTTTATAGTATGGGTGGTAGGGTCTAAGAAAAGGGCATCCCATTCGTTAAATTCTAGAACATCCCTTAGTCATTGTGATTTACACTTTTCTTGATTATCAATGAATGGTTCAAGTTTCTATGATGAGAAAATTCTAAATCTTCTATTGCACTGCAACTGGATCACTATTGTTTTTCTTAGTTTTAACTCTGCTTTCGCTGCATTTTTACAATTCTTTAGTTTTCTATGTTGCGTTTTGTATACTGTTGTTTGTTTTTTGGTCGTTTATTGTTTTTTGCCATGGCATTGTTAGTTTGTCATCAATTTATGAGTTTGCATATCTTTTTGGTATCTTCTGGTCATGGAAATCATGACTTTCAGGACTTACCTGCACCTAATTCACTGACAGATTCTGCAGGTGTTTTGGTTGACATGACTGCTTGTCAAAACTGAAACACACTCTGAAATGAAAAACAAATAGTAAATCATCTCAAATTTATCTTTTTTGTATTTTCACATTACCTGTCTTTGGTTTACTCCTGTAACCATGGTAACAGACTACACGAATGAATTTTATTTTATCCGGACATTCGGTCTGGTAAACAACCTAGCTTTACCAGACCGAATGAAATTTTACCAGACCAATTTTTTTTACATCTAATTGTATATTATCCGACAAAATACCAACAAACCTATGACTTGTTGTGCCCTACTGCACTCCAAAATGCACAAAAACAAAATCATGTGACAAGAGTGTATATTTTGATGAAAGTTGTGCACAATTGCTTGAATGCATTTTATTGATAAAGAAAAGTAATGTCACATTCTATTGGATTTTGACATGAAAATTATTTGTGAACTAAAAATAATTTAGAGTTTCTGTATACAATAATTCCTGTATCTTCTTCCTTTTTCATATATCTTTTGGTTTTCAATTCTAGTGTTTATATTTCATAGCTGTATTTTGTGAACCTGCTTGGATTTTTTATTGTATTTGATCGGCAAACCCGGATTTGGCCTTATCCCTTCCCGGAATCTGATTCTGTTTTGTCTTGTTTCCAGTTGATGGCAGCCATTGTTGTTTTTTTCAGTCATGCAGATATGTTTTTACTCGGATTTACACATTACTTGTTGGCGATTTTCGGCATAAAGCTAGAGGTTGAACAAAATAAACATCGCTGTCATGAATAATAAAGATGAAAATGAATTTTGAGATCATTTTTAGAATTTTGCTCCCAAAATTGGGAAAAATGTAGGGTTTTTAGAAAAATCCATGAAAAAAACAACACCGGACATTCGGACCGGTATTCAACAAAATTTTACCAGACCGCTCCATTATTCACCGGATTTGTCCGACGGTCCGACGAATTTCGTGTAGTCTGTGGTAACATGTCAACTGGTACGTTTGCCAACTGTTGCCCTACTAACTTGTTCTACCAACTCATATCAAACATGCTACACTTTTAGATATTATTTCTAAGCAATATAGTAGTTATTTTCTATCATAAAACTTTTTTTTTAATTAAAAAAATCGAAATGTTGTTTTGAATTATAATTATTACATGTATAAATTGTACTAATTAGCATGATTAGTGATCATTAGTAGACCTACAACTGTACATTCTGATCAGATTGGGGTTGATTAAAAAAAAACTTCATCTAGTCATGTTTTTTTGTTGCCATTTTTAAAGCAGTTTTTTTTCTATTAGAATATAGTCGTCACTTGCTTAGGTGTTTTCAAAATTTAAATGTATTCAGAAAAGCTGATGTGTCTTCTACTCAATTCTAACTTGCTTTGGTTGTGTGGAATTCGAATGGTGCAGAAGGCGTAAAAAGCACATGTACTAGGTGAGGTAGCTTCTATACATTTTCCCTAATAGAGTTTATAGGGCTTGAAAATTGATTCTGAGGGCTGCCAAAACAGAAAATCACTCCCAATACAGAATCCAAAGTTAGGGGAGGGTTGAGCACTCAGAAACATGTTTAACCACACCACATTCTTTATGTGCCTGTCCCAAGTCATGAGCCTGTAGTTAGTGGTTGTCATTGGTTCATGTCGGTAACATTTGTTTTTGTAAATTGAACTGTTATAAATTAGGCCGTTAGTTTTCTCAATTGAATTGTTTCATATTTCATATCAGGGCCTTTTTATGGTTCATCATAACCTTTTGGCTAATACGGCCGTATTTACACCACAAATTTTACTCTGAGTACAGACAAACCTGTGCACCTGCAAAAGTTTTAAGGCATGGCAGGACCTAGATAATTAAATTTAAATGCATTTTATGATTCAGAAAATTATTAACTTTTCTGGATTTTTCTATTCATTTTTTTTCATTCCCGCAGAAGGTGCAAAAATAAACTAAGTAGGGAAAACGTTTGAGAAGCTTCCCTCATATAATCAATGTTGTGAGTAGTATTCATTTAAATGGACAATAGACATGATAGATGGATAATAGACACCTGCAAACAATAGGTGATTTAAACTGTGTAACTGAGTGGACCGTATCAAATGAAACTTGTATCAAATGAAACTCGTGTGTTTGTTTATTTTGCTATTTTCTGCAGACTGGAAAAAAATGCACGTCAAAATCCAGGTAAGTCATCAATTTTCTGAAACATATACTTCATACAACTTTTATATTTCTAGGTCCTGCCATGACTTAAAACTTTCCTAGATGCATTAGTTTGTCTGTACACATAGTAGATTTTGGGATGTAAAAACGGCCATATTTTTCAATTCCTTCAGATGAACCTTATAGCTGACTATACAGTATGGGTCTTTCTCATTGTTGAAGGCTGTACAGTTGCCTATAATTGCTTACATCCAATTCATTTGAACTTCGGTGGATAGTTGTCTCATTGGCAATCATACCACATTTCCTTATTCCTATATATTATAAATAAAAAAATAATTGCTGAACATTACATCAACTTGATAAAAAATTGAATATTACCAATGACGGGAGCTAGGTGAATAGATATATCTTTTGACAGTCAAGAAAAGCAAAGAGACAGACAGGAAAGCGACTTCTTTGTCCTCATTGCCCTATAGTGTGAGGAATTATAGTTATCTCGTACCATTGTAAACTCGTACCAATGTCAACTCGTACCACTAAAAAAAAACTCGTACCAATGCAAACTCGTACCACTGCTAACTCGTACCACGGTAAATTCATACCATTGTAAACTAGTACCAACTTATTTAAATGCATTCAAATGGTGTTTAATGATAAATATATACTTTAATTTCACTCAATACCTCTTAAGTCTGTAAAATGTATATAATTTGAAATTACAATGACCAATTTGTAGCTAATTTTCCTTGTCTAATTGGATAGAGAAAACCGTGGCAGATTGGCTTTGTTGTCCCCCTTGAATAGACTCTTTTTTAAACTTTTACTGACAACTATTTGATTTAATTTTTAATCATTCCAAATCAGTAACATTGAATAGATTTGGGTATTTTTCTATTGTTTCTAAAAGGAATTTTATTTAATGAAAGAATTGATTTATTGTGTTTTAAAGGTTTAAAATTGTTTATGACCAACAGTTAGAAAGTATGAAATTTATTTTTATACAATATTCAGCTCATTTGAGCAGAATATGACCATGCTAATATGATTAAACAAGTTGATTAGTTTGAAGATAAAAAAAAAAAACAAGTTGATTAGTTAATAATCAACCAACAATCACACAATCAAGGGAATTTAATATATTTATTAGCATGGTAAATAAGAAATTACATTCGTATTTATGTCTAAGTTTCATTAAAATCTGGTATAAAATTCAAAGATACTTTAATTTTTTGTATAAAGCTTAAAAAAAAAATAATCATAAAACATTCGTATTTTTGTTTAAGTTTTCATTAAAATCTAGTATAAAATTCAAGTAATTCAACTTTTTTTATTTAGTTTACCAAAAATAAATTCATAAAATATTCGTATTTTTGAATATATTTTTAATGGAACGAGTTTGCAGTGGTACGAGTTCTGATTGGTACGACTTCCCAGTGGTACGAGTTTACTTTGGTACGAGTTAACTTTTTTGGTACGAGTTTACGTGGTACGAGTTTACAATGGTACGAGTTAACTTGCTTCCTAGTGTGAGCCCTGTATTGGCTGTAATGCTCAGAGGCGGATTTAGAGGGGGGCCCCCCCTTTTCTGGGGAAAAAATGGTTAATTATATAGGGAATCACTGACACATGACCGGAGCGGGCCCCCTCTTAGGCAGTCAGTGGGCCCCCACTTATGAAAATTTCTGGGTCCGCCACTGATGCTGTATATGTGTGTACATGACATTGTATGCATATAAAAGCTTTTGGCAGACTGAAATTATTTTGAACTCAAATGTTCAAGTTTCAAGGGAAAGCAGGCATCACCAAAATGGCTCATGCTTAAGGAGTTAGCAGATTACTAACCCTATTTTTACAGATGTTTTAACATAAACAGAGAAAACCCTAGAAAAATTACCAAATTTGGATTGGACAGTTGGAAGTCAGTAGATAAATTTGAGAAGTCAGATAAATGACACCTGTAGCAATAATATACAAAAATCTATAATACTGAATTCCTTTTTAACAAATTTCCCATAATTCAATAACCTTTGACGCTGTCTAATCTCAAAACTGTTATCAAACTGACTATTTCCCAACGTGGCAAATGGAGGCTACCATATTACTGTCACGCAATGAATATTTTTTTCCTAATTTTTTCAATGCTTACTAAAAACTTCTAATGTATCAGATCATTTTTCTATACGCAATTGAATATTTCTGTAATTGTTCAAACTGACAAGTGCAAGAAAGTGTAAAAAGGTTAAAATTTAGTGCCGTTAATTTCACTTCCGGGTTATGGCTGTCCGTCGTCTTCTCAGTTCCAAATTCTTGGAAAAAGTGTCAAAAAATTACTCACAAGCAACAGTAAGCTATGTTTAAAGTCATTTAATAATAACATTAAACACATAGTTTCCATTGAAGGTATTAGGTTAAAGTGTCATGTTAGACTTATAAAAAAGAGAGAAATAAAACACACGAGTTTCACTTGATATGGTCCATTCAGAAACACAGTTTTAAATCACCTATTGTTGTCAGGTAACTATGTTCCCTTTATAGTTCCTCTGTTGTCCCTCTACTGTCAGTGTCAATCAAAACAGTTAAATTCAATTATTACCTATAAAGGAGAAGTTCTCAAACATCTTTACCAACTAAATGTTTATTTTGGAACCTTCTGTAACATGTGTAAAAAGTGCAGGACATGCAAGAAGAGGTTTGAAATAATTATTTAATGAATTATTAAAACACTCATAATAGTTTTTTGCAACAGTGTAAACAAACAGTATGGCATTATTTGACAAAATGTTTGATATTTTTTTTAAATAATATTTTTAAATGATGAAAAAATACAATGAAATAAATACTCTTAAAGTCTGAGGTGAATATTTAAAACGTAAAATTCAGGTCTGACATGACCTGTATTTTACTTTCAGAAATTGACAGCTACACATTTATATCCCACATTAGAATTTGACAGAGAATAATAATTACAGATATGACCTAATGTGTACTTCATATAGACGTTATTGTAAACAAAATAGCTTGTACATAAAGAAATCTACATACATGTAAATGTATTTCAAACCCCAAGGTTGACTGTGGAATAGAAATGCAGTCTTTGCGCTCAACCACATTCCCACCAGCCATGCCAGCCCAGGTTTAAAAAAATGCTGTACTGCCTGTAAAAATCCTCTCTACAGGCCAATAGAATCTTAATAAATTTTTCCTAAACTTTAGCTTCTGGCCTGTAGATTCAAAAACTTATCGTGAAGACTGGAATTATAGTCACTCTTGGTCTTCTTCTGACTGGATAGTTGGGTGTCCATTTTATTGTGTGGATGTACACAATTTAGTGTCCGTCATAATGAGGGTGTTAAATCTGATGCCTCTTGAAGATGGAATTCCATGCTCTCAGCACGTTGACAACCCTTGCAACAACTCTCAGTGGATTTGTAGGTGATCTGTTGCAAGCCTTGATTTTCTGTCCCTATCTAATTTAACTCTATTTTCCAGTGGCAGTCAAATATTCCACCCACTGTCCAGGTCAATTTTAGTCGTAAAATTGTTTGTGAAACTCATGCATGGTATTATGGCAATCGGATTAAAATCAGATCTTTCACTTTGCTCTGTTAGATTTGTTTTTCGCTTGAGCATGTTGAGACAGGATCTGAAGACATCCCGTAAGGGATCATGTTTAGATGACCTTACAGCATCCATAAAATCTTCGCCTTTAAAAAATTTAATAAGGTTGTACTATGAACTATGAAAAACATAGTCGGGTAATCTGCGTAATGCTTCAGGATATAATATAAAATTCTATGTTCTAACCCAATCATTAAATTCCTAACATTGTCATGATTGTTTTGATTTTAAGGACCAACTCTCAGACTTTATTGTAAACATTTCTCAACTTAAAAAAGCAGTTAAGGTTAAATTATTTTTATTAATTTTATATATTTTAAATGGTAAACAGATTAAACATTTAATCATCTTGATGTTGAAATTTTGACCCAATTGAGTTAAACTATTGTTGTGAGATAAAAATAGCAATCAGAGAGCCAACATGTCTCTTAAAATGATTGGTTGATTAAAAATTTAAAGAAAAGGTCATCTGCACATGAACCCTTATGGGATGTCTTCAAATCATTACATGAGAAACAAAAAATCTATTGGAGCAAAGTGAAAGATCTGATTTCAATTTAGAAGTTAGAACCCAAATGTCCAAGCTATTTGAGTCTTTGATTCATTTTTTGTAGATTGCTGGTTTTCCATCATTTGTAAAGATTGTGGAAGTAGGACCTAGAGATGGACTTCAGAATGAAAAGGTAAGACTGTTGATTCATTTTTGTCGAGCCTTCGACTTTAGTCGAAAAAGCGAGACATAGCGATCCTACATTCCGTTGTAGTCGCCGGCGGCGTCCACAAATATTCACTCTGTGGTTAAAGTTTTTGAAATTTTAATAACTTTCTTAAACTATCCTGGATTTTTACCAAACTTGGACAGAAGCTTGTTTATGATCATAAGATAGTATCCAGAAGTAAATTTTGTGAAAATAAAATTCCATTTTTTCCGTATTTTACTTACAAAATGTATAAATGGACTTAGTTTTTCTGCCGGGAAATATTACATTCACTCTGTGGTTAAAGTTTTTAAAATTTGAATAACTTTCTTAAACTATCCTGGGTTTGTACAAAACTTGGACAGAAGCTTGTTTATGATCATAAGATAGTATCCAGAAGTAAATTTTGTAAAAAAATAAATCCATTTTTTCCTTATTTTACTTTTAAATGGACTTAGATTTTCTGCCAGGAAACAACACATTCACTCTGTGGTTAAAGTTTTTAAAATTTTAATAACTTTCTTATACTATTTTGGATTTGTACCAAACTTGGACAGAAGCTTGTTTATGATCAAAAGCTAGTATCTAGAAGGAAATTTTGTAAAAAAATAAATCCATTTTTTCCATTTTTTACTTTTAAATGGACTTAGATTTTCTGCCAGGAAACAACACATTCACTCTGTGGTTAAAGTTTTTAAAATTTTAATAACTTTCTTATACTATTTTGGATTTGTACCAAACTTGGACAGAAGCTTGTTTATGATCAAATGCTGGTATCTAGAAGGAAATTTTGTTTTCTTCCAGTTAACATTACATTCAGTCTGCAGTTAAAGTTTTTAAACATTTAATAGATTCATAAACTATCCTGGATTTTTTACCAAACTTGGACATAAGCTTCTTACAATCAAAAGATAGTATCAAGAGGAATATTTTTATTGATTTACTTCCTCATTTTTGTTGAGCCTGCGATTAACAGAAAAAGTAGGCGAGACACTGGGTTCCGTGGAAAACCCTTACGAATTTTTATTGGTGTGGTACTGATTTTCATGGATTTCTTGTATAGGTGATCCATGAATTTGATGAATAGTACAAATTCCAAATAGGCTTGTTGAGGAAGGTGAACCATGAATTTAATGAATAACACAAATTCCAAATAGGCTTGGTCATGTTGGTGATGTACTGATTTTCAGGGACTCTTTGGGATATAGGTGAACCATGAATTTATTTATACCAAAACGAAGCTCATCAAAGTAAAATTATAGAAGGCAAATGAAACCTAAGTTAAAAAGATTGAGAAAATTTAAAGCATTCTGGTGTAGAATATGAGATTATGTCTATAACATGTATAAAGGACAAAAAAAATGAAGGATATAGACTGCTATCAGGAAACCGGGAAACCGTCACTAATTGACAGATCAGGTTTAAAAAACAGATACTTTTTTCAACTAAGTTAACTCTTAAGATGTAAATTTGATGATTTTTCATATGATACATGTAATATTATTGATGTTATTTTTAACAGGCCATAGTTCCAGCGCAAACAAAGATAGAGTTTATCAACAAATTATCAGAAACAGGATTGTCTGTTATTGAGGTCACAAGTTTCGTATCACCAAAATGGATCCCTCAGGTTTGCTCAATTTTATGTGAAAAAAGTATACATGACAAAATTAATCATTGGAACAAAATACAGTCAATTTTAATGGGTCAAGATTACACCACAATGTATACAATTTCAAGTGATATTTCTACAAGAGATTTTGAACTATTTTCCGGTAATTATTCATTATTGCATAGAAAAAGTCAGAAGACACCAAGGGGTCAGTCAAAACTCATAGGTAGAAGAGAAACTGACAACACCAAATAAAACAAAGAACAGGGATAAAATGGCAAATTGTTTAAATACATTACATTGATTTAAAAAAAACCAACATGTTTATACAATGTAATAAGTGAATAAGAGTGATTGGTGATTTTAGTTGATAACATTTTGTTTCATTTTATTGTGTTTTTTTCTTTCGAAAACATAAATATAGAGTGAACCTCTAAGTGAGCCAAACAGATCTTGTGAACTTGTGTTATGAATGTCAATTCATATTCAAATGAACAGCATTAGTGCTTTTGTAATACATGCTCACCTTGCATTAGAGAAGTTGTTGGTTAAAATATATCTGGCTGGTTATAAACCTAAGATTTTAAAATTAAAATTTGCTGCTTTTCCAACAAGCAATTTGAACAAAGACTTGTTGGCCTGGTATCAAATAATATATCTAAAATACAAAAAGTGGAATAAAAAAAAGGAGATGGGGTATGATTGCCAATAAGACAACTATCTATCCACCAGAATTCCAGATGAAGTGGATGTAATCAATTAGAGGCAACCGTATGGCCAACAACAAAAAGAAAAACCCAGACCGTTTAGGCAGTTATAAAAGGCCCTGACATGAAAAATGTGAAACAATTCAAACAAGAAAACTAACAGCCTTATTTATAACAAAACAATTTATGAATTACATGAATTACAAATATGACAGACATGAACCAATGACAACCACTGAACTTTACACTCCTGACATGGGACAGGCACATAAATTTGACTTCTTGTGAATGTTATGTTGTCTAACGAAGTGTTCCGGTCTGGTTTAAAGCAGAATACTAAAATGATTGTATGCATTTATTGTTTTTCTTAAATTGTTTAACATTTCATACCAATATAACATGTTACTTTTATTATTCTTCCCTTAGTTTATTTAATTTGTATTTACATTGTATCATAGGTCAAATTTATTTGTTCAGTGTATGTTCACTGGTGTTAATATGTCCTTTGATTGAGTTAAGCTATTTCAGTTGATATTTTATAGTGTGTCTTTCTATGTTGTGATGTTACACTATTGTTTCAGAAAAAGGGTGAATGTTTGGTACCATTAAAACGTTTAAACCTGCTGCATTTGTTTGCACCTGTCCTAAGTCAGGAATCTGATCTTCAGTAGTTGTCGTTTGTTGATGTGGTTCATAAGTGTTTCTCGTTTCTCGTTTTTTATATAGATTAGACAGTTGGTTTTCCTGTTTGAATGGTTGTACACTAGTAATTTTTGGGGCCCTTTATAGCTTACTGTTCGGTGTGAGCCAAGGCTCCGTGTTGAAGACCGTACTGTGACCTATAATGGTTTACTTTTATAAATTTTGACTTGGATGGAGAGTTGTCTCATTGGCACTCATACCACATCTTCTTATATCTATTTATTGTTGCGATTGTTAAACAATGGAAACAAATGCAAGATTAATTACATTTTTTATGATTTTGGTAAATGCTGCATATATACAGATCCATGATGTTTTTGAAGCTGTTATTTTTGCAAAACATATCCCGTTGCAAATTTTCCCAATAATTTCAGAATATACAATATTTTCATAGGAAGAATCCTATTTCAGTAACTTATTTACATACTGAATCTGTCATGCATGTCATACTTGATGCTGGATTTTTAGCAGTCAACAGTCAATCAAGTATAGTCACAGGAACCTTTAGTACAATTCTCTTCAACAGCTATAACCAGACTGAATTAATCGATTATTATGTTTTTTCAAATTTTTGTATATATATATATAAGTTATCAAAATCTGGGAAAAATTTTGAATCCCTACAAGCCTGTTCCTTTAGAATTATCTTCAACAGCCATCACCAGAATAAATTTGATAATAAATTATTATAAATAATATACATTATTCAATTTCCTTATAGATTTGTTCATTACCTGGGAAAATTTTCCACTATGAATCACAACAAACCTGTTCCATTATAACAATAACAGTTTAAGGGAAGATAAATAATTTTTATGATTGCTGTTATTTCTTTGTGACAGATGGCCGACCATACAGAAGTGATGACAGGAATTAAGAGACATCCTGGAGTAATATATCAGGCACTTGTTCCAAACGTAAAAGGATTTCATTCTGCTGTAGGTAAATCCAACAGTTATACGCCTTATCGCTATTTGTCCGCAATTACTGGCCATCACAGACATTCTGTAAAATTTAAATGTTACAAGAGAAAATGTCTCACACAGGAAAAAACAAAAGTGCTTGTTGTATGAAATTAATATATCATGTGTCGCAAAATCTTAGGTCTAGTGTCACAGACTCCTAAAATAGCAAAAAGGTCTAGTGGATTTCATAGTTTTATTTTATGCCTCTTCGATATTTCAATAGTGCCACATGTGGAGCAGGATCATCTTACCTTTCCTGATCACCTGAGATCATCCCCAGTTTTTGTTGGTTTTTTTTTTTTTGCTCAGTCTTCAGTTTTCTATGTTGTGTTGTTTTTTGTATACTGTTGTTTGTCTTTTAGTCATTTTCAATTTTTGCAATATGTTGTCAGTTTGTCATCGTCTTAAATTGAGTTTGTATATATCTCTTTGGTATCATCAGCCTCCCTTTTTGCACAAACCTTTAAAATTGTTTGAAAACAACTTGCATGTGGTAACTTTAAGTGTGTTGGTTTATCTTAAAGCAACAAAATACACAAGTAGTAAGAGTAAATACTGCTTTTAAATGAATGATAACAGAACAATTTATGCTGTCTCACTGTATATATAATAAGGAGATGTGGTATGATTACCAATGAGACAACTATCCAACAGAGTCCAAATGGATTGGATTTAAGCAACTAAAGGTCACTGTACTGCTTTCAACCGTGAGCAAAACCCATACGGTATAGTCAGCTATAAAAGGGCTCGACATGTCAACCTATAGATCTAAAATGTAGATATAAAAGTAAAAAGTTTGTTTGTTGCTTAGTTTGTTGTACTAGATTGTTCAAATTGTAACTGCTGAATATTTGTTATTTAGTAGGTGAATATAGAAACATGGCGATGTGGTATGATTGCGCCAATGAGATAACTATCCAAATGGTTGTAAGCAACTATAGGCCACTGTATTGCCTTCAAAAATGAGCAAAACCCATACCATATAGTCAGCTATGATAGGCCCTGACATGATTAAATGAAAAACAATTCATACGAGAGAGAAAAAAAACCTGCCTGATATGCAGGGTTATAAATCAAGTCAATCCAAATTACCAGCAATGACCCTGTTTCATAGCAATCATTCAACAAAAGCAGGATTGGTTTATAACTGAGCCACTTTGTGTGTACTATGTATGAAAATAAGTGTCCTAAAGGGAAATAACTCATGATGAACTTATATAACAGATTTTGTTGTTGATTTCAGATAAATGCCAAAGTTGATGAGATTGCTATATTTGGAGCAGCGTCAGAATCCTTTAGCAAGTAAGTCAGTACTAGGCTGTATGTATGATTTGTATAAATTGTAGATTGTTGCCTACTAACAGTTACTGACATGCCAGCTCCAGACCTCAATTAAACTGATTGAATGATTATGTCTTCATCAGCCATGTATACCCCTACTATAAAAGTGGCTTTTAATTGGGGCTTTATTGTAATAACCTAACTAGTCCATCTTTCGTGGATTATCTGAAGTCTGCATACTAGCCTATAGAAAATTGATACTCCATTTAACATTAAAATTCTGGATACATTTATATGCTCGAAATCCACTAAAATTGATAGATCACAAATAATAATGAATCCACAGTATTTAAAAAAACTATTATACTGAAATCAATTTAATTCAAAATAAACTGCTGACTTTAGCTTTTCTTTAGTTCTACTTAAGGTTAAGATTCAGTAAATGGACTGTCACTGATTTTGGTAAAATTTTGCATACAACTTTTGCTCTTTGAACTAAAACTGAAAATTAACAAAATAATGCATTTATCTGTTTTATTTTCTGAAAATCAATAAATGTATTCTTTTAAAGTTGGTGAACATTTGTATGAAAAACTTATAAGAGAGGGATTTTTTTTAATTTGTCTTGAAACCATCAAATCTCCAATTACAAATGCATTTAATGTACCTTGACCTGAAACATTTAAGTAGATCCTGTAACAAACAAAATATTTTCAACCATTTGCAAGAAATTTGTTAACAAGTGAGTGAGTTGCTATAAATTATTAATGGTCGTTAAGAGGGTTGGGGATATATGTACAGACCAGCAGGAAATAAATGGCCATTTCACAATGAACGAAAAAAAATAAATTTCACCAATTTGCATGCAACACAGTGAATAATGAGCTTCAAACGCCAAAAGGAGAAATTAAAATTGCAAACATGTTGAATGAAAATAACACTTTACCACTCTCATTATTTTGAGCTAAACATAGCACTACTAGTGTAGCAAGAACCAGTTACACTTCCCAAGAATTTACGTTTACTTCTTGGTCTGTCTTTTGTAGTTTGTGTAGCTCAATTTTATGGTTCTTTATAATGTTTTGTTGTAGGTGTTTATCTTCTCATCATTTTGTTTTGACCATGTGGACTTCTGTTATTCTTCAACTTATGATATTTGATTGCCCCCATGATATCCTCACAATTGTTTTTAAAGGCAGTGCTTTAATGCCTTTCTGGTTGCCGGGTTAATCCTTCCTTCCGCGATATCCAACTTATCTACGTGGGGGGTCATTAGGCTCCAAGTAGATCCGGAAATGTTGAATTCTCTCCTCTTCTTATTGTGATATAAAATGTTTTTTGTTTCATTTCATTTACATTGGGAAATAGAGAAACGATCATTGTGTTTTGTTAGTTTTAAAAACTTTTGATATATTTGTATTTTGCATTATAAGCAGTCAACTGATTGACAAACTAGAATTATTTGAATTCCGTGTGGAAAGAGCTCGGGTTACAGTGATATTGTTTGCCTCAAATTACAGCCGAAATTCAGCTTTTTCCCCTAGAGAAAATTCCCAATTACTAAAAAAAATGGCTTAAAATTCATCCCAAAAAGTTTTTCATTTTCCCCAAACAGTGATGGCATTGGTAGAAATGTTTGTAAATATCGTATTCATGTTATTATTTTGATATTAGAAAGCACTTTTGAGATCCGGTTTTCTGATCAGAATCATCATGAGGTTTGTAACACATGTGGTTTTCAATGCATTAAGTACCATCATTGCTTCTGTTTCTTTCCCCTCTCCGAAAAGTACCTTTCAGGTTGAAAATGTCTGACAACCAAAATATACATGAAAACAACAGTGCAAAAAAGACAGCAAAGGTCAGCAAAAAATCGGAGATGTGTTTAGAATAAAATATACAAATTTCCCAATTTCAATAAAAAATATGCATTTTTCCCAATAAAAAACGGTAGAGGTAGTTATGAAAAAAGACAACAATATCACTGGGTTAATTTCGAGTGTTATCTGCAATCTATATGTTTATAAATCATTTCAGTCGTTGATATAATAATTAAAGGTCGACTGAACATGAATTATATTATACAATTTAAAGCGTGAACCCATCTAACGTTATTGTTATTTCGCAGTTATATAAAGTAGCAAATTATCGTTCCTGAATAGGTGGCGCCGTGGTAGCCGATCCTGTTCCTCAACTTCCGGTTTCTGCACTATGCAACTATTTCAGTTACATTTTTAATTAACGATGCCAAGTACTTGTTGCTGTGTACCTGGATGTCATTTAAGAGGAGGACATGCATTTCCAAATGACTTAAAAAGAAGGAAAAGTTGGATCAACGCCATGGCCCATACGCAGATTGGACGAGAACACGATGAAATCGTGGAGTCCATCTCAATCAGCTGTTGTTTGCAAGGCACATTTTACTGAAAAAGACTACGTGCAGGAAACTATTCATGGTAAAACTCTATTTTCTTTTTGAAATATATAGTTATATATGTAATCGCCATGCGAATAAACCAAAGTCTGTTTACAACCGCAATTATCGTTTTAGAATAAAAGGGGGTGGTTAATTCAAGACGTCATAATTTTTTGGATTACGATTCAATGTGATCTGTTTGAGATTTTTTGGTGATTGCTACAATTATAATGATTTCTTACAAGAGGTATATCATACTGAGAATTATTTTAGCAGTAATTATGCTAATGTAGTAATGACAGGAATGCATAAGCTATGCCTCATAGACTTTCTTGAAAAATATCAATGACAATGTTAACAGGAACAAAACAATGACATGCTCTCATCTATATTATAGTTATTTAGGTACAAACAATGTACGTTTGTTGCATAAGTCACTCATTGTTTGTCCTTTGGATTTACATAACATACATTGAATCAGGCAAACATAGTTTTATCCAGATTGTAATGAATAAATCTAGTTAATATTTCGCCAGGTAATACAAAGTATACATTGCTAATGGAAGTTCATTTAATTATCAAAAAACTAATGTTTTATGACCTTTTTCAGGGTGCAAACCCACCATACAGAGACTTAAGTCTACTGCCATTCCCAGCCTATTTTCCTGGACCAAGCAAGAGACTGAATCGTCCGCAAAAAGAAAAATCAGGGCAGTTTCCTGTGAAAACAAAAGAACTAAACTTGATGAATATTGTAGTAGAAATCTAGAGGAAAGTTTTGATTGTAAAGTTGGTTTTCCTGAAGAAGTCATTCATACTGCAGAAAGGATTTATGACTGTCCACCACCAACTGCCGAGCTAATGTTGAGCTTCACAGATGGAATTACGCAAACACCATCAATGCCTATGTTTTCAGCAGAGAATTTTGAAATGAAGACACGTGACACAGCCATGCATTTTTATACCGGTTTAGAGTTGTATACTAAAATTTTTATTTGTTTTGACCACACTTAGTCCAGCAGCACATTGTTTGAGATACATATATTTTCAAGTTGATAGGGTGTCAGTTGAAAATCAGTTTTTTTATGACTTTGATGAAATTGAGGCATTATACAACCAACTTTGAACTTTCTAGATTCTAGATTGAATCTAGTGTTAAGAATATTGTGTATACATGGATTGTTTTTATGTCTAAACAGTGGTGTGAGGCTAACACTTGGCCATCTAGTGGTTTAGTCAGGTATTTTTCACCATCCAACGACTTGGATTATTATTGACAGCACAGAATATCCCGTGATAAAACCTAAAGCTCCTAGAGCTCAGGCAACCTTTTCATCATATAAAAACAGAAACACTGAAAATACTTGTATGTTCTACACCTGGTGGTTTAGTCAACTACATGTATGTCTCTAATGCATATGTTGGTTCTACCAGTGACTATGAAATAGTTGAAAGATGTAGAATAGTTCAATTATGTGATCCAGGTGACAGTGTGGTGGCAGACAAAGGTTTAAATGTGCAAGATTTGTTTGCTAACTTTTTTCAAAAAAAGAAACAGAATTAGTTCCAAAACTCTTATACGGGATAGAAAAGTCTCCAATTAACATGTGCACATAGAGCGAATTATTAGACTTGGCAAAACATACAAAATTCTAATAAATCCTATGAATGGAACTGAAACAAAACTTTCATCTGAAATAACATTTAGTTGTTTTATGTTGTGTAATTTTAGAACTTGTATTGTGCCAAAGGATGCATAAATAAAAGTGACGCAATGAATTTTGTTCTGATATATATATATATTTATAATTACATGCACATGTAAATTGTAATGCATATAAAAATAAGGAGATGTGGTATGATATTCAGTGAGTTTATCGAACTAAAGTGCATAAGAAATGGGTTTAAGCAGTTACAGGTGTTACTGTCACCGTACAATCTCCAACAATGAGAAAAACTTGTACCATGTAAAAAATTTCAGAGATCTTACCACTAAGTTTTGTTGTCTCACCTTGACTTTGGTGAATTGTTTATATCTGTTGATGTAAATATAAAAAAGAAGATGTGGTATGATTGCGAATGAGACAACTCTCCACAAGAGACCAAATGACACAGAAATTAACAGCTATAGGTCACAGTACGGCCTTCAACAATGAACAAAGCCCATACCCCACAGTCAGCTATAAAAGGCCACGAAATGACAATGTAAAACAATTTAAACAAGAAAACTAACGGCCTAATTTATGTACAAAAAATGAACGAATATAACAAATATGCAACACATAAACAAACAACAACCACTGAATTACAGGCTCCTGACTTGGGACAGGCACATACATGTACATACAGAATGTGTCGGGGTTAAACATGTTAGCGGGATCCCAACCCTCCCCCTAACCTGGGACAGTGGTGTAACAGTACAATATAAGAACGAACTATAAAAATCAGTTGAAAGAGGCTTAACTCATCAGATGGATAAATACAAATACAAGTGGACGTGGTCGGGTAGTTGTACATCCAAACAACAAAAAGACACTAAGTACAGATCTGAGAGTACTCACAGTTACTGACAGCTAGTTCAAAGCCACTAACAACTGATCAAAAAATCTTGCATCTAAGACTAAATTATCAATCCGTAAGCTCCCTTTAGAATTTTATAAATTTTAGATTTTACATTTCTGAGTAATGGGGTTTTATTCATTAAAAAAGGGGGGATTTTCCAGTTTTTGTTGAGCCTGTGACTTTTGTCGCAGAAAGCTCGACATAGGGATAGTGATGTGGCGGCGGCGTTAGCTAACTTCTTAAAAGCTTTATATTTTTGAAGGTGGAAGACCTGGATGCTTCATACTTTGTATATGGATGCCTCATGTTACGAAGTTTCCGTCAGCCACATGTCCAATGTCCTTGACCTCATTTTCATGGTTCAGTAACTACTTGAAAAAAAAGTTAACATTTTTTGTAATGTTAAATTCTCTCTTATTATAAGTAGTAGGATAACTATATTTGGTATGTGCGTACCTTGCAAGGTCCTAATGCCCGTCAGACAGTTTTCACTTGACCTCGACCTCATTTTATGGATCAGTGAACAAGGTTAAGTTTTGGTGGTCACGTCCATATCTCAGATACTATAAGCAATAGGTCAAGTATATTCGGTGTATGGAAGGACTGTAAGGTGTACATGTCCAACTGGCAGGTGTCATCTGACCTTGACCTCATTTTCATGGTTCAGTGGTTATAGTTAAGTTTTTGTGTTTTGGTCTGTTTTTCTTATACTGTATGCAATAGGTCTACTATATTTGGTGTATGGAATGATTGTAAGGTGTACATGTCTAGCTGGCAGGTCTCATTTGACCTTGACCTCATTTTCATGGTTCAGTGGTCAAAGTTAAGATTTTGAGTTTTGGTCTTTTTTTCTAATACAATATGCAATAGGTCAACTATATTTGGTGTATGGAAATATTTTATGATCTATATGTCAGTCGCGCAGGTTTTATTTGACCTTGACCTCATTTTCACAGTTCATTGCTCAGTGTTAAGTTTTTGTGTTTTGGTCTGTTTTTCTTTAACTATAAGCAATAGGTCAACTATATTTGTTGTATGGAAGAATTGTTAGCTGTACATGCCTGCCTGGCATGGTTCATCTGACCTTGACCTCATTTTCATGGTTCATTGGTCAATGTTTAGTTTTCATGGTTAATGTTAAGTTTATGTGACAGTTGTAATAAAGCTTTATATTAAGGACTATCAACATAATATCAGTGATTAGTAAAGAAGGCGAGACATTTCAGCGTGTTCACTCTTGTTGGACAACAACTCAAAAATGCTTTAAGCAGTTCGCATGAAACTTTGGTGAATTATTTATAGCTATTGATGTAATCTCCCTATAGATTTTCATAAATTTCAAATATGACATTGAGAAGAAATTGAACTTTATTTGTTTATAGTCTGGCAACAGATTTATTAAGTATTGCACAACAGCACAGTGTATTGCACAACAGCAAGAAATCTTTAATTGAATATAAATTCAATTCATATAACTGATTTCAAGTTCTTTGACTACATTTATTCAGAAACTATAATATGTCAAATATTTAATTACAATCCAAATTCAGACCTGTATCAAGCTTGAATATTGTGTCCATTTTTGCCCCAACTGTTCAGAGTTGGACCTCTGCGGGTGTATCCAGCTGCGCTCAGCGAATCAGTTTATTTCTTAATTAAGAACTCCTTTTTTCATTCATAAATTACTTTAAACTTGGAAATATAATTTTGCTTGGAGTTATAGTTTCTAAAAAAAGTATTGTCATTGAAAGAGTTGACATGTTGCAATGTACATTTATTCTACATAGTTCTATGGTACCAAATCAAAAGTTTATATAAAAGAAAGAAGTCAAAGGTTTCCCATCATAGTTAAGTTACATACATTTGTTTTGTACCTGAGGTCGTTGAATATAGATCATTATATAAATAAGGAGATGTGTTATGATTGCCAATGAAACAACTATCATCCATACTTAACAGTAACAAACCACATTTGCAGAGTTGAATAAAATACAGCTGATAACATTTACTTATTACTAAAAAGAAAATGCCTAACTATTTTAAACAGTACATGTATTTGAATATCAATTATATAGTCATTTTTATAAACTTCCTGTTACAAAACTTTGAATTTTTCGAAAAACTAAGGATTTTCTTATCCAAGGAATAGATTACCTTAGCCGTATTTGGCACAACTTTTTGGAATTTTGGGTCCTCAATGCTCTTCAACTTTGTACTTGTTTGGCTTTATTTTGATCTGAATGTCACTGATGAGTCTTATGTAGACGAAACGCGCATCTGGCGTATTAAATTATAATCCTGGTACCTTTGATAACTAATTTGACTATAAACATAGATAAAAAAAGGTACAAACTGGACATAATGCATAATGCACTAGTTCATAAACAAGTGAGAACAATCACCTTCATATAGTGCTCAGAATATGACATTCATATAACTTGTTCAATATCATTAGAGAACTCTAAATCTTAAATACTGAAAGCCACCTCTGATAAGTACACTGTACTATGCAAGATAATGATATAACTGGACTAAAAATACACACAACCTGTAATTAACTGCCTTTACAGCGCTTTCGCGCTTTGATTATTTAAATGATCTGTAAATCTCTTTACTTTTTCACAGAAAAAACATAAACTGTAGTATAGAAGACAGCCTGAAGAGATTTGATGCAGTTCTGGAGGAAGCTAAGAAGACTAATACACCTGTCAGAGGGTAAGCTGTATAAGTAATTCAGATGTTAATGTGTCAGTTTGAAATCAGATATCAAATATGTTTTGAGTTTTGGAAGGAAATTTATATAAAACTGTTTATTCATTATTATTTATTGATTTGAAGGGCGTGATTGAATCCTTAATTTTTATGTCCAATCCATGAAAAATTGATATCCACAAAAATAACCGAATCCACAGTAATACGAAAATATCCATCAAAATAATACTATGAAAAATAACATGTAAGAATAATAAAAAATAGAATAGTGTTGAACATTACCTAAAAAAAAAATGTAAATCACATATATATATGTATATTAGCAGCAATCCAACAATTAAAGATAATATCAGTGATAAACTTACAAGATGTGAACTGTCTTTACCTTAGGGGCAGACATATTAGATTGATTCAAACATGAAGACCAGCTCGACTTGCCAACCATCAGAAAACAATTCATACCAACTCAAATTTAACCTAAGATACTTATTGAACACAAAAGTGATCATCTTTTCCAAGATGTTGTACATACATGCCTTTAACTCTTATGATGAAAGAAGATTGATTGATTGTTGGTGTTTAGCACCACTTTCAGCACACTTGTTTTTTTCATGGTCACCACCTTTTATTGGTGTCCAGTCAACAGGGGTTCCAGTAAACCTAGAAGTCTGTTCTCACAAGGGAAAAACTTGCATAAGTTAAGAGCCATTCAATAATGTATTTTGTGTTTTGTGTATGTTCTTTATTTTTTTATATATGAACAGATATGTATCCTGTGTACTTGGTTGTCCATATGAAGGTGAAATTGACCCGGAAAAAGTTGCTTGGGTGAGATTTTTTTATCTGTCTTGTTGAATGTTTTAGTGATATGAAGATAAGGAAATGTGGTTTGATTACCAATGAGGACAACTTATTAAAACCAAAGAGCAAAGATGTGAACAATTAAAGGTCACCTTACAGCCTTGGACATTTAACAAAACCAATTCAAAACAATTCAAAATAGAAAACCAATAGCTCTGGTTTTACTACACAAAAATAAACAATCATTGCAGACAGCAACCAAAGTAACACATTGGAACACTGGCTCCTGGCTTGGAATGGCATATAAAGACTGTTGCAGGGTTGAACATGTTTATTCTTTTACTTTATTTCTGAAAAAGAATCTTTTTGCTAGAAACTGAAATGTTAGTTTTTGTAATTATTGTGTCAGGAGTTCTTGAATAGATAGTTAAGAGTTGCTGTTAAAACTAAAAGTTAATAATTTATTAAAAATATGATTTCTTGGTTATGATTCAGTATTTAATGCCACAAAAAAAGAAAAATTCCTTGAAAACAGTACCCTTTACCTGTACATATTAAGCGATAATTTCTATTAAAGATAATTCATAGGTTTAAGGACTTTTGTATGTAATGCAACGTCCAGTTGAACCAATTCTATTCTACACAATAGGCAACTATGCTAGAACACTGGCCACTTAATGAGTATTTTTCAATTTATTTGATCTTTCATGCTTCATGTTTTGATGGATCCAGAGGTTGATATTAAATATCAGTTTCAGTTCCATTCAATGCATGTTATTATCATTTTAACTTTAGTCCTCTTTAGTTCACCTGGCTCGAAGGGCCAAGTGAGCTTTTTTCATCACTTGGCATCCGTCGCCTGCTAAGACCCTCATGGGTAGTCAAGGTCATTAAAAACACCCCTCATCGTCTCCATAACAGATGTAATAAATTATACGAGATTCAAATGACAAATTTGGAAAGTTGATTTATTTTTTGCAATCATGGAGCACCTATGTTTGTTATGATATAATATTTAATTTTGGATGTAACATGTCTTCTGATTGGCTGAAAGTTTTTTGTCTATCAGCTCATAGACATAATTTTGTCATGTGACCGAGACGTCATCCAAAGTTTTTCATGATTTACTTCTTAAAAATGGAATTTAGAATTAAATTATAAGGAATGACTGTAAAATCTTTTCTATCTATTTGAAATAACCTCAAAAATGTAATGACACTTTTTAAATAACAAGATACATGGGTTATTCAATGTGCATCACATTTTTAAAATTATTTCTTCATAGACAGAAAAAATATTACAGTCATTCCTTAAATAACACAAATAAAAAAAAATTGATGTTATATTTCAGGTTTCAAAAAAGATGTTAGACATGGGATGTTACGAAATATCTCTAGGGGATACCATCGGTGTTGGTACACCAGGTAAAATGAAGACACTGATTTCTACTGTATCAAGAGACGTACCAATACAGAAGTTAGCAGTACACTGCCACGATACATACGGTCAGGCTCTTGCCAATATATTTGCTGCTTTACAGGTAACTAGATTTGCTTCTTTACAGGTAATTTAAACCAGAGGCTCTGAAGAGCCTGTATGGCTCGCCTACATCTTTAACAATGGTCACTTTTTAGTAAAAATCATCATTAAAGGGGAATAACTCTACAAATAATTAACCGAATAATTTCAGCATGTTGACATATTTGTAGAAATTATGCTGCTGATAATTATTCCTTTTTAAAAGTTTCTATTATAGTTTTCAAGAAAGTAGGCAAAAAATGCAAGAAATGTTAAAAATTATCATTAAAGGACAATAACTCCAATAATTAGTTGTCAAAAGATTTTAGCCATTATGGCTTATTTGTGGATCTTGTTTTGCTGATCATAAGTGTTTTTCAAAGTTTCTATCTATCTATTACAGTTTGGAAGATAATAGGCAAAAATGGGAAAAATCGTCATTAAAGAGCAATAACTTCAATAAGGAGTCGACAAACAATTTTGGTCATGTTGACTTATTTGTAGATCCTGTCTCTCTGATCATTTTTGCTTTTTTAAATTTATATCTATCTAATATAGTTTTTAAGATATGAGGCAAAAATGCAAAAAGTTTGTAAAAATTGTCATTATAGGGCAATAACTCTAATAAGGAGTCGACTGAAGATTTCGGTCATGTTGACTTATTTACAGATCTTATCTTGCTGGTCATTATTGCTATTTTGAGTTTCTGTCTATCTTTTATGATTTTCAAGATAATAGGCAAAAAATTTTCAAAATGGTAAATTTCATCATTTAAGGGCAATAACTCCTATAAGAAGTCGTCTGACAGTTTTGACGTGAATGAACAATAGGTAGTGCTCAATATTCTGATCATTTCTGGCCTGTTAAATTTTCTCTTTTTATAGCGGTTTTCAATATAATAGGCAAAACTTGCATTTTACCCCTATGTTCTATTTTTAGCCATCTTGGCCATCTTGTTTTGGCAGGCGGGGTCATTTGACACATTTTTAGCTCACCTGGCCCAATGGGCCAAGTGAGCTTTTCTCATCACTTAGCGTCCATCATCCATAAATTTTTACAAAAATCTTCTCCTCTAAAACTACTGGGCCAAATTTTACCAAACTTAACCACAATGATCATTAGGGTATCTAGTTTAAAAAATGTGTCCAGTGATCCGGCCAACCAACCAAGATGGCCGCCATGGCTAAAAATAGAACATAGGGGTAAAATGTAGATTTTGGCTTATATCTCTGAAACCAAAGCATTGAGAGCAAATCTGACATGGGGGTAAAAATGTTTATCAGGTCAAGATCTATCTGCCCTGAAATTTTCAGATGAATCGGACAACCCGTTGTTAGGCTGCTGCCCCTGAATTTGTAATTTTTAAGGAAATTTTGCCGTATTTGGTTATTATCTTGAATATTATTATAGATAGAGATAAACTGTAAACAGCAATAATGTTCAGCAAAGTAAGTTCTACAAATAAGTCAACATGACTAAAATGGTCAGTTGAGCCCTTAAGGAGTTATTGCCCTTTTATAGTCAATTTTTAACCATTTTTCGTAAATTTTTGTTATCTTTTACCAAAATCTTCTCCTCTGAAACTACTAGGATGAATTTAACCAAAGTTGTAAACAATCATCATTAGGGTATGTAGTTTAAAAATTGTGTCTGATGACCCCACCCGGGAACCAAGATGGCCGACATGGCTAATAATAGTACATAGGGTAAAATGCAGTTTTTGGCTCATATATCTAAACCCAAAGCATTTCCAGCAAATCTTTCAATTACAAAATTGTTCATTAGGTCAAGATCTATCTGCCCTTAAATTTTCAGACCATTCAGGCAACCCGTTGTTGAGTTGCTGCCCCTGAATTGGTAATTTTTAGAAATTTTTTCAGCTTTTAGTTATTATCTTGAATATTATTATATATAGAGATAAACTGTAAACAGCAATAATGTACAGCAAAGTAAGACATACAAATAAGTCAAACATGACCAAAATGGTCGATTGACCCCTTAAGGAGTTATTGCCCTTTATAATCAATTTTTAACAATTTTCATAAATTTGTAAATTTTTACAAAATAATTTCCACTGAAACTACTGGGCCAAGTTCATTATAGATAGAGATAATTGTAAGCATCAAGAATGTTCAGTAAAGTAAGATCTACAAACACATCACCATCATCAAAACACAATTTTGTCATGAATCCATCTGTGTCCTTTGTTTAATATGCACATAGACCAAGGTGAGCGACACAGGCTCTTTAGAGCCTCTAGTTTAAACTAAATACCCCAATAATGATTGTGGCCAATTTTAGCTAAATTTGGCCCAATAGTTTCAGAGGAGAAGATTTTTGTAAAAGTTAACAACGACAACAGGTGATGACGGACGACCGAATCAAAGTGATGAGAAAAGCTCACTTGGCCATTTATGTCAGATGAGCTAAAAATGTATCTTTACCATTTTACTAGCTATAATACAAAATAGAAGAATTTCGAATACAAACCTTTATGGAATTAAATTCTCTGAGTCATCTCTCCATATGAAGCTAAAAACATTTGAACTAATCAAAAAATTTCTTTATTTCAAAATACAGGTGAAGAGATAAGATAAAGTTACATAATTTCATTCATTAAAATAAAAAGGTTACAAATGAATTGCATTCCTGTCCTAAAATTTGCTGATTTCATTACAAATCTGGACCCTCTTCTGCTGCTATTTTACAGATGGGCATCTCAGTGGTGGACAGTTCCGTAGCAGGCCTTGGAGGATGTCCATATGCCAAAGGTGCTAGTGGAAATGTATCCACGGAAGATGTAGTCTATTTAATGAATGGTTTATCAATTAAAACTGTGAGTAATAATTCCACCATTGTAATTCTCATTAGATAAATTAGTATATGAAAAAAATGATTTTTATGAAAATATTAAGTAAATACATTTCTCTTATTCTTTGGCAATTTAAACCTTTCCGAACCCATTGTATAAAAAAAATTAATTAACGTGTGTTTGCGGATGATCTCAGAAGATGATTGGATGAGTTTAAGGGTCATAACCTTTATCATCTCACTGGATGAATACATCAGTTTCCATAGTTGTAAAAGTAGAAGTGAAGAAGGAGAAATCTGATCAAATCACACCTTCCTGTGAAAACATTAGTGCTTTGAATTATATATTTTTTTCTATTTTCAGGGTGTTAATATACAAAAGTTAATAGAAGCCGGACTATTTATATCTTCTGCTTTGGGACAACAGACTCATTCAAAAGTGGCGCAAGCAACAAAGTCAAGTCTATGAAATAATGAATTTCTAGAATTGTTAATGAATTGTGCCATCTAAACATCATCATCTGTGATTGGATATCACATACAGTCACTGCAGTCCATTGTGGACTTCATTTGTGTGAGGACTTAACCTAAAGAGCACAATATCTATGCAGTGCTGAAATGTGTTGGACCTGTTAACTATCAAAAGGGACAAACCTCTCATATTCATAAAGATATGTTGAGAGCCAGAACTGATGTCTGATACCAGCAGGCCTGAAGCCAGGATGTCTCTGAGGGAGGTTATTTGGGGTCATGACCCTCTAACTTTAATAGTAAAATTTCTTACTTTAAACTTACAAATAGAAAAAAATAGAAATAAAGATATGATTAAATCTGATAAAAATATAATTCAATCTGAATCTTGACTTTAATAGTCTTTAACAATATTATTTATTTTCATGGGAGGGGGGGAGGGGGGAAGGGGGAAGGTTAGTCTATGGGTGTGACCAATATAGAGATATGGATACTCATCTTTGATTTACAGACTGATTTCAAGCAAAATTCAAAGTCATTCATACACCATTCATGTCTCATGTTTTATCCATAATTTACTGTATTGTTTTCATGTCAGTGGATGTCTTATTTTTTGGGTTAACTTTCTGTGGCAAAACTAGGTCAGCTGGGTGCATTACTTCAAAGTTTTTTTTATCTATGAGACTATTTTTCATTTGTAAGATAACCTGGAATTATGCAAGTTAAAGTATGTTTGTTATATTGTTATTATTTGGAATTATTTGATAATTGATAAATATATAAATGTGTTCAAAATCATGAAAGTTTGATGTGTCTGAAATAATAAATGTTACATGAGCTTTGTTTCATTATAACTGTAAAATCAGATATTTTAGCAAGGGTTTTATTTTCATTAACTTTGCAATTAACAAAAAAAAATGTCCTCTGCTTAAATTTGATTGATATTCACTGAAAAACATATTCGTGGACTGGAAAAGACAAAAATAACATGAATAAAACCTCTTTTATAATGTGTTTGTCATTTAAAATTGCGACCTTTAAACCAGCAAAAATAAATAATTTTACTGGTCTTACATGTACAGGCAATGCAGACTTTTCAGCTATATTTGTTCTGCTTCTTTACAATATTTAAGAGGTAAAAATAGAATTTTAAAATGCATAGTAAGTTGATTCAGGGTAGAAAGTTTATCCAGAGTTGGAAACCACCTTCTTTGAATATGTTAAAAATTGTGTAAAAAAAATATATGAAAATTACGGTGTACACATTTCCAGTCCTCCTCCCTTCTTTCATGTGGAAATCCTTTTATAAATTTCTGGATCAGTGCCTGATGCTGTTTGTCCTTTTAATTTTATGGAAAACAGCAATGATTAAAGGTTATTTTTTTTCATGCAGGGACATACAGAATACATGAGTGACTGCACAAAACATAAATTCATGAATTGTTGATGATTTTGGTGACAAAACTGAAAATTTCTGACCCTGTCATATTATACATTAAAAGGGCCTTTGTGGCCAAGTGGTTCAAGAAGTTCATCTACTGTATCACTAGTCTATCAACACTGAGGTTGTGAGTTTGAACCTGGCATGTGGAAAGTTCGTTTGGCTCCAATCTTAATTGACTAGTATTGTTAGTTTTTCTTATAAAGGTTGGTTGTTCTCTCTGACCCTCCTACTTCCTCCACCAAATAAAACTGATCACCACAAAATAGCCAGTTGTGAAGTGGCATTTTACTGATTATCAAACTCTTAAGAGGTTTTGATTTGAGTTGAAACCTTCATATAAATTGGAAAATTATCTAATGAAAAATATGAAATTTGCTTGTGACTATAATTGATATAGGTCCAGGGGTGAATTCCCCTCCTGAAAAGTAGTCCACATATCAAGATTTTCCATATTTTCGAAATCATCCACCATTTTGATGAGTGGAAACCTTCATCCATATTCAATGAGGATCCAGCAAAAAACGAATGGGCTATCCTGGTGACAACGAGGTGAAGACCAAAGGATGGATAGACTGATGGACAAGGGTTTTCCAAAATACTCATAAATTTTATAAGACTTATAAAAAAATTGCCATAATGATAATAAATTTTGTATACGTATTGAATATACAGAGGAATATTTCAAAAGGAATCACCAATAATTATAACAAACATTCACGATTGGAAAAGTACCAACAAAAGTAATTTTTATTCATTTGTATTTTTGTATGATCTCTTTTACTAAGAAGCAAAATGTGTTATGTAAAAAGGATATTTGGTACTGTAAATTCTGTAATTATTGCGATGTTTTTTGTATGCCAAAAAATTGCGACAGTGCAAGTTCCTAATAATAAAACATGCATTCATAATATCAATACTGATTTTTCTTTGCATGACAAAATTTTTGCATTCTCACAATTCTGAGACTACCATAACACAGTGTTAGTAGTCTCAGCACAATTTTACCAGTAATCATTGATATGCAATAAAAAATGCTTGGATGATATTTGAAAAAAAGGCAGGACAGGAGTTTTGAGTAAAAAAGATAAGCAACTTGACAAAAAAAAGGCAGGATGACAATTTATGTAAAAATAGTCAGGATAAACTAATAAAAAAAAGGTAGGACCCAATAGAGTGAAAAATAAAGAGACAGGACAGAGGCAGGACAAAATTTTTCATCCTAGCCCCCCCATAAAAATCAAATGGTAGCTCCCTAATTACCTATATGTGTTATGTCAAAGATATTTGGTATATGGATTGGTTGCAAGTATATGTCCATCCATAGCTAGCTATTATATGTATGATCTATCTGACCATGATCTCTATTTCATGCTCCAATGATCAGATTAATTTTTCAGGATGAGAATTTGTCCTAAGTAGCTGTTCCTTTGCTTTTTGTGTGGTTTTTTGGAAAATGACGCTATCAGCGGCATGTTTCCGATACCATTGACCAGAACTAACGGAAGTTGATTATACCTCCGCCTACCGCACTCGGTTTCATATTTACTATTTTACATACTAACTGGAATCTGCTTGTATTACGCTACACTCGAACAAAGTGTTGTAGTCGGACGGGATCCTGCTGACATACGTTATTTTATTTACCAAAAAGATATCTTGACCTGTCCATACGTTTTTTGTTATTAAATGGTATTTGGAGCTATCCCTTTGTTATATTTTTCATATTTATTCGAGCTTTCACTTTTATGCACATGTCTTACAATCGTTAACACTCGGTATGTATACATGATAAATAGATCCGTTTTGTTATGGTGTTGGACTTTTTACCCTCCAATGATCAGCAATCGCTAGACAAAATAGTTCTCCGAAATAATGTCAGCCTTTCATGCCATTTCAACTTTACACTCATTAAAAAAGTAATAATCGGAATCATTTTGATATCCATTGGATAGAAACTAGTCTTTATCCAGGTTTATGAAGATTTTAATAATCGGACATTAGTAATACGGTTATACCCACGCGGTGCGTATGAATCTTTGTTTACAAAGTTATAGCAGCAGAGTCTGTAACTGTATCATTATTAATTAACTACACTGTTATTGTACTTAATATGATGAAAACTGCATATGCAATATAAGATGTCAACTCGGCCAATACAGATTTTTTTTCCGTATTGGCCGAGTTCTGATCCGGCCAAAACAGGATTTCGGAACGTCTCTAGTTTTTAGATCGTAAGTCACGATAAACTCAAACTGAAAGAAAAAAGTTGTTTGTACAACGCAGTTTTTATTTACTCACCATAAACAAGCTGAAACGTTCAGTAAGGCATATATTTTAGGTTAAAGACGGTCCCATTCATTTGAAAAGCATTTTGAAAGTAGACGATGGAATTATTTCAGGTTTGGGGAACGAGTAAATTATCACAAAGTTCATTTCTTGACGACCTCATAATTTCATCATGTCGATGGTACAAATCGATTTTTACTGTTTACTTTCGCTTCTCATGTTTTGTAAACGGTCTTTTATTTTTAAACCCGAACCAGGCATATGCATTCTGTAATTGCGCAAATCTTCGTTCTTTGGTCAATTGGCTTATGGATAGTTGTATCAATTTCAACTCTTACATTATTTTTTTTTAAATATATTTGCATTACACATGCAATGGCAGTACCTTTCCAATTACTATTTATGTGTTGTGTCTAAATTAAAGTTGTAACACTTTATAGTGTTGGAAAGGGTAGAAAAATTTATCAGATGAGAAAAGGCTGAAGATACATGGAAACGGCACCAAATCATTAGGTATTGCATCTTATAAAAAGAAACTGAGATTTGGATACTTCCACTTCAAGGTAAAAATGTTTATCTCTTGTGAAATGAAATAAAAAAATATTGTAACACTGTAGTTAATTAATAAAGATACTATTACATGTATTTCTGTATTGGCCTTATTGTTGGTCCTCGGCCAGCAGTATTGGCCTTCGGCTTCGCCTCAGACCAATACACCAAGACATGGACCAATAACAAGGACAATACAGAAATACTTGCGCAATAATATTATAGAATGACAGTATGGTTCAATAGCGGGAATCAGCCCCTCAACTACTTTTTACATAAATATTAACTTCTGGCTCCATATCCTTGTTCGTCTTGTCTGGAGATCTTGTTGTAGTTCCAGTTAGGCAAGCATTTTAGAGACGTATCCCGTCCATCCTCTCTTGACTTGTAATTTCTGGTGATAGATTTTGCCGCTTGACGTTGTATCCTTTCAAGCTTGTTTTTTTTTTGTTACTGTGTAGGGTCCCATACTATGGCTCCATATTAAATTGTAAGATCCATTCCTCAAGGTCTAGATCATTGTTCTAATCTGACACAAATTTCAATAACTGGAATGCTACCCAAGTTGAATATATGGTGACCTACTAGAACAGCATTATCACTATTGAAATTGTGTTTAATACCATGATTGTTCAATGTCATTAACTTAAATGGAGACAGACATTTGACCTGAAAGGTGGTGTGGGAGTGCAAAATCAAAAACTAACTGACTATGGTATATGGTTAAAGAATGAATATCAATTACATGAGTCAACATGGTCAAGGGCAGAGTTGTTATGAAATAATAATATGGCAGAGAAGTGGTTTCAAGTTTCATATTAAGCGACGTGACTGACATGAAATAAAAAATCAAAGGAGTATCCCTATTTGTCTAATCTTCAAGGTGAAATAAAACTAGTAAAACAATATTATACTATTGTCTAAATCTACAGAAATAATTTGCTTCAAGTAACAGAATTAACTAGGTCTCTAGTAACTTATTTAATGAGTATGTGGGGTATAAGAGAAATTTAGAAAAATGTAATTGCAAGACAAAAATCACATTACTTAGAATACTTTAGATCATTCAGGTAGACTTTATTTATATGTACAAAAGAACAGCCAGTAGTCATTGGATATTGTAGATCATTCAAATAGTCTTGACCTATTTATTAGTACAATAGAACAGCCAGTAGTCATTGGCTATTGTAGATCATTCAGGTAGTCTTGACCTATTTATTTATAGAAAAAAAAACAGCCAGTAGTCATTGGATACTGTAGATCATTCAGGTAGTCTTGACCTATACATTTGTACCAAAAAAACAGCCAGTTGTCATCTTCACATAACACACACAGATACGAATATCAATTATATACTTACGAGACATGTTGGAATGTTAAACTAATTACGGTATGTGAAAATCAAGACTTGCATAAAAAATATCACAATATTAGAGACAGTGGCGTCATTTTTCCTCAGCTTTCAGCTCTTTGATTTTTTTTTTTTGCTGTGCATGTACTGATTTTGTGTCATGGATGGATACCCCATATCCTTTGGTTTTTCTATTATATGTGTTATG